TGTTGTTAATCACGCGTGACAAACACAATCGTTCGCGTGCGTAAACATAAGCAGAAATAAATTCTTTTGTCTTAGCTATTCGTTAAAATCACTAACCGTCTCGCAACAAAGCATGTTATAAACAATATATTGCAGTTACATCCTTCTTACTCATCTTTTAAATGTTTTATTGAGGTGAATTATATGATTTTTAGATAAGCAACGATTTAGAAATCCTTTTAATCAAATATTTTTAAATCTAAGTACACACATACACAAATAACTACATTTTTTATGTTAATCTAGTCGTTTAATTTAATTGTCGTCGCGTGAAAATAAATCGCGGTATTACGGTTGTTGGTCGTCATATTTGTTATGGTAGTTAGTTCAAAGTGTTTGTTTGTGGGACGGCGGCGCGGGCGCGTGATGGAATCGTTAGCACGGTAACTGGAGCACCGAATGCCACCGTGAGGATGAGGATAATGCACACACGAGATCTCTGTGTGCCTAGTACCTGAGAAACTTTCGTGCTCTGTTTCACCTCCACAATTAACTGTCTGCCACGCTCTATACACGTATTTTAGATATGTGAGGCATACGACACCTTCCTCGTTCCAATTTCAATATAGAAAACTGAGAATTTGAAACCCTTTTGCTTACCGACATGACCGTCACAACCGCGTCAATGTTGTATCTTGTTTACAGGTCAGGAAATGGATTTCTTATAGGCAATGTACATACCTCGTCACATTTACATCACGATTATCTTTCCATATATTTTCATTAACTTTCTTAAGATACTCGTAACGGAAACATTAATGATTATCGTTTTTCTCTAAGTAATAATTACTTACGTGCAACTGAAATTACTGTTTTTTTTTATTAATTATAATCTACACGTGGAAGGTCACATTCAAATAAGCTATAGGCGTAATGAAAAACTATTTCCTAACTCTCGTTTAAATACTGAATTTAAACCAGGCTAAGTAGTCGCGCATTATTCTCATCCTTAGACCGAACGTGTTTTTCGCACCTCGTAAGTAATTATTTCGGTTGGACCACTGCCCACCCTGTAATAACAAAGCGTATAATTGTACAATAATACAACGACACAACTATTTATATTTATTTCGTAATAATTTTATGTCTATGTTTTTAGAAACTGTGTCTCTATTTTCATACTTTCAGGAACTACTCACTTGCTGGTTTGTTCGGGCGTTAAATGTTAGTTATTTGCAGTTTATGTTTGTGGAGAACAATAATAATGAATATCAAATAATATTCACTTGTAGGAGCGAATAATAGTTGTCATTATCCCAACTATGTGCGTCAAATTATCGCTACATTTGCGTCGAGACTTCACCCGTTTGAGTCGTTTTATAGACTGTTCCGAGACGTTCTAAACTAAAACAATAAACATTTTCCATTTCCTTTGGCGCGTCCAAAGCTGTCAGTTTTATTATCATAGTACCTACAGAAATCGAAGCCGTGTCTACGTAACATGTATTACGTCTATAGGAAATATCCCATTGCGAAGCCCCTTAAACTCATGTTTCAGCGACCGACGCACAATAAAATTCGCTCTACGCAAGTAGCTGTGTACTAATGGATTTTTCCGTAAGATTTATGGGATTACATCAAAGCAACTAAGTGCAGTAATTGTGATTATTGTATGATATCAATTGTTTTGAAGATTGAACTGCTTAAAGTATAACAAGATCGGATTTTCCGAAGTAACTCCCATTGTAAAATTTTATTGTGCACAATTACACATACCATTGATACTGTTTTTAGATATCAAAAAATTAGCCTTAGCCTAGGATCAAGAAACCCAATTTAGACTAATTGGTGAATTCACAACAAAATTTGATAACCTGCATTCAAAATTTTAATCTCCATCTAATTAGGTGGCCTATACACACAGACAAATAAATAAATAAGTAGGTACCATACACAGTAATACGTAATTGCTAAAGTTTGTACTGTACATCGTACGTGCTTAAATCTTCGCCAAGGCAGAACGCCATTTGTTCGTGTTTAATGCACAGCAGATCTCGTTCTGTATATGAGTGCAATACAAATCTTTTTGTCTTCAACCAGCATACTGATTACTTTTGAACTTAGTATCGATTATTCTCTAAACTTTCCTTGTTATGTACTTTCAATTTCTATTGTAAAGTTCATTGGCTCCGAAGGATAACGCAATATCATTTATATCAATTTTTTATTAATTAAGTACAGTATTTCAGCGACCTAAGTAAAATACTAAACTTCTGATATAACTATTGCGAAACCTTTTACTTCTAACACTATAACATGTATTGTAAAGGGATACCTACTAACCCGGTTATCTCGGATTTTTCTGCAAGTTAAAGTACAAATGAATAACAGTAATACTTCTGTAATAAGTTAAATCCTAGCACCTTGAATTAGTGATTCCAAGTCCGATCGCACTCAACACCAATGTAAGTTTAATCCTTTGTCTCTTCAAACAAAATTGGTTACTAGTTTCGATAGTTGAACTCTGTTGCACTATTAGGCGTTACTTTAATATGTAACTGGGTCAGCAAGTAGGCAGCAGTTTTAGCTTTATCATTTATCATTCAGATTCCAACTAAAAGGCACAGGTATTACTCTGCACTGAATTATTCAAAGTAATAATTTGTAATATCCTGCGTTTACATAGTTACTGGTTATATCGTGTCAGAATATTGCATTCAATGAGAGCAACCACTTAACTATACCTAGATCTTAGACCGTGCATCGATAAAGTACGATTACAAACTTAATTGTTTTAATCGTAATCCGTAATATCTTAAAATCTGATTCAATAAGTACATCAACAATCAATTCACGTTATTGCGAAATAATTTACTAACTACATCAATAAATCCATCTTAAACCCGATATTAGATAATAGATTATTATATTATGCGCATAAATGAATCTACAAATATGAAATAAATATCCAAATATGAACATTATTTACGCAACATTTGTCAAATCGATGTAAAGTTACAGGAGAATAATATGCACAGAAAACAGGAAATATCATTACTTGTGCCATATCCTACGGGTCACGGATAGCTCGATCACCCTTGGCCCATATTCCGCGCGGCTAGAATTAGGTCGAGGCATTATCACCTGCATTCTCATTATACTCCGCGATACTGCTATCAATAATCACATAGTAATTATGTCCTTGATCTATTTATTTTGGGTTTTTAATATATTTAGGAAATAGGACAATTATTACAAGTACTACTAAGTAGTGATAAAAGAAAACGGTTTGTTTATTAAATATTATCAATTATTTATTATTGCACAGAAACAAAGACGTATTAACAACAGTGCAGTTACCACACGAACCGTTGTAAGTTGAGAGATGTCTAGAGGTTTTTTGGCAAACAACCTACGCTATCTACTAGATTAGATACCTAGATAGGTACTCCAAACGCTACTTAAAGACACTCATAAAATCCTATTTCTTCCATTTTGCTAATCGTAAATTACGAAGAACATTTTTATAGTGGACAAGAAAATAATCGTATGACATCTTTTGATATACAACTACATGGTCAGACAATAAAACCGCGATTTGATTAATCGCTTGGAACAAAAGTGCTCTTAACACAATGTAAATAAGAACGATTTTGTTCGAACAATTGTATTGTTCTTACGAAACGAAGATTTAAAAGTGTCCGATCAAGTGGAAACATACAAACCTACCGGCGGAATATTAATGTGTTTACGTTACGCCATTATATAATTTTAAATCGCTTTATTTTTATTTCGATTTAAGCGAGGCATATGACGCGCGGATTTTGAAATTTGCGAACAAAATTATGGTCGATTCGTATAATGAACGATGCATGAGAGTGGACTGAAGAAGAAAATAATAATGACCATTGAACAATGTCTATCTAAATCTCTAAATATTATTACACTTATTTCGCAATATACGTGTAAACCAAAACAGTACCTTTATAAGTTAAGTACCAATGCACGTGCTACGAGAACCTGTAGAATTTTCAGTTCAATTCCAGGTCAGATTATGTAAACACAACTGTATACCCAGTTTGTACTTACAAGCGATGTTGCAATGTTAAGATGAACAGGTACAGTACACAGCTTCTTATAAGTAGTAAATCTTATAAGCAAGCAGCAAGTATAAACAAATGCAGAAGATATCTGATATTAAACGAAATCCGTGTAGAAAACTGCTAGAGAAAGGAAAGAAAATAGTACCTAATCAAGATTTTACAGTGCTTTTATGATAATTTATTCCCCAGTCCTTACGTTTCATGTGTCCCGCTAAGAACTCGTGGACCATTCGTTATATTTAATGAAATTTATGTGACAAGCAATAGTGACACTTTATAATATTCCCGCCGCCTCATATCCGTGCTTCTCAACAAATCATTACAAATGATAGACAGCTAAGACATCCCCATAACACCGACAGACATCGTAACGATCGAAAATAAGCGATAGATTTAAATAACATGCCAAGTGTAATTTGTTAAAAGTTATGACAATCACAAATGGCCAATAATAAGTTCCATATTTACTGATTTTCACTGAAAGAAACATATATTTTCTAGCAAACGACATTTTCATATTTATCATAATCACGTGGGCAGAGACGGGCAATGATTCACATCACTTTTACTATAGGAAGGTTTAAATGACGATGACTATCTTGTAAAATTAGCAAATGTGAATCTTTACTATTAATAGCTTCCTGGAGTCATGGATGAAGTGTTGTTTAGTTTACTTCGCAGACACCTTGACTACCAATCAACATTTTATTAGTGCCTTAATAAAATATTTGCGAATTATAGCATTATGGGTAATTTAATGTTATTATTATAGACGATATTTCTATCAAACTAATGTTACCATTATTATTTCTTTTGAACAGATATATCTCTGCTCACCCCATTTAAAAGACAGGAACGCTGTTAGAATCAAATAGCTATCTAATAAAAATATTATTTATAACCAGTGTCGTTACTCACCTATAGTTTTTAAAATCTGGAGGTCTTCTAATTCATATTCCTTTTCTTCCTCGGTGTATTCAGACTCCGTGGTGGTGGACTCTTGCTCCTCCGTGGAAGAGGCCACAGACAGAGACCGCACGTCAGAACTCAACTCCGAGCTGCAGTCCCTCACCAGTTTCGCACTAGCCATCATCATTTTCAAAAAGTTTCTTCACAAAAGTATTATCAAAATAATTATAATCAAAGTCTGTATTACGAGTTACTCAGTTCATAGTTTTGTTTTCCGAAAAAAATAAACATCGCAGTTGTATTAAAAAAATAAATAGTTAATTACGCGAAATGAATATTATGATGATTTATTTTTAAAATATTTAATATAAGATTTATTTATTATAGAATTGAAATTAAATATTGAATGTGTTATCGTGAAGATACGCGCGGGAGCGGTGAACAGGCGTGAAGGCGTTCCGTACGCGCCGCGGCTTGTGTCTCACTGACGAACTGCCGACCTCGCTCGCTTCACTGCGAGCCGAACGAGACGCACAACGAGACGGCCACGATAAAATAAACGCTGACAAACTCTTGTTTCTGCAATGTTACCGACAAAGTCAACGATGCTCCTCGTGTACAATAACATTCTAAATGATTTAGTACCACTCCGTCTGCGAACATAAGCCTTAAATGTAAATAAAATTAACGCGTCCAAAATGTATTCTTCCACCAAAATCTCGTAAATAACTCAACATATCTCCTCATTTTCTTTATAAATAAGTATTGCTGCATCCGCTTTGTCTTGCTCCTGCCCTGACCCTCGGCATAACAATACGAGTACAATCTAGAGGAGGGTCAGACTTCACATTTTGAGCAGCGTAAACAGGAAAGTCAATAAACACTCATTGTTAGCAAATTAGTATTTTCATATTTTCCAGCGGATTTATAAGTATTTTTTCAACTTCAATCATCAACTACTCATTGAGTTTGATATTTTGTGCTTGTGCTTCATCAACAAAAATAAATTTTAGGGGCATCGTCCATTTTCACCTTTTCGCAGTACATTAAAAAAAATCACATTAATTTTAATGAAAAGTTAAAAAGAGCAATGAAGCACGCAAAAATATAGAGACTGACATCAACTAGAATGTAATCGATGAACAGACAAATGTAATTAAATTCATAAACAATGTTGTCAAAGAACTAAAACCGAGACATGAGCAACATCAAAAAAAGTTGACTAATCAACATATTTATTCGATACTTTGAAGCTGAAATTAAAGTTGCGATCAGAAAAACCACGAAAGAAACGATGACTCAGATTGCAGGCAAATCTTTCACAATTTTTATTAATATGAGTTTTCATCGGCATCATAACTAGTTTCGAATGTCTAGTAGTGCACTTAGAAGTTGGTCAATTTATTGGCGAAAAAGTTATTCGACAATTACCTACCCGATCTTCTCGATCCTTTCCGATCTTTTCCGATTATTCTTGGTTAAAAAAGGTTCATAAAGTTCACAAAAAAAAACAAAAATCACTACTAGTCATGGTTACCGATCGTTCTTAAAGAATGTGTTCGAAACACTGGACGATTGTTTACTAGTGTGACCTTTCCAAATCGTAATATGACTTCTTGAAAAAAAGGTTGATAGAACAAATTTGTTGGTAATGACGCATTCTCCATGTGACGGAGAAAGCTTGTGCCATACACCACAAATAATTGTGGTAAAATGAACAAGGATAGCTAGCACCTGAATATTGAGTAATAAATGTTTAGTTAGTAACTCCAATTTAGAAACTTCTAGGTCTCATTAGTCATAAGGTCCAGAATCAACTGGAATCTTTGCCAACTGCACGTTAATGGAAACAAAAGCACGTAGACTTGGGGACTTCCCGCGCAGAGTCTGAGTCTGAGTCTGAGTCCCGCGTTGATATCATTTGAATAGAAAAGGTATAGACGTTTGTGAATATTTGAAAATAAAACATTACATTTTATGTTTAAAAAAGGTTTATTTGCAACAAGCGTATCACAATCAAACAAGATATACAAGGGAGTTAAATAATAATATCACTGTAGAATCCGATATAAAGTTTCTGATATTACCTAAGAATAAATATCTTAATCTACAACTACACCATTACACGGTTACTTCGATATTACTAATCGCCTCATATAACATATTAATAAGTATTAGTTTTAATGGCAACTGAAATTATAAGTGTTGCAAGTTATCAGACACTGCCTTTGAGCCTTATATTTTGGCAAACTAAGTTTAAAATTGATGTGATGTTTATAAAATAACGGATTTACAAATTGAACCCAATGAAATATACACGATTTATTCGGATAGAATATAATATGATAGGTACCTATTAATAGTTGGTTAAAACTGAAATCTACCTACTGTAGACAGGAAAATATATTTACACTGAAAAAGGGTTGATAATGAAGAATAATTGTCATCAATGACGCATTCTCCACGTTGTCGTCAAGGAAAGCTTGTCACTACACCACAACAATTTATTGTGGTTGAAATGAACAAGCTTAAAATCGAGTATGAGTTAATAAGTGCGTCATCATTGCGAACGTACTCAATTTTGGAATTTCTCCCATTAGACCTAAGGTTGAAAATCCGCCAATTGATAACTGTGCCTACTGCTCTTCTATGGTTTAAATTACTTTATAGTTATATAACAGTGTAAAATTAATTTTCGTTGTTAAAATGTTGCTATTGTAAAAAATATGTAAATGCAATAATATTATGTAAATATTGTAGTTTGTACCTACAGAAAGTAATAAAAAACAGTTTTCACAGATTATCCACAAACTTAAAGAAGTTTGAAACAAGATGCAACATTTTATAGATTCGATATTTGGCCGCTGGATTAGTTGATACATTATTTGAACGAGACCATATAATTATGGATATGCCTTTACTAGTAAAATAAAAGTATTCGTACTGATCGAAAATTATTTACTGGTAGTGTAAAACTGAATGTCTTGTATATTCAGGTTATTTTAAACTACACGGTATTTTGCAAACTGTTCAAGTATATTTTACTTTGAAAGACATATCCATATTTTTTTTTTTCATAGCAAAATCAAAGTAAGGTAGCGCCCGGATATCCAACCTATACATATTTACACATAACAAAAATAAAATTTACATATGTGATTTCACATAACATTAAAATCCTTAAACAAGTGAGTAATAAATACAACTTAGGAATATATACATTTACCTTCAGCGGCATTTGACATCATCAGACTATCGACCATTTTTGCAAAACAAAAATAAAAATTAACAACATAATATTGCAAGAATAAAATTATATTCTATCATAAAACTTTAAAAATTATGTTATTAATCTTAAAAAAAATGTATATGCACAGACATGCATAATAATAAATATGTTAGACAGTCGATAATTCACATACATTAAAACAAGTTGAGTTTGTGGTCAGATTTATAAAAAACAATTATACATTTCCACGTTCCAAGAATTTGTAATTTGTTTCTCGGCAAAACATAATACATACTAAAACATCGATTATTCTTATAATTTTTAAATAAAAAATAAATATGTAGTTATGTTCAATAATTTTACGTCCATTTAATAAAACGTAGTACCCACTGAGCTAATGTCTCGCTAAGCTTAGCCCACGGAACTATTAGTCAGTATCGGCATTGAAACGAATATTTTCTCTTTACTGTATGACGTTTCTCCTATCGGTCACAAACAAAGTAATCACTCATACCGATAACGTCCATCGCATGATATGTTGGACATAACAGCACGCTATCCACCAAGCCTATTCCTTCAATAACCAATAGAAACTGGTATATATGAAGATCGTAGATACCATCTTTCTATCTCGACTTTTTGCGTACAACCTTACGTTATCTCGCATTTCATCATGCGCCGGTACATCCAAAATCTCTCAACTAAATTCCTTTATCGTGCTGTCACAGCAAATCTACCTAACATGTACTGGAAGCACTTAAATCAACCCCAACAAACATGCCTTTTGTGCTACTCTTTTCTTCTGATGACTTGATTCACCTTATAAAACGCTAGCAATGATTACTTCGTGTAATGTTACATTCTACGTTTTGTCTTTGGTATTCTCCTAACCATTCATTCATGATAACTGTTTTCTGTGTTCAGATATAACTGATATAAGAATCAAACTCGACACATCTCTTGCATCATCTTGACAGCAGTGACTCACACTACTACATATAGACGGGCCAATGCTGCTGACTGTTGTGATCGAACGCTTTATGTCGCTCAGGTCGCATAATACAATTATAAGACGTAGGCCACATAAATACCGTTATAATATAAAACCACCATAGCACACAGACATTCAACCAAACACACTTCCAATTTAGGAACTCGCGATAATATAATTTAAATATCATTCACTCAATCATTTCGATAACATTGCATTACATATTTTATAAATAGTCTTATCCAAAGAGTCACCCCTGGCATCCGAAAGGTTACACAATTTGAATCTGATGCCAAATAAATATTGGTCGGCGGTATAATGCTGAGCTGTACCTACGCCGAAATTAATAATGGATCACAATCTCCACCTCCAAATATTATTCTTAGATAGCACCAAAAATCAACGCATTGACTTGTATTTGAAGCGCTTCACCTAATTTATAAACTGAAAACGTCCATCTAGATCATCAAAAATTGGGTCAAGATTGCTTATTAATTTCAGACGGGTTTAGCTTGATCAAGATATTACATACGAATTTCTTTTTGGAAATATTTATTAGGTACTATGTGTAAACGAGTATCATACGTTCATGATGATGATGAGTCCGGCGTGCATGGCCACAGCTAACTTCTGATGTTGCTTTAGGATGGGACAGAACGCCATGGCTGCCACGTCAGACAGCGGGAAACGCTCAGGGAATGCTTCTCGTGGCAACGCAGACAGCTTCTGTTGTGAAGACTGTTAGAAACATCAAGGTTTAGTTAGTAAATGTATAAATACAATATACATCATTTTAGTAATAGCACTAAATATTATTCAGTGAATAGCAATACGCTAGTGACAGTCGCATACACGCGTACACCAATCCATTTTTTAGAAATAATTTCCACTAACAAGATCAAAATAACAATTTTTTAACGACAAATGGAGCACAAAATCATTCGTTGTTGCACGCAACAAGTAGACAAAAGTTTCGATTTATTATAAAACTGTAATTCGATTTTTTTTTCTTACTTTTTTTTACCCATTTCACTCTGAGACTAATTTACGTCAGACAGATTGTTTGGCGTAAACCCAAATGGAATATTTGATAACAACTTTCTGTTTGTTTAAATAAACCAAATGAACTAGAGCACAAACGTTTTAACATTCACTTTCGTCAAATTCTGTGGATTTCTGAACATCAAAGTTATTGACAAGTCAATCACTGGGCGAAGTAAAAAAGTTGGCAACGACTAAGAAGTATTTTAATTCAATTGGTTTAAAAAGTAATGAATTATAGTCGTGTTACAATTTGTTACTTGCAAACAGGGCAACGTTTGTTCCATTATTATTTTAACATTAGGATTTTTGGCAATACTTATATTGCCAAAAATGATAGTAAATTGCAGAAGATTTTATCGTCCAATTAAGTCTGTGTACTTAGTTAATTGAAATGAGAAAATATGTTAAGTGCTCACCCGGTCTCTGGCAGTGATCTGTTGGAACTGGAGGCCGTACTTCTTGGCGGACTCGGAGTACGTGAGCGGCTCCACTACCAAAGACAGATCGTCCGTTTGACGCTTGCGTTTATTTCCAAGTGGAATCATTTGGAACTTTCCTATGACCTGTTAAGAAGATGATATGAATATTATCCAAGGTCCCAGAAGATGTCAACAAGAAAAAATGGTATAAAATCAAGATAATTACGTAAAAAAATCATCGAATTCATTTCTGTTGCATCTCAAGGACATAAGCAACTGTCTTCAATATCACAACAAAATGAAAAGTATATGTATGTAATGTCAATATGTAATCCGAACCTAAAAGTCTCATGACATATTAAAGAAACGGTTTACTCACACAAATGTTTAACGAGTTAACTCGACTAGTTTCAAGCTACGCCAGGGGCTCTTATTCATGGGCTGTAATATTACGTGTCATTTGCCTCGTCGTGTGTCGCCATTAAACGTTATTAATTTAATCAATACTTGTCATTGTTTTGTCAGTGGGGTGTTTTTGTTTTAATTCATACCTGTTTATACACATCAGGGAAGCAAGGATGTAGCCTCAGCAGTTTGAGTAGCGGCGGCGCGGCGGAGACCACGCGGCCGCACCACTGGCAGCCCGCCGCGCGGCTCGACCCGCCCAGTCTGCGCCCGCCGCCCCACCACTCCAGCTCGTTGATGGACTGGTTTACTGTTCGACACATTTCAAATATGATAACATCCTATAGGTGTATATGGGAGAGCCAGGCTTGGCACGAATCTGTCAGCTTGACCAAAATGATACACAATCTCACAGAAAACCGGCGTGAAATAACGATTACATTGCGCTTGTGATTCGTTGAGTGCGCGAGATTACCGGATGCGCCCGACCCCCAAATCTTACATACTAGATTCCTAAAAGGCAGGCAACGCAATTGTAAATCCTCTAATGCTACACAGGCAGGGCCGATTGTTTACAATCACAATCACCTGATTACCCGAAACGTCTGCTCGTTAGTAGCCTTTCTAAAAAAAGTTGAATTTGGGGAATAAAAATTAATAAATGTTAGATTGAGGATTCGAATATTGGGGATGGGGGAAAGGGGGAAGATTGGGCATCGGGTAAGTCTTCATACAGGATGTAAACGAGTCGCTCCCGAATCGCTAACAAAAAGAAATTGTATTTTAATTTTAATCGGATAATTACGATAATTTAAATCGTGTTACTCATGCAACAACAACCTCGAGCAGTTGACTACGACTATTATTACATAAATCAAACTTGTTCTTTGCCATCACCTGTGAGCGTTTTTCGGGAGCGTTCCGTTAACAGCCTGTAAGAGTAGGATACAGAAACTATATATATAAGTCATAAGAAGTAGGTGTAGTACCGAGACAATCGTCCCCGGCGAGCAGCGCGGCGGGCCAGTGCGGCGGGTACAGCACGCGCAGCGCCGCCACGTGCGACTGCAGCGCGCCCGCGCCCGCGCCGCTCACGCTGCCCACGCACGCCGCGCCGCGCGCGCCCGGGTACTCCGCCACGTCTACGCACAAACAGGAGGTACTGATTATGGTGACTGCTGATAAATATGAAATAGAAAAACCTAATTAATCCGTCATCAGTAAATAAGTAATTAATGAGACAAGACCAATCTCTCAAAGCTAAGTGACATGGACATGGAAATAAGAAGTGCACGCTTTTGTTATACTCTTGCTTACACGCTGTCTCAGAGCGAACAAAACATTGCGTCAACAAGCGTGACGTAACATCGCAAATATACGCGGTGCGAATCAATTGCTAGTTGTTATGACGCGAAGTCTAGATTTTTGCGATAGGACGTCGCATAGTACATAGTTCGCTATGACGCAATGTATTCTCTATTGCATCTCAGTTACCAAAGGTTAATAAATATAACTTAAAGTTGACTTAAAACATATCCTATAAAATAGTCGGTTTACTTTAAAACAAAATACAATGCCAAAGTAACAACAATCGAGTACTGAAATGAAAATTATCGATTACGGCAGCGATAATAACGGGCTATAATTCTCGGAATGTAACTCTTACGTTGGGCGCATAAAATGCTTTGACATAAAACTAAATTTGCGATGCATGTTGATTGTGTTGCTCGTGCCAAAGTTACTTACCCTCGATGGGGGAATTTTGAGCGCGTTCATCGTGGTAGGGGTAAAATATTGTCACGTCATTTTCTATGATTCGTAGTAGGGGCGAGTCACTGTTCAAATCGTAGTACGCCGTTGTACCATCGGCATACCCGACTATTACTTGAGAATGTCCTTTTTGCTGAAAAATATATAATAATATAGTCAATTTTTATACAAATTATGATGACATAGTTAAACAGTTACCAAGAGTTCAGTTTAGATACTTACAATAGACCATTTGATAGCAGTGGCCTGATAAACCTTTCTATTTCCATTTGTTAATCTGAGTTCAACAACCGGCTTTAGTTTATAAAAAGGCAGTTCCCTGAAATATCACAATATAATTAGTTCATATTAAATGACAATAAGTCATGAACTCTTGTATGTATTTTAAATCATAAATTGAACTTTGATCAATTCCTTACTTCTCTGTTACAGTTGATGGGTATGGTACAGCGAAGATGTAAGCGGTTCCATTAGAGCAGGCTGCAGCGAGTAACCCGAGTCGTTGCATATTATTTGTATTGGGCAAGACTTCGAGCATATCCCTCACTCCCGACGGGCACCAGTCGATGGCCCAGAATGTTCCAAAGTCGTGCGTTATCCCAAGCGCAAATCGTAATGTAGACCTGAAATAAATATTTTATTACATATTTATTTATGTAGAACACTGTTATTGATTTTGATTTGTTTGAGTGAAAATAGTCAAATAGAAGTGTCGCATACCATGTTAGTTTCAGTTGTCACAACTGACAAGGACGAAGTCACAATCCAAATAAATGATATCGGCGAGGCTCGTTATATTATATACCACTGCTCTGGTAGAGAACTGGGGTTGAAACCGGTGGCTTTATCGTACAAAAAAGACAAGCCAACAATGGCGAAAGTTTGGCGTGATATTGAAGAGGCCTATGTCCAGCAGTGGACGGAAATGAAGTGATGATGAGCAAATTACTTACGAAATCAAGTTCCCACAGTCCCATATTTGCACAAGCCCCGGTTCAACCGGCGTAGTGTCCCAGGCGTGGCGCGGTGCATCAGGCCCGCGATGCACTGCCACGGCCAGGAACTGAGACTGGCCGCAAGCTACCTCCGTGTCTGGGTTCGGAGGTGCCCACGATATAGCTTGAATACTCGCACCCACGAACATTACTAAGAAATCTGGAGAAAAGAACAAGTATAATTATGCGTTATAAAGTGAATAGAAGTAGTTAAAATGAGCACTTAGTTCGGTTTAAAGATTTGCGCAAGTTTGCGCACACTTTGCGCAAGTAGTTGTTCTATAAACTGTTGTTTGACATTGATACTTGGACGACTATATTATAATTAAAGATATTGAACGTTAACTCTCATTAACTCTAATTTATTTGGTATTTCTATCAATATTAGTGCAGCTAATCTCATATAAAACTTCTGCAGTAAACAATAAACATTGTACCTTTAGTGCTCCGCGCTTCAAATCGTTTGAATGTCATCCAGTCCTGGATATCGCTAAACCTGACTTTACAGGATTCTTCAAGTGGCGGCATGTAATTAACGATCTCATTCTCAGGCACTTCTTCCAACAAACATTTATGCCACATCGGGAACAAAACGTCATCTGTCAGATACCTCTCTTTACTGGAAAAGACAATATAAATGTAATTAAGTTCATTAGATCAGGGACGAAGATTGATTTAAAAAAAAATATAAATTATGCTTACAATTCTTCAGTACTTCTCTTCATGTAAACGGTAATATTCTTGACTTGGTATGGTAATCGAATTATTTTTTGCGCATCTGAAAGTAAATTAGTACAATAAGAGGAGTTCATAAATACATACGCAATTATCGACATCTTTCGACATTCCCGTTAGGCCTACAACAATCTCATAATTTGCTCATTCGTCTTAGAATTTATCGCAAACGTCCAACGAACGCGGATTGCTGTATAACACAATGTAAAACGACAATGCAGCAATACAGTAAACAAGAGGTCACTCACGGTTATCCGAGTGCTTCTTCTTCTTGATCGCGAATTCCTCGCGAGCTTCCTGTTCCTCTTCAGATATATTGGAGTCCACCTCAGTATCGGTTTCAGAATCCGTTTCCTCTTCAGAACACATTTCCAACTTCACAGAAACATCGGAGTCACTTCCATCATCCCATTTATCCACACAAACATGATCTAACAACTCCTTCTCAACATCTGTACTAAATCTGCATTTCGCACAACTATGGGTACCCTGCAAAGTAAAAGATGGCGTATGTTAGTAATTATAATGATCATTATTGAATATCTTGTATAAATCCTTGAATAGAAATGTCAACTTACATGGTGAAGACTGTTTTTATACTTTTCAATCACGTTCTTTGCTCTAAAAAAAAATAAAAGTTAAATGCTTGTACGATCATAAAATACAACATTTTTACGAAATTCATCATGTCGGTCATAAATATGGAGTCCAAACAAATTTATCAAAAATAATGTATGTATTTACTTTTCTGCTGCCTTCCTGCGTCCAGTATGAATGATGTCATCGTTAAGTTCTTCCTCTCTCTTCAACTCTCTCTCTTTTTCTGCTTGTATCTTGCGTTCCAACGCCAGTTCCTTCTCTTTGTGCATAGTCATGTGCTGACTCTTGTATATGCGCAAGTACTTATTGTTGCATATCTCGCACGTGTTTTTATATATCTCAGTTTCCTGTAATAGGTATAATGCTTTCATCAGTTTGAATACTTAGGGAAGAGTCGTACCAAATAGGGAGATTACAGTGTAACGATGGAGTCTTTAGGCAATACCATTAACGAAAATTAAATAGCGTACAGACTAAATTAATGTTCTAACGGTAACTAAAATATTATAAACAATAAGTTTGTATCCTAATACATACTTATTAAACGGGTTAATTGTTAGAAAACTATCACTGCCTCTTCGGCTGAGTGGTCGTAAGTGCGACTGCCGGGCAAGGGGTGTCAGGTTCGACTCCCGGGTCAGACAAAGTATTAAAATTAGTATTAAGTTTTTAAATATACTCAGTAGTAGCACGAAGTCTGGAATTGTGCCCGGTATATGGCAATAGGCTCACCCCCTATTACTGTGTGGTGTTACATTTTACAGTGGTATAATGTGCACCTCTGCCTACCCCTTCGGAGATAAAAGGCGTGATGTTATGTTATGTTAGAAAACTAACCATTTCCGACTTCCCACATACAATGATGTGCGCGTAGAACCCGACGTAGGACACTCTGCTGATACCACACACCTTACAAATCAACTTGTGGTGAGTATACTGGTATTCTTTTAGATAACTCTCCACTGCATAGGGATTGTTTATTTCCTGGAAAAAATTACAAAACTATTAGTTCTGACATAAATAAGAAGAATTTCGGCATTGAAAATCCCATTTACATTTATGCTATAAAACCGAAGATCTCCTGAAACACGGAATCGCAATTTTGACCAAAGTCACTTTTGCAAAATACTTAGGTACTATATTGACGTTACATAGCAACATTTATTCATAACTAACTATTCAAATATTTAATACTCACAATGGGAGGATCTCCAACCACCCAAGCGATGTTGTAATGTTCACGCATGGAGTGACTCTTCCATTCTTTGGGAGGCATTGTTTTCCCACACACACCACACTCTATGACGTCTGCGGAAAGAAATATTTATGGAATAATAATATGTAGGTACTTATAATTAGCGCAATTTTTTTTATGCGGGAAATTCATCGAATGCCCGTTTCCGCCTGGGTGTGGAGGGAACCGAGTGTCAGTCAGATTCTTACCAGCCCTTCGAACCGGAGCCCTGGCAACCCGTTAAGTCCTCCGCGGCATAATTAGCGCAATAGACTACATAATCGGTTGAGTTTTTGAATGCCTTTGAACGTGCAGGCTGTTTGTGATATTTTTGATATTACCATTCACTGATATCTGGACCAAATGTTTCTGGACCAAATACTCATTACTTGTATCTGTTATTATATTAAAAAATTACATTTTTAGTAGATATTAGTGAATTTTGTTTCTGATTTTTCTGCATACAAATTTACGATTTGTAACGACAACCTAACTTCAATGACAGATGGGCTGACAAACAATTCGAAAAACAACAAACTAATGTTTCAAAAATGCCTATATGAGAAAGAGGGCTCGGGCTTAACTGAAATGCAGTAAGATGGTTTTTGATCCAATCACTGCAATTGTGAAATATTGAACATCCAATGGTGCGACACTAGCTAATTCCCTATTGGACGAAGAACAAGAGGTTCACACTAGCGCCATCTTGTGCGCAAAAATACAGTAGCGCCCATTCATTTCAATAAATACTTTGAATTACCTTTACTCATTAACTCCACTGAGACCTCAGTAAATTTCTTTTTTCCCTGGCATGTCGCTACATGTTCCTGATACGACTTAACGTACTTTCTCTTGAGTCCACACTTCTGGCAGACCAGACCTCCCAACACTTTAGTCATTTCGTACAAGTGCTGGTGTACGGCTGCCTGGTTTTTAAGGTCCTAGAAAAAATTATAATTAATGTTAAAATGCCTTTTCAATGCAAAAACAGTACATTACAACAGAATGTCGATTTCGATCGCTACGAAATTAATATTATACATGCACAAAATATCTTGACTTTGCAAATGAGGTTTTATTCAACCTAATTTAAGTCAAACCTACCAATCCACTGTTCTCAGCGTAATACTTTTAAGTTTATGAAATTAAAAATCAAATAATATTTTTTTTCTAAGAAGCAAATAATGTTACTACATACTTATTTTATTTATTTAATAGATACACAAAACAGAACCACAGCGCAATACACATCAGAGTAACAATACAAAACTGTAAATGGCAGACCATGCTTCCACAAGTATGTGCACACAACATGAAATGCAACGACTAGTATTTATTTATTAACAATTATTTATAATGAATTATAATCCAGAACAAAATTAGAGATAAATTGTAATAATAAAGAGAATTAAGAATGAAACTATGCTAAACAGTCACTGTCCTGCCAATATAATTATGTGGCAATACACGACATTACTAAATACTATTTGGAAAATGTTGATACTTACAATAGGTGGTTGTCCCTCAACCCACGCCAAGTACTGATGCACAGTCTCTATATGCGTGATCCATTCAGAGCCTTCTACTTCAGCTGCGCACACGCCGCAGGTTAAAATCTCATCTTTTACTTCTTTTTGACTAAATTCTTCAATCCAACTACAAGAAGTATCCTGAGGAAAAATACAGTAATGGATATGACTAGCTAAATATTGTATTCTGGTTGCAGTACTTTTTTATAAACTAAAGTAATATGCAAAATTAAATTATGAACTTACCGCGCCAATGACGCATTCTTTTATATGCTGCAAATATACTTTGGGGTACTTAATCTTTTTCTCACATTTGTAGCATTTCAAACCATTGTTCTCTCTAGAAATATCGAGGAGATGCATTTTTACCGCAGATTCATCATCTAGATTCTAAAAATCGAAATTACACTTGATTAACAATAAATTTAAGGAAAATTAAACAGTAGTAAAGAAAAGTATTCAAATAAGTTGCGCAATATCTTGCGCAAAGTTTAGTACAAGCTTTGCGCAAACTTTTTGCGCACACCAAGGTCATAATTTGACTATAATCATTATAACACTTACCACTTGTTTGTAACCATCTCTCCACGCCAGATAATTGTGTTCCTTGCCAATATGATGTATCCAGTCCACGATAGAAACCTCTTCGTGGCAAACTCCGCATTTAATGACTTTCCTTTCTTCCTGTACCACTGGCACTTCGTACCAGCCATCAGTTGACTGAGACTGGGTTGTAGTATTCAAACTTTCATCCATGTCCGTTTGGTTCTGAAACATTGAATAAGTAATTAAATATTATTAATAATAATGGAACCAAAATCGATATTATATACCTACTTATTTTTTGTAATATAATTGTTGATACTTACATCTGCAGAACCATCACACTCTTCAATATGAGTCAAATACAATTTGACTCGTTTACGCACGATGCCACATTTGTGGCATGTCAGTCCGCCATATCTCCTCACAAACTGTTGCAAATGATTCCACACTACTTCTTCATCACCGAAATCCTGAAATAAACATTTATTATAAGCATTAAATATCAAGCAATAATTAAATCTATTTCAAAACTTATACATTTAAAAGTGAAAAATACTAAGAAGGTCCTAAGGAGAAAATACAAGTTTATTCTTAGCAACTCATTTGTTCATTGTAGTGCAGGCAAAAGTTTATATAGAACTTACTATAGGAGCTTGTCCTTGTGGCCAAGCCAAATAATTATGTTTCTTAGATATATGGTCCATCCACGCTGAGTTTACAACCTCTGTTTTACACACTCCACAATTCACCGTACGCTTTCCTCCTGATTGGCCTAAGGTAGTATCATCAGTAACTGACCCATTCAAGTTCGCACCCATCGCAGAATCATCAAGTAAATGCTGAAACGAAACAATTCCAACATGATAACTCGTTGAAGTTTAAAAACATATGTCTGAATGGAATTATCGATTTATTCCTCACAAAAATAAGTATATATTTAAGAAAAATATGTATCTAGATGTAAATAACTTACCCTAGTGCCATCACAAGTCTTTACATGCGCCAAAAATAGCTTAGCACGGCTGCGATTGAACCCGCACTTCCAACAAGCCAGCGTCCCTTTAGCCCTAATTATATTCTGCAAATGCGCCCAAACTGCTGACTCATTTGACAAATCCTAGAGAAGACAAATGATAATTTAATAATTTCATTATACGAGAGAAAGTATTTAAAAAGGGTAGGTTTTAAAAAATCTAAGACATGGGCATAATATCTCTTACACGGAGAAGGCACACGAAAGGGAGCTTACTCTTGAATCCAATTCCGATCAATCGATATTAATATTATAAAATCCGTTCTTCTTAATAATCCGTATATTGGGTAGTCAATGAACTAAATGGTATTAAGTTTACGGTTTAAGACATTTATTTCTCAAAAACAATTTACATTGACTTGACTGAGAAATACAAAATATACATAAGTAGGTACAGAATGCGAATCAGTGTCCGAAACAATATATCCGTATTTATGAACAACCAAAATATTACATTGGGTACATACTTAAAACATACACAAATAAATTACTTTAAGTAGTCGAGGGTAATCTTAAAAATATTGGGTCGAGAATATCAAACATTGTGGTTTTACTAATAGGAATTTGCAATGGCAATGGTCTTATTACGTATCGAAGATTCGAAACACATTAGTTGCTATCACAGATGTACAATAATAATTATGTTATGGAAAACTATCAATACCGTGCCACACTTTTTTTATTTTTTATTTTTTTTGCAGTCATCATAAAATAATGAAATAATAATGTATGCATGTATTGTATGTGTGTGTGTTTACGCAATGTATGCAAGAGGTTATGGAGTATTGTTTGTTTTATTTTTATAGTATAACTATTTACGCATGTTCTTTCCCTTTTGTTAATTAGATATATGGATTTAAATTATGTGGTTTAGTTATAAAGATTATTTGCTTGGTAGTTTTAATATATAGTACTTTAACTTCTTTTTGAATAAAGGAAAGGACTTTATTTCCTTTATATCATTTGGTAGTTTATTATATAGTTTGACTTTATATTCCTTACTCTGAATGCTATTTTATCAGCTAAGATTAGGGTAATGACAACATTAGTTGTCATTGGATAATTATTAAAATTTTATTGGTTTGAAATGAAATTGATATTGAGATTAGTTTCAAGAGTAAGCACCCTGATTGGCGTCTAATAAAGCTTATGGGTTATTGGTTTCTTAATATTTTCCTTCGCTATATAATATCAGTTGCGTCTAATTAAACTCATCATTAACAATATAATAGAAAAATAAAGCAAAAACTTACTAAAGGAGTATCTCCTTTCTGCCACGCCAAATAGTTATGATCCCTGCTTATATGGTCATACCACCGATCCGACAGCATGGTCTTATCGCACACACCACAAGTCACATTTTCTTCCAATGGCGCTCTGGATTTGCGCGTTGGCTTTTCTACTTTTTCACTTTCCCCTGACATCTATTGAATAAAAATTAAACGTTAATAACATCGCAAGTATTTATTTTAATTATTTATGTCAATAATGCAAAAAGATTTACCTTTTTCTTTATACAGTATTTAACATGATCGTTGAACCGATTAAATCTGTTCGTTGTCATGCCGCATAAACTACACACCAACTTGCCCTCGGCTTTCAACTTTTCTTTCAACTTGCGCACTAAATCTCGATCGTCCAAATACTGAAACAAAATTATGCATATTAAACAATAATATTATTTATTAAGTAAGTTATTTATTGTACGTAAATAAATTTTACTCATGATACTTACAATACGACCACCAACTTGCCAAGCGATTAAATCATGCTCATTGGCCACGTGGTCTTCCCATTCTGCATGAGAAAACAAGTCTTCACAAATTGCACATTTTATATTCTTCTTTGAAGACGGCTCACCCTTATCTTTACCGATGAAACTTCGCTTCTGTAAAAAAAAAATCATATTTATAAACATTTTTTTTAATTTTATTCTATTGATCAAGTACCATCAATCAGATATAAGAGACATACTCGAGAATTCTTTTGAAGAGGTTTAGTTGCAGCAACTTTTGCTTCCTGGGCAGGAGTTTTCTGAACTTCCATATTACTCGCATCATGTTTGGACGTCTGGAAAAAAAAAGATCAAAATAGAAAAAGAAATAATTACGTTTTGGGAGTAAAATCTTCAAAGCTTTTACCAATCCGATCACGTGGCGAAAGCATAAGGGACAGAAATCAATAGAATTATTTCGTACCAAAATAAATAAAGGTAAGTAACGCTAGAATTTTATTACAATATAAGTTATCACCATGATCTGATTCAAAATCTCGGCAGTCAAACATTATTAACAGACTTGTAAAAAGTCGAAAGTGATTTGACACATTTTGAGGAGGTTGGTATTGGAGTCTGTACATGTGAATTGTGTAAGTCACAGGAATTTCTATATACTAAAGCTTACCTGTGGTAAGATGTTACTTATCTCTGAAGATCCTGGTTTTGTTTGCGGTGCAGTGGGCTGAAATAAAAAAAAATAACAAAAATAAAAAACTTGGAACATTTTCAGTTATTGATATTCGTATTTTTTAGCTAGTTTTGAATTGATTTGTTGTTTAAGGTTAACACAAACGAATCTCATATATTAAACTTACCATAACATTAGATCGAGGGCTTCCCTGTGTAGTACTTGTATGCCCACTGTCTGCAGAACTGCTACTATCATGTACATTAGTACTCAAAGGCTTGCCTACATCTATAACACTATTGCTTTTTTTGGTTTCAGCTTCAACCATATCATGGTCATTGGTGTCTAAAATAATATCAGAATTATTTACAATATGCACCTCAGGCTGAATTTCAGACACAATTCCATCATTTGTAGCCGGAACTGTATTATTAACAGGTGACACTTGAATGTCACTAGAAGAAGCATCATTACATTCATCTACAACACAATCATGAACCAACGGTTCTGGTTCAGAATCATCAATATTTTCACAAAATTCGTTTTGAAATAAATTCCAACAAATAGAAATATCTACATTTTCTTCAGTCTTATCCTCTTTATCTACGTCACTTCCATCTCTATTTACAATTGGCTCATCACTGTATATAGAAAATATTGTAGCTAATTCACAATTAGCATTATTATTATTCTTAAAATGTATGTGCTCATATGAATTATCACTATCATAGTAAGCTAAACGGCCAAAATCATAACACAAACATAATTCCTGGGTTTTATTAGATGTCACAATATTTACTGCATCCACATTCTGGTCCACCATCACATCGTGTTTTACGTTCTCATGCAACTTAGGTGTGGACTTATTACTCTTTTTCGGAATAATTTGCCTAGCATAGGTTTTAATGACCTTGCACTCACCAGTGTGTTCATTATCTTTTTTGTTACCACCAGGCTTTTCCACTCCTTGGATGCATAATTTCGATTCAGTTGTATTTGTCTTTGAATTAATTGTCTTCTTATTATTTGGAACATTAAGAAATGCTTTCTTCGATTTATTTTTATCTGTGTAAATGTGGGAAAACTTCTTTAAATATGCAGCTATCTCCTTAACTTTCTCTACTTTAATTTCTGCATTATTATCTGCCAATTTTTTAGTTGCATTTAATATACTAGCTAACTCTAGAGGTTCTGATTTCTCATCATTGGGTTCTGTATCAGATTGTTTACGGTCTGTTTTAATTGTAGATTTCGATTTAGACATAACTTGAGGTTCCTTGCCATGTTTTTTCTCAATAACAGTTTGTGCAATATTGTTTGTTCCCACATCATCTAATTCTTTATTTTTAACAATATTGGGCTTTACAGACCGATCTAAATTGGAATCCTCATTCTCATGAGTCTTTCCATTACAATTCTGGAAAATATTTTCGTTTTCTATTTCTGTGGTAACCAGTTTAGTTACTGTTTCAAACTTCGATGGACCGTCTGACAGATTGTCTGATTTAATAATTTCACTTACATTATAATCATCCTTAACAATACTAGAATTATTTTTATTTGAACGTATTTTCTTGTTGTTACGTGATTCATTTGTTTCTGATTTGTTGTTAGTGTGTTTTTTAGTCTCCTCAATCACAACTGGTGTATTTTCTGCTATTTTGTTAATTGTGGTTTCAGTCGGTGTGCTTTCAACATTCTCCTCTAAATCTAAGCTTGGTTTAGTATTTTTATTTTGTAAAGGCACTGTAAGGATTGGAATATTAATCTGTTCTTCAGACTTACTGATTTCATGGTTAGTTTTCGCTTCAATTATTGACTGCACTGTAATGGGGGTTAAATTTTTCACATCACATAATTTTAAAGATTTCAGTTCCCTAAGTTTTGAAAGAGGGATTGTTTCTTCAGAAATAATGTTTATTTTAGATGTATTTGATATTTCCTTATTAGAGTGATTATAAGACAATTGATTGGGGTCTGTGTCTGTGGAATTTACGGTCAATTCTATATCATTGTTAATTTCAAATGATTGGTTATCAACCAAAGAATTTATACCGCTGTTTGCTATTTCTGGTGGATGATCATCTAAAACCACATTCATATTTTCTTCAATTTCCATTTCATTTCCAATCAAAGATGTTGATACTCCATTAAAAGGTATATCATAGTGTAAATCAGTATTATCTCCACTGAGACATTCGTCTGTAGTATTATTAGAGACATTCAAAACTTCAATAGAGCTCACAGGTTCTGTGCCTACCAAGTTAGTTGCAGAAACAATTTCTGGAACAAAACTTTTGCTTGCAATTTTGACTTCTTCAGGAATACCATTAGCAATAGTCGGAATAAATGTAGGGCTCAAAAAGACTGATTTCTTCATTAATGTTGCAGTTTCCAAAATAGAGGTGTCAGATGGTATCTGACTACAATTTCGATCTGAAATATTTTCGAAGCACCCATCATTGATATTGTCAGTGCCTGGAAGAAAACAAGTGTCACTTTGTAGATAAGTTTTGATAAACAAACTATTTGAATAAAAAATGGGCACTTACTGGGCAGCTCAACGGCAGGTGTAGAAGAATTCACTTGGTTCACATTTATGTTACCTATACTTATACCAAGTTTCTTCAAAAGGTCCGGAGGAAGTACAAATACTTCATGCTTATCCTTGGCAGATTTCATCTTTTTTGGTTGCTTATTTTCCTGAAGACTTTTTGTTTCCATTTTCAAAATATTATAATTGATTCATTTTCAATTGCATGTTCAGTTCTTCAAAAAAGCTCACTGAAATAGTAATAGGAAGTTTATAGAAATTTTATTAAAAATATATCAAATTGTATAATTTTTTAAATTACCTTTGTCCTAACTATGTCTAGTAATTGCATCAGTAAAAAAGGAGTAGGTATATTTCTTAATCATAATTATTTAATCCATATTTCATAAATATTTAAAGATATTAATGAAATATGTTTTCACTCAAAAGATATTTATTAACAGCTTTATAATTTTAATACCACAAATAAGTACTTGAAAAAAAAATTACATTAACAAATAAAATTTCACAATTTTCAATCATTTTGCATAATTTAACATTTTTAAAAATAGTAAATACGAATTAAAAAACCAAAAGCAAAATATGAGAAAAGGAAAAAATTAAACACTGCACCAGGATCGAACCATGGTCATCAAAATCAATGATCACACGTGTTCATTACTACGCTACGGGAACCGCTTTGCCACTAGTGTAATTTGCCTTGCCTTTTTTATTTTACGAACTTCATAACAAAAAAATATATCTTATTTAAAGAAATATTTATGCAACTACACAAAATAAAACTAAAAAATACCACAGGACTTACAAATTTTTCGACGCTAGACGTTCAGCCTACATTTCGAAGATAATTCTTGACATTTTTACACAAAACACATTACCGGTGTATGATAATGAAAACCACGGACACTCAACACTTACTAAATCTTTGTTTAATGTAATTCACACCTGTATTAATTGTATGAACCTACAACCACTTAACACGATGTAAAATGAAAGCGAATTCGCATGAAAATTAAAATCTTAGGTTATGATCGCTCATACGAAGTTCTCTTCTCAACAAAGTTAAAATTAACATCTGTAGCTCCTTATTTCATTGGAGATAGGATTCATTTTTAACTAATATCAGTAAAAATAGCAGTAAAAGATAAATTGTCAAATTGACATTTCAAACAGTTTTTATATCGATCAACAGATGGCGCTATTCATAGCTTTGTCACAGATTATAAATACCGATTACATTATTTACCCGTTTTTGCCTATTTTATTTTTAGCTTTTTATTATTATTAACATATTTATAGTATTGAATAAAGTGGGTATTAATCATTTCTATATAAGTCTGAATTATTTTAGATACAGTTTGTGTAGTGTATAGCATGCACATCCAGCAATGAGCATTCCGATTTGCGATCCGATACCGCTCTGCCGTACCATAAATGTATTGTTAATAGGTTGTATTACACCTTAAAAGAAATTAAAATAATAATTATAAAAAAAGAAGAAAAGAAACCTTTTTTTAGTATATCTATGTTCATGTATGTAAAATTCTCGAAAGTGTAAAATAAATAAAATATGTAGGTCTTCTTGACTTATGTCTATATGACTTCGGATACGTACTTATTATACTCTTTGCTTCGGAGTTCGGACTTTAAAAAATGACATCAATGAATGACAGTGTGGTTGTATTGTGAGCTGCTTTTAGACACATTTAACTGGGTAAAAAATATAAAATAAATAATTTCCAACCCTGATATCTGTGAAAAGTAGCAAGACTTCTGAATATCGTTAACAAAATGGGTGCCAAGTCTCTAGCATTATCCTTTCAAATCAAAACAGAATGTAATGTATCAAAAGCCCGGGCTGGACTAATGAAATTGCCGCACTATGAAGTTAAAACTCCTGTTTTCATGCCTGTTGGAACACAGGTATATCATTAATATCATTTTATCGATAGTTTTTCGTAAGTACATTTTTTATATACAGTTTTTAGATTGAAATTAATATTATTATAACTTTTCAGGGTACAATGAAAGGTCTTTTACCTGATCAACTTGAAAGTTTAGATTGTGAAATAATTTTAGGCAATACCTATCATCTTGGAAACCGTCCTGGCACAGATGTTTTGACGAAGGCAGGAGGTCTTCATAACTTTATGGGCTGGAACAGGGCACTGCTTACTGATTCAGGAGGTTTTCAAATGGTTTCACTGCTGAAACTGGCTGAAATAACTGAGGAAGGAGTCAAGTTTAGATCACCATATGATGATTCCGAAATTATGTTAACTCCAGAAAAATCTATTGAGATTCAAAATTGTATTGGTGAGTTTTTAGATGTATTTATTTAGTAAACATTTTATTGAATGCAAAAACAATTTGATAGATTTCATAATTAAATTTAAGGTGCTGACATAATCATGCAACTAGATGATGTTGTCCAAACCACATTCCAAGATTATGATCGTATTAAGGAAGCTACAGAAAGGACTAGCCGATGGTTGGATCGATGTTTGGCAGCCCATAAAAGACCTACGGAACAAAGTATTTTTCCTATTGTGCAAGGTCTACTAAATAAAGAATTGAGGGAACAAAGTGCTAGAGAGCACATGACAAAAGATGTCAATGGATTTGCCATTGGGGGATTGAGGTACAAAAATGCTTTAATTCCTATACTAATTCAATAACTGTTTTCTGGCATCTTTCTCATTAGTACAAAATAACTGTTTTTTTTTTTGTTTCTACAGTGGAGGTGAAGCAAAGGATGATTTTTGGCCCATGGTCAGTTTGAGTACTGGAATACTGGATAAACACAGGCCTAGATATCTAATGGGAGTTGGTTTAGCAATAGATCTTGTAGTATGTGTTGCCCTAGGAGTTGATATGTTTGATTGTGTCTTCCCTACTCGCACAGCTGTAAGTTTAAGTCCTCAATTTTACCAAACATGTTTTTATTATTGTATGTGTAACTATATATAACTTAAACAAAAGTTCTTTTATTTTTCAGAGATTTGGTTGTGCCCTAGTTTCAAATGGACAGTTAAATTTAAAACAAAAAATCTATGAAACTGATTTGGATCCCATTGACAAGAACTGTGGTTGTTCAACTTGCAAAAATTACACAAGAGCTTATTTACATAGCATTGTGACAGTGGAAACTGTAGCTTGCCACTTAATTTCTGTACACAATATTGCTTATCAGGTACAAAGATGATGTTTGATTGTTAAATAATAGTGATTTGGACTTCTGCCTATAATTTCACACCAACATTTTTTTGTATTTGCAGATGAATCTAATGAGAAGTATGAGAGAGAATATTGAAAAAGGGACATTCCCACAATTTGTGCAAACATTTGTTAGTGAGTATTATGCTGATTGTGAAGAAATCCCACCTTGGGTTATTAATTCGTTGAGCTCTGTTGGAATAAACATAGTTAAAAACTAATGTTTTTTTTTTATTATATTTGATTCCCTTGATAAATCTATCGAATCTAAGGAAAACTTACAATATATAAAATAATCAACCAATCAATATTGGTATAAATATTTTTATTTTGTTACATAAAGTCATCTGAATCATTGCCATCATAATTTGTGGTCATATTTTCAGCTTTCATTAGAGTAGAGTAACTTCTCAACTCTGCTTCCTCTTTCTTCTTTTTTTCTTCTTCCTTTTCTTTTTCTTTCTTTTCTCTTAGAAGTTTCTTTTTATCTTCCCTTTCTAGCCTATCTCTAGTTTCCCTTTCTATTCTCAGATCTGGGAAAGATTCTTTTTTAGTTTTGTTTAATCTGTTTACTATTTCATTACTTCTTTTAGCCACTCTCACTTTTCTAACATCTTTGTCTTTATGAAATGCAACTTGTCCTGCCTGAAAAAAATAAAATAATTGTTAAGTTACACAATATCCTAATGTTGCCAAATACTGCTCATGAATATGAGCCTCTAGCATTGCTTGGAACTAGTTGAGTTCCCCATTGAAGAGAGTGACCATGTAGGTTGAAATTTTATTAAATAATTTAGTATTTCTCAAAAAATTTTAATAGAAAAAAAATATCTCATAAGAAAATGAAAATGCATTAACAATAATAATTGATTGTAGTTGTACCTCCATTCCAGCAGTTTTCTTCAAATTTGCCCACATTGTATAGACAATATCTATATCATTCATTTTATTACCCATTATAGAATTTGCTTTGACTAACTGGCAGGCATCATCCAATACAGAATTTGGTATGTCATCAATAGTTTGACCCTGTAAAATACATTATGTTGATCAATTTTTAAATACTAGTTAGTTATTGACCACATACTAGGATTATAGATCCAGTACAGTTTGTAGATTATAGTTACACAAAGAACACAATGATATTATGCTCAGCAGCCAGTAATCTCAATCATGCAGTCCAATAATGCTTATTAAACTGTATCTTACCGGAGCTAAACGAAGGTATACGTGAGCTGAAGACACTTTGTCTACATGGAACCAAACATCCTCAGGCCAACCCCACTTTATCAAGTCTTCATCTGCAAAACAATAAGGAATCATAATTCAACATCCAATACTGTAATTTAATGCATTGCGTTAAAGACAAATGAAATTCTGTACAGAGAATAGTATCCAAGTTCTTACTTTCATGTTTGTCAGCACCCATAAAAAGGGTTACTGGCGGAGACACCACATTACTGGTGAAGTAAAAAACCATTTTTGGCTGTATTTATGAGTCTAGTGTGTAAATAACTTCTGGTACACGTCTTTAAATTAAAAATTTACAATCAAGGCACCAACTACCACACCGATTTACGATACCATTGCACTATGACGTCTGTCACCTCACACTTGTGCTGTCTGTCACTCTCTGCTTGACAGTTTAGTGGTGTACTGTAAATGCTTAAATACAGGTAGTCGATTAAAATAGTCGAATAAATAAATTAAATCTAACCCACACACCATCCGATTTCATCTCACAAAAAAAAAATAGAAATATATTCAACATTATTGTTTAAATTCAAATAATATTATAATGATCATGCCATTTTGTTTTGATACAGAGTTTCTCCAAATTATTTTGTTATTATCACACATCTCCGATTTAAAATAGTAAGCAATAAAGTTTAGACTACCAGTGTGTCCGAGACCAAAAGGTGTCATGCATGTGTCATTTCTTTCAGATTGTCAATGAATTGGCATTTGAAACAAACAATCGATAATAATGAGAATATTGAAAAATAGTATTGATTTACGAAGTGCTTATTAAATATATTGGTATTGATACAATTTAAGCTAGAGAAGTTTCTTAATAAGACTAAAATGGGAAGTCCAGAAAGAGAATTGTGCCCACCACCATCAGAAGAAGATGAATTAACACTGCCAAGAGCAAGTATCAATAAAATGATTAAAGAATTGGTCCCTTCTGTGCGTGTAGCCTTCGAATCACGGGAATTAATTCTGAACTGTTGCACGGAATTCATACATTTAATAAGTTCAGAAGCTAATGAAGTTTGTAATCAAAGCAACAAAAAGACAATCAATGCTGAACATGTACTCACAGGTGACCTGTCAAATGACTTGTAATATACATTTATAATTAAAAACAAGCATGCTTCACGAATTTAAACATTATTTATGTTATTTCAGCTCTGGATAGATTAGGATTTAGTGATTATACACTTGAAGCTGAAGCCGTTTTAAAAGATTGCAAAGCCGTTGCTGCCAAAAGGAGACGGCAAAGTACAAGACTGGAAAACCTTGGTATACCTGAAGAAGAACTGTTAAGACAGCAGCAAGAACTATTTGCTAAGGTAATCAAACATATGTAGCTTGGTAACTGCAAACAAAGTATGTACTAATTTGTAATGTACTTTTACTTCATGTTCAAATACCCAACTAGAAGACAACATGAACTTGAATATTAATCTAAACTTTTGTAACTTATGAGTTAATGAACAATAACAATAATTAAATGTAATTTACATAATAAAGTAGTAGGTACCCACTATTCATTATTTCTGTATCAATTTCGTAAAAGGAAAGTAATGGAAATTTCCTATCACTTGGAACTGGCAATGCCATTATATTTTTCTTATATTCAAATTCAGAATTTTTCTAATAGTTTTCTGTTCTGGTACTCAACCGAAACAAAAACTACACAATATAATTATGTAGTGTTTTTCATACTTTCATCATCATCAACAACATGATTCCATCCACTGGTAGACATAGGCATATCCAATAGCAAAACACTGAAGCTTTACTTTGTTTATATTATTCCAGGCGCGAGAAGAACAAGCAAAACAAGAGCAGCAACAGTGGTTACTGTTACAGCAGCAAGGACTAGTGGGAGCCGAGGGTGCTACTCAGCCATATGTGCCTCCTCCCCCAGGACCTAGGCTTGATGATGAAGAAGATGATGATTACTCATAAACACACACCCTGTATATAACCCTACATTGTCATGTAAATGAGAAATAAAAGTTAAGAAATTCAATTATTTGACTGTTGATAATAATTCAAAATATTTTCAACTCTTGTATATTAAAAATACAGATAATAAAGGAACAACACTATCCTCTTTGTTTGGTTTTTTTTTTACTAAATTAATAATCTGTAATTGTCATTCTGTTGTCATGACAATATCATTAAAGCATTTTGTTTATAAACAATGGCAAAATGTAACAGTATGTTAAATACAAAATGAGCAGTGATTCCAATAAGAAATACAAAAGGCCGAAACAAAATACGTTAGCAACTACAAATCCAGGAACTTCAGTAGGTAACAATCTCTGTAATAGTTTGTAACACATGATAACCAATTGAATTACAGACCAGGAAATGTAGCTATCTGTATTATGAAAGTAGGTATGTACCTAAAGAAGTTCGAAAATACTTTTTATTGCTAAGAATAGGTACCTATACTGGACATACATTATGTATAAGACATTAGGTAGGTAAGGTACTTCCTACAGTAACTAGATAGGTAATTTCTTTGGCAAGTGCCGCACGCCGGTTTTCTAAATAAAATTACCTAATTACTAATTATAAAGGAATATAATTACAGAGACCAAGAAATAGGCGAAATGATGCCGTGAAAAAGCAACAACCACTATGTGCATTATTAGCCAAAGACTCGGAGTGGGTAGACATTCTGCAGTCACCTCAAACAGATGCTGCAAGGTCGTCTACCAATGTGTCCGACGAGGAGGAAGTACTACAACTTGTAAATAAATACATTAACATAGTTTCTGAGGAATCATAACAAACCATGACGTCACGGACTTTAAACCCCGATGGGTTAGGCAGAGGTGCACATTTACAACGCAACATAATACCCATTTATTACTGGTTCTTGAGTGATGAGTCTTACGTACAGAAAGGGGATACTTAAGCCTATTGCTATACAATACAATACATCTGGGACAATTTCCAATTTCGTAGATAGGTTAGGCAGGTTACTGAGAATTTTCGAAAAACCGAAAATACCAATAATACCTACTTTGCGTGACTCTGGAATTGAGTCCAAGACGCTTACCTACGACCACTCTAAGAACAAGGCCGTCTAGGAAAATAGTACTTATAGATATTCGATTTATTCCAAGGTATCAATATCATAAAATAAAATGCTTACCTATTAAAAAATACAACTCGCATTTATTTACGCGTGGATCTACAAGTAGGTACACACGGCTACACATCGAGCTTTACATAACCAGTATAAACTGAACGTTAAATAGGTATGCGGAAAGATGAAGCGACGCGACACCGGGATAAACTGGTTTTGTATAGATTGATGTGTGGCCGTGTGTACCCACTCCATGATAGGAACATTTTTTCGTCACATCGATCGAACTTACACCGTTCCAGTTTAAAATTTGGTCAATGTTAAGGACTGTTTTAGGTAGAATGTGAAGATGGCCCTCAAATGAAACCACTTGCTATTATGTTTCCGGGGTTGCTCGACAAAGATCCTAAAACACTTCAAGGGATGCTGACTAAGGCTATGTCTACAACTGAAGTAACAAGACATTTGGTGGACCTTGGACAAAAAGCTAATTTCAACTTTATGAAAAAGGCAGATCGCTTAATTCCCCCAGATAAGGTAACTAGTGCAGCTAGTAACTAGACTGAAGATAGATGATAGAAAGTCATTTCATAATTTCATGTTGGTTATTGAACTGTATTCCCAAGGAAGCTAGGGAATACATTGTTCTTACACAATTGAACCAACAAAACTATGTAACTAGGGAATTGTGTTGTGAACCTGATTGAAAAAGAGTAACCTACGGAGTCTCTTACTCGTTCTTCTCCGTAGGAATTTACTTGGAATGAGCAAATAGCTTCACTTTTAAATTTTTTGTTGACATTGAAAAGTGCCATAGTGGTCTAATTAAAATAAAGGATATTGACTTTGAATAATTGGAGAATAATTATGTAGTTCACTAAGTTCCAAAGCAAGATTTCCAATTTACAGATGGCGCTGCTGTATATTGAAGTCGCGCTGTATTACTTGACTCATAATATAATCATAGTTTCTATTTTAACAGCCAGTAAAAGTTAAAGTGTTTATTATTTCATGGGGACGAATATGAGAATTTCACAAATAATTTTAACCAGTGAGGTAACTTCATAAGAATTTTCCAACTTGAGGTCAATAAGGGCGCAGAACATTATGAAATAAAACAAAATACTTTATTCTATAATATTATATTGTTGTTTACAGCAATGGATGGAAAGTTTGACTGAAAACAGCAATTCATATTGTTCCATAAACTCTGGGCTACTTAGCAACTGTAAGTATTTATAACGTTTTTTTTTGTAATATCAACAAATAATAATAAATATCCATTTAATTTCATCGTCTTCCTTTTTAACAATATTTTTAAATGTAACAAAATTATTTGGGAAGGTATATCAAGTGACTATGAAGCAGATAATGAAATAGCCGATGGAGAATGGAGTAAGAATAAAATAAAGAAGAGAAGAAAGCACATTGGAAGCACTAATCAATCAACTCCGGAAGAATTGAGTTCACACGACATTATTAACACAGGATACTATTTTAAGTAAGGCAAACTAAATTGTAAAACAACAAACATAATACTTAAACTTCATTTCAACATGATATTTTTGCAGCTATGAAGATTAGAAACAAAAGCAAGTACAAAGTAATGAAATTTAAACGATTAATATACAAAAAATAACAATTTGAAAGTGTAATATTATACATCTATAAAAACATTTGTTTTATTTAAAGAATAAACTGAACATATCTTCTATTATGGATGATTGGATGAAAACACACTTCAGCAATGATTTGATTGCGTACATTTATATATGTATAATGTACAATTGTCTGCATCACAGTAATTTTAAGGCCACGTTGTAGCCGCGACGTACGTACAGTCAACCAAGTAATTTGGTATACAGGTAAAGAAGATTAATTCAATACAGATACTGTAACTGGTTGGCTGGTGAGTCGACCAAAAGTTATGATTGAGCTTCGTTAAAAATCATATAATTTAATACAACAATAGCTATTGTCTCAGTACTGACACTTTATTTTCTTACCTGGATACGAAATGACTTAGCTGAATGCTCGTATCGCGCTTTCAGAGTGCATGGGTACTGAAAATAGGCTGTAAGTACAATCTTTACAATGAACAAAATATGGATACAATACTGAGGAGTGTTCTCATCCTAGCAAGTAAACATCTATTCTTAGACACATTAAATTGGTTCAATAAGTACATACAAAACATTTCTCCTTAATATTGTACATGACATATAACAAATCGTATGAACAATGTTATTAGAATGCAATAACTTTTCAAACTATGTACTAGTAGAGTAGTATTTAAATATCTGTATCCAGCATAAATTCATGAATAAAGTTAAGTATTCTTATGAGAAAAGTCAGATTGTGGCTATGAATTTGTCTTTACACCAATAGACCCATATTGTGTGACCAATCGTTATAAATCTGGCTTCTATACACATATTTTATTAACAAAAGCGAATAACAAAATGAAGTATTGCACGCATAAATAATATGCTTAGAATAGAAAAATGCAATTGATTCAGTGCTAATTGGAGCAGCAAGAAGTATTTCCCCATTTATAAAACTGTTGCGGTACTTATTCATGTTTCTCATGGCCACAGCTTGAGTCAAGACAAACATATTTCCACGTATAAAGCATGGAATCGTTAAACAGCTGAAAATGAGTTGTATTAATTTCTGCAAAAGGTGACGCAAGCCGCCCATTAATAATAAACATTTTCATAACGCAAACTTGTAGCTGCATAATGAGATTAAAAAAATAGCTATTTACGAAATATCACTAGCGTTTAAAATAAGTATTTAAAGAAAATATTCTTAAACTCTACGAACACATGAGCAAAAAACATTATTTATTAAGAATACATACCATACTGATCGATTCCGTTAGTAATAAATTTTCCTATTTACATTACTATTGCATGAACATACAGTTTCACGTCACGGACTCACGACTCCGGGCTGCAGATATAAAAACCAATCGGAGTGTGCTAAACATGCTATTCGGTAGCTGCTTTCTAAAACTACTCACATAAATATCCATACTAAGATGTTGTAACCCCGATACACTCCGACTGACTCTCACAAACAGGCCCAAGTTAAATTAATAAATAAATATATACATACATAATTACTTATACATTTTAGAAGAATATTAAGCAGATAAATAGAATTATAATATACAATAATATCTTTATCTTCACTCGCATTAACTACCCTACAAATAAAATTTACCAATTACTGCTAGACTGCATTTCCTGACATATGAAAACGATATCTGACATTACGAGATGACTTTCTTTTAAATAGTAACAAGATATAATGACGATATAAGTTTTTTATTGTATATTGTATATAATAAGGCTATAAAATCTATTGCTATTAATGTTTTTAGAATTTATTTTTAAGTTTACCGTCTACACGCGCTATTATAAATGCTATTTCCTTTCCGCTGACCCTAAAGAAACGGCCCTCGCTGGGGTGCGACGTAGCCAGGCGTTTATTGAAATATACTAAACTCAAATCGGATTTCCACTCGACTCGATTTGCGACAGAAATCATTTTTTAACCTGAGGGCCAAGCACGAATAACTATCGCATTCGTATCGTAACAGTATCGAGCGAGTTAAGCGTTCTGATTGGTTGGTTCACTTGAGCCGGCCAATCAGAGCGCCGAACGCGCTCGATACTATTACGTTACGAATGCGATAGTTATTCGTGCTAGGCACTCTGGTTACTCTAACCCGACAACTGAACTCCGCATACATTACATGATCAGACCGCCAGCCAAACTACTTTTATAAGTCTAAACTTTCGCTAAGGTATGAAATTCACAAAGTTTCAAACACGTAAAAGGTCTGAGTGATCGCACCCCAGCACCCGAAAGAGTCGCCACTGACCGTCACCATCTATTTTTACCTTTTATTTATTCTATCGACACTATCTTCAATTACCAATTTCTCTAGTAATGACTATAAATGACAATAAATCGCTACCGTATTACAAAAATACAATAAGTCTATTTTTTACGAGAAAAGAATATCACACGCGAGGTGCCACCCATAAACCACTTCCGACTATTTGAAGAAAGCTCTGTACTATATTTAAACCTTATAATCTATATAATAAGTATATTCACTTCATTTTTATTGAGCAGTCGGTATATGTGTTTGCATGCAAGCAGGCACTGTTTTGTTTCAATCACACTTATTTTATTAAGCATATTTGTTAATTTCTTTAGTGGTTTCTGGATGGTTAGCTAATCTCATGTACAAATATTATTTTATTGTAAATAATTGTGTACCTATGTCAAATTTAAGCGTATTTAATATTAAACTAGGCATTTACATAACACATACATGGAACAAATGGAATAGTTTCCATACAGATATTTTTGTCTTATTTACTTCAAGAATAGAAATGCGAAAATCTTTCAAAATACTGAGTTTTTAATTACCCAAAACATGGAATTAGGGTACTCAATTACGGATTGAGGAACATATGCTTGTATTCTGACGATGTACAAAATTAATGTACGACTTAACTTACGAAAGTTTGCGACCACTTGCGAACAATTTACTTCACAGTACTTAAGCTATCAATTATTATAAAATACAAAGACAATTTATGGAGCTTCTATAAAACATATCCACAACATATAGGTGTGGTATAAAAATCCTTCATTATTTTTATAGATATCCTGAAGACTCTGAAGTACTTTTTTAATATTCGCATATTCGCGAAATCAGGATTTATAAGTTAGTATTATACTCTTTTGAAAATGGATTATTTAATAAAATTCGACTAATAAAGCGTACCTAGTTAATATTTGGAAGTTAACTTGATTGAATATAGTAACATTGCATACAGTAATTTTCTGCTTTGTATAAATATCTTATTAAAAAATATCTTTATTAACAGTTTTATTTTGTCACCACAAACATTTAGGCATATTAAAATCTGTAGTAATTAACAAGTTATATGGGTTTCATAGCGAGTTATAATAGGTTATAGGTTTCATGAGCTCTCTAGCAATATACATGTGTGTGAACACTGTGAACCAATAACCTAAAGGAGGTTTCACAGTAAAACAATTTGACATCCTCTTTTTTCATATAGTTACTAATTCATTGCTTGCAAAGGTACCAAAGTAATTTCAGTGCACAATATTACACAGTTATCATGCAACCAATTGATCTGTTCTTTGAGTCTTATACAAATGAGTTTTCAATATATTTTTTTTTTATATTACAGCATCAATATAAATCTTGTAAGCATAATTTTAACAATACTCAATATCCCTAAGTTTTCAATGCTTACATCTTCTATGTGGTTAGTGTTTATACAAGTAACCCTACAATATAACACAACCGTGTAAACCATGAGGTTTTTTGTATCATAATTTAATCTTCTTTCTAGTTATTTAGGTATATTCTGTTAAAAAATTATACTTTCAATTCAACAAATGGGTCTAGCAATTTAATGTAAATAAATTTTATGCTACTGTTAATGTGCACAAATCTTGCCATCACATAAGACTTGTATGAGTCTTCCAAGTATCAATAGACATTACTATATTTATTTTGGTCATCTTCTAGTATTGCTGGACTGATACAGCCCCAACATAATCTGAACACTGCCTTCCAATTACATATTTAACTAGTTTTGACACATCAACAGTAATACACATACTTACTATAATAAACCATCCACTAATTCTACTTCAAGTATTATAAATTCTCAACTGTACAATTAATTAACACATCAAATCAACTTCAAAGGAACATTTACACTACACATCACCTATAGTAATTATTAATATTAAAATCAATTATTATTGCATCATTTAGAGTACAACATCATTATCATTAAACATTTTATAAGCCAAAATTCACCATGGTCAACATGAGAGAACATCTACCTGGACCAGTAAGAAGTTAGAGGTACCTACGTTATTAAGGGATGAGGGAGCGAGCTGGGTCAGATTTCGTGAGGAGCACGCCGCCGAGCAATGCGAGGGCCGCGGCGGCCGCCAGGCGTCACGCGCGCGGCCGCGACGCGGAACCAGACGCGCGCGCGCATGCGCACCGTCATTGTGTCGGTTTCAGAGCTGCCATCTTACGCCCGCGCGCACGTGCTTCCTGCCGCGACGTGGTGTACTCGAACCACAGCACATTTGGTATCAGTGTCGTATCTCTGATCATCAACATTTCACATAGTTTCCTGGAAGGTAACAATAACATGTTTTTAATAATAGGTAACAAGGTAAATGTTAGTTGAAAACTACAATGCTATAATTACTTACAATGAGACTAGCTGTGGAAATAATGGAGTGAAAACTCTGTGAACTATTGCAAACCAGACAGTTGCAAATATGAACCCGACAATGCCTCCAACAACAACTTGGGAAGTGGTGTGGTAGTGCAGGTACACCCTGGCAATGCTCACTAGCAGGGCTAGGCACATGCAGCCTCCTACTATAATCACCCTCCATAGAGCTGATATTATACTGTTGTTGTTAATGTGATGTAATCTGGAAATAAAAAACAGATTACTTTAGATGAATATTTTGTCATGTAATAAATCTTAAACTATTGAAAATTGTATTACATTCTATTGAAATATTTAAAATCCAATTCAATGTTATGTAGAGTGTAAATCGATGTCTTTCTTTCTGGTGTTCAGCAATGTTAATACCATTACTTTGATATGCAATACATTAGGTTTATAATAAGTATAATTTATGTATTCCTAAGTACATCAACACAATGTGAAAAATATCATATAGTAACCCACCTGATTAAGACAAAGTATAAAACATAAATACTAAAGAACCAAATAAATTGAGCATGTGATGAGGGCATCCCATATTCATTATATAAATTTCCTCTCGAGAGTGGTCTGGCTTCACATACTATGTGCTTCAAAATTATATTCAACACTTCATTTACCAGTGTACCAGTGAAAAATGTTATCTGTAAATTAAAAAACAATATATTAGAATTACAAAGTAGCAGTGTCACATAAGAAAGACTAAAGACAATTTTATGACTAGGTACTCAAATAATATAAGGTTGAAAAGATGAGTGTCAAAAGAACATTAATCAAACTAAACATTGTAAACATTTAAATTTTAAATTTACTAAAACAAGTTTTTTCGTATATCTAATGAGGATTTTCTGGTCAAAAAAGAAAATATTTTAACTCACAGTATGAAGATCTCGCCGGAACAAAATAAGCGCAACAAATCCAGCACCAATACCAAATGGGGACAGGCTTATAAATGCAAAGAATTTACCAAGCCAGTCTCCTGAAATCATAATTATTAGGGATCATAAATAATGGATATATTATACGTTAAATAACCCAAAAATCATAGTTAAACTTACCTTTTGGATACTCAACTAAAGTAAGAGCCAGCGGTTGCCATTCGATTTCACCGTTATTATGCAAAACATCACTCACAGATATAGCTTCTTCCTCCATTTTCGCTTCATTTGCTAGAATAATGTACCAGTTATGAAATTAGTACTAATCCTATCAAATATTCCAAAGATAAAAATAATACATTAAAAAACTCGACTCACTGAATCCACAACACTGCCGACAAGTAGCTCGACACGAAACAAGTTTTTGACAATTTCTGAACAATCAATCAAACCCTCGTTGACATAAGATAGTATTGTCAATGCAAAATAACTAGATAGAAACTATTTACATTTCATCTGCTGGTAACACAATTTCCAATCAACATTATCGGATGCTGAATAGCCATCTTTATTTGAATTTTCTAAGATTGTAATTCGTATTTTCACAGATTAGATCTTCTCTATGGTTATAACCCTACTAACCGTCTGGTAACCCTGAACGGTTCTTTTGTGGATTCGTCGTCAAAATAAAGAGGGCTAAAATTCTTGAATAAATTGTACTTGAAAAATTACAAAATATAAAATGGCAGACTCAGATGTAGTGGACTTGGATTTAACTATTGATAATTTAGTTCCGAAGAGTCCCGAAAGGTGAATACTTGATATTATTTATTATTCAATAAGATTATGCCAAAATTCCTTCATGTTTTTTGTAGATAAGTGAAACAGTAAAAACACAAATAAAAATACTGCAATAGGTGAAGTCTCAATTATCATTCTAAATTTCATACAATAAGGGTGCCTTGACATATGACCTACATTAAGTACAATAGCCCGATCTTGTGTGGGAGTCCATCGATGTGCTTATTAGAATCGACGCAAACTCATTACTTTCGCATTTATGACGCATTTTCACACAAATAAATAGCGGTTGCTTTGAAGTTCACCCAAACATTGTTACAGCTTGATTCCTTGATCTATGTTTAACAAAGAATCGCTGCAAGTTCAGGGTGAATCAGCTGTGTTTCGTGAGATTGATAACACATGGATGCGTAATAATAACACAAATGCAATAATATGTTGACATACAGTTAACTTTAGTTTGATCTTCAACACTCAATACCAATCTTACTCTTTTAGGGTGGCTGAAGAAAAGAAAGAAAGTGGTAACCATTTGTACAAATTCAAAAATTACAAGGGTGCCTTGACTATGTATGATGAAGCTATTCAGCTTTGCCCTGAAAATGCAGCATACTATGGCAACAGATCCGCATGCTACATGATGTTGGGAATGTACAAGAAAGCTCTTGAAGATGCACAGAAAGCTGTTTCTTTGGATTCTACATTCACAAAGGGATACATCCGCATGGCTAAATGCTGTATTGCACTGGGTAACTATTTTAATTTGATTGGTATACAATTTTCTTAGTATTGTATAGTATTTCAAATGAATCCTTACAATAATGTTGATATACCTAAGGTGATTGAAGAATCACTGTGTACATACTTCATATTATAGGTGTATTTATCAACATGCCTGTTAAAATAACACTATTGTACAAGTACTGAAGGTTGTAAATAGTGATGTCATATAAGAATGTTGACTAAATAGGCTGACTTTATCATCCTAGACCTCCTGCTTTAACCATCCCATGTCCGGCAATAGCAAGATAAAACAAGTTATCACATTTACATGAGTATTTGTGGTTTTAGTCACATGTATTTTTTGCAATATCATTTAGTATAATTAATACCCAGTTTGTTTACAATACCACTTTGTTAAACAGCTGTTTCAACATTTCTTATAATAATCTTATTGTAAGGAAATATGGCTACTCACTGCAGAATGCAAAACTATCATTTTTAATAAAATTTATTAACTAAGTACTTGATTTGAATAATGATGATGATATAGTTGTGATATTGTGTTAGTGGCAATCAATCTTATTAAAATTCTATTTACCACTATTGGAACGTAAATAGCACAGTTGCATGTTCAGTTCATCTTGGTATTACTTTTATAAGACTTCCTGAAAGTCTTATACAAAAATACTTCCTGAAACTTCTCAACATTTTGTTTCCATTCCAAGCTGAATATTAATTAGATCAATAATCCAATAAGGCTTCAATAAGAATTCAACTAAATTAGTGTTGTTTTTTTATAAGTTGTATACCAATAACTTTGCAATGACAAACTACTAAAAGACATGTGCAACATGTTTATATTACTGTTTTGCCTCAACTAAACAACATTAAACTTAATGATGCATGGTTAGGCAACCAAACCCACACAAAATTATTCTTTGTGTTTGCCACAATTTGTCATTTGTGATTTGGGTGTATTGTGCTTAACACACCCACAAGCTACAATTTAGATTTGAAAAAATAACATTCTACTTTCCTCTATGTTAATGGGGAAACCTCCAATGACTTTTCGTTTTATTATAATTAATTGCACAATAAAAAGCTGCTAATTTGTAAAATGATCGAATCAGGTGACCTGTCGGGTGGTGAACAGGCGGTGCGACGTGCAAGTGAGCTCGGAGGCGCGGATTGCGCGGCGAGCGAGAGACGTGCTCTAGAAACATTACGAAAGCTGCACGAGGATGCTCAGCGCGCAATGGAAACCAACGACTATCGCCGCGTTGTATTCTGCATGGACCGATGCCTCGACTACAGTCCCTCTTGCACTAAGTGCGTAACTCAGATATTTTAGCAATAACGCTTGAGTTCCAAGCTGTTCAAGTTTATACATAAGCTTATCAAGCTAATCTGCTTGTAACAACGACACACTGATCAGATCTTTATAGTAATTATTTTCAAAACACAACATAACGCCTTGGCCATAGGAATAAGTAGAGGTACACTTAGTGGCTCCAGCCAGTCTGGCCTTTTTGTAAAAAAAATATTATGTTCTAGTGTATTTGATCAGCTCAATGCACAATACCTCTTGCTCAGCAATTTGTCTCTACCAACAAGATATGTTTTTGAAAATTTCCTGTGTAAATAAATCTTTGATCTTGAAGTAAACAATTTTTACTCATTGAACTTTGAAATCTTTGTCCATTATTGAAATGTATTTTTTATATTTTCCAGGGCGAAACTCACAAAAGCAGAATGCTTAGCTATGCTTGGAAGGTGTCAAGAGGCTCAGGAAATTGCTAATGATTCATTAAGGTTTGACAGTTTTGACACTGAGGCTATATATGTGCGTGGATTGTGCCTGTATTTTGAGGTAATATATTTTTAAAATTATATTATGTATAACTTTCGAGAGACATACTAAATTAATTATTATGTTTTGGGCTTACTTAATTAACTGTTTGACGGGGAACTCGACTAGTTTCAAGCCATGTTAGAGACTCCTATTCATGAGCAGCATTCCGCGACTTGCGACGCTGCAAACTATGGCTTAAAACTAGTCGAGTTCCTCGGAAAACAGTTACGTGAGTAAGAATAATTATTTTAAGATTATTTTTATACATATATGAACTTATAGACTGCAGATCTAACTTAAGAAATCGTTTAATGTTACAGGATAAAGATGAACAAGCATTTAAACATTTCCAACAAGTTTTACGACTTGCTCCTGATCATAAGAAAGCTATGGAAACTTATAAAAAGGCTAAATTGCTCAAACAAAAGAAGGAAGAAGGTAAAATATCAGCTTGGTTTATAAAACAGATATTTATTATTCACAAAGTTTTACACAATTCCGATTTGAATAATTTTACATTTTAAATTTTGTTTGGTATTCATCAACTGATTTAATAATTTAATTCCATTGTTACTCCAGGTAATGAAGCATTCAAAATGGGTAGGTGGCAGCAAGCTCTGAGCCTCTATAATGAAGCTTTGACTATTGACAAGAACAATAAGATTGTAAATGCTAAACTGTACTTCAACAAGGCAACAGTGTGTGCTAAACTGAACCAAATCAAGGAAGCTGCGGAAGCTTGCACTGCTGCCCTCGAACTAGACGAAAACTACGTGAAGGCGTTACTTCGACGTGCCAAGTGCTACACTGAACTTGGCGAATTCGAAGAAGCTGTCAAAGATTACGAAAAGCTCTACAAGATTGACAAGAGCAAAGAAAATAAGCAATTACTGCATGAAGCCAAAATAGCTCTTAAAAAATCGAAACGCAAAGACTATTATAAAATACTTGGCATTGACAAGAGTGCTTCAGAAGATGAAATCAAGAAAGCATATAGGTAACAACTCAAGGAATTTTTTAAACATGCAATGAATATATCAATTTATCTAAGTAATTCTGCGAAATAACTTTAATCAAAACAACAATTGCAAGATAACTACATAACTCATAGATAAAGGAATTTTAAAAGTACAATAAGAATTTAAATATGTTATGAATGAAGTATCTATATTTATTTTGCGTAAGAAGTATGTATACTATTGGCGTAACCTTGACACAATTCCAGACACTTTGCTGCTTCTACTAAAATTAAATATAATATGTAGAAATTAAATAGTCTGTTTTAGGTAGATCAATACTGTAACAAATATAATGGATGTTATAGGAAGCGCGCCCTCGTCCATCACCCAGATAGGCACGCGGGAGCACCCGACACCGAGCGTCGTGAGCAGGAGCGCCGTTTCAAAGAAGTCGGTGAGGCGTACGGGGTACTTAGCGATCCCAAGAAGCGCGCGCGCTATGATCACGGACAAGATCTCGACGATGATGGCTCCGGCATGGCAGGTTAGTAAAAGTTGTTTATGTAAAAGTAAATAAATAAGTATAATCCAAATGTATATAAGGAACTTTCAAAATACGATATGCTTGACATACTTACTTACGATTTGTGTTGAATGTGGTAAGAAACTTGTAGAAATTGTGGGGCTAGCAAAACGTTGCTTGTAAAACCTATCTCCCTAACTCCCTAACGGCTTCCAACATTAAATTTTACTTTGCGAGTATGCAATAAAGCATTGCACAATTTCTAAACTACTGATTAAAATTTACAGATATTGACCCCAACGTAGTATTCCAGACCTTCTTCAACCGTGGTGGACAACATTTTGATTTCGGCGGCCGATTCCCAGGGAACACTTTTGATTTTCATTTCGGTTAATTTCTTTCATATGTTACTTAAAACCGTAATTTGAACAATCAACAAAAATGTTATGCATAAATTAACAAAATTGTATGTGTACATTATAGAATTTAAAAATTGTTCTAGCTGAACACAATAATATACATCATTCCACATTAAAATATATAAACACAACTTACTCAAAGAGTGATTAATATTTTGGCAAAATTGTTTGGTTTTATTTTTCCTCTGAAACAGTTATAGAAGTGCTCTATTTTAATGAATAATTGCCATACATTATCACAACGAACGATGACCAAGTATGTTGAGGAGCACATGTGTTATTAACTGTACATGATATGGTGTTGCGTTCAAAACCGTAGTACCTAATTATTATAATAATGACTGATTTGGTTAAGTATTTTTTGATTGTTAGCCCACTGGCGAAGTCATGTGAACATGCTTTATGTAATTTAATGATGAATAAAACTAGAAAATAACTATGAGTACCTCGGGATTTTTAATGAATTGCCTCTCATTACCCGATGGTAATTCAAGAACTGACCCAATAACAATTTACAAAGCTACTAAAACAAAAAAAAATGTAATATTGAAAGGTAAAAATATACCTAAATGTGTCTTCGATTTGTTTAAAACCGATTGTCCTGCCAAACTTACTGACTGCTGATGTATTTGATAGTTTTATTATTGTAACCTGCATAAGTAGTTTCCTACGTCACTTTTATTTGAATCACGAATATGTCATGATTGTTATATTAAAGTATGTGTAAGTAAAAAAAAACCAAGATTTATAGTAACTAAATATTTGCGAAAACGATTTCAATATTTACTCAAATCTGTAAATAAAAAAGATATGAAAGAGAAGTTTACTTAGTAATTTTATTGCTTATTAAGATTGGGGTGTGTTCAATCAATGAAGTAGAGTGAAATAATTATTATTATTCATGGAACATTATCTTAATAGACGGCTTTCACAGTAGTTTAATATAAATGAAACTTTAATAAAAATATCCTCTAATCGGATGTTAATTTTTATTTTCCTACAAAATCCGCAGTTATTTACAATGTTAATATCTCTTTACTTGCATTAGCAGTCTTTGTAGTAGGTAAACGAACAAATAGAAATGATTACAGTCTATTATATGATATGAATGTGTAAGAAACAACGTATACCTACTGCAAAACGCTAAATGTAGTACAAAAACAATAAAACATAGTTTTGGATATTTTGTAGTTTTTATTGCAGTCAATTTGGAACCTACTTTATGCATAGAAAATGTATTCACTAAACGTCATTTCTATATTATTTATTCGCTTTTACTATTTTCTTGAGATATACTTCCTTTCGTCGCTTTATCGTTTGGTGGACGTTTAGAATCAAGTTTACCTTTAATACCTTCAAACCTGTAATTGATAGCAAGTATAAAGATTTTCATAGAAATTGACAAGATGTTGTATAATTTGGTAAATATCTCTATGAGATGTGTTTAAAAGATCAGACTCAGTCACAACACCTACTTGTTTTAGTTTACAATAGATAATATATCCCCTTGTATTGTCCTACACACCCAGGTATGTAACATGTAGGTACCTACTTATATCAATATTTTTACGTAGATTCCTTGTGTCGTGCGTGAGTTTACAAACATAAATTCATATACACATGATAATTATCCAAAGTCCAGATCCAGAATAACAATGTGGATCAAAGATTTGTTCCGTGTGGAAATCGTACTCGCACGACCCTACGCGCAGCAGCCGGTTGCCCAACCAATGTGCCAATCGTGCAGTCGACCTATGTACTTACACGGTAAGTTTATTACAAATTCCATTTCTATCACTGCCAGTCGGAGCAATGTATTTCTTACTTTCTTAATCACTATCATAAAATTTTTCAAAATACCCACTTTTTCATTTTAAATGGTTTCTTCTTTTCTGGTTTTGCAGGTTGATGATTAGTTTTAAAAGTAAGAACATAACGTTTCACAACGTCTACATTTACTGTGGTATTTTCAGGATACATTCGCTTCTTCCAAGCTTCAATTTCATCTATCCACATTCTCTGATACTCGTATGAGAGCAACCATTCTATACGTGGGTGACCTTCCTGTTAAAAACAGATAATCGTGGATAGTGGGTAGGAAAGTAAATTAATGTTATGAAAAGGTTATTGAACCAGATACAAAACAATACCTAGGTAGGTACTGAAATAATTCTAAACTGGGGGAATCGAACTCGTGAGTTCTTCCAGTTTAAGAATAAAATGGCCACTATTTTTCATAACACTCGTATATACATTGGATTACATAAACAAATTGTTATTATCCACTACGTGTGCAACTTACCATAAACTTCCATGGTTGGGGGTTATACTTGGGAAAATCTGAAGAAATGATGTTGTGAACAGGTCGACATTGTGTAGCTTTTTCCCATTTTATACCCGACATTCGACCCATGGTAGTTTTTAATTTAGATGTCCATGTGTAAACGTTATAAAAATACAATGAAATAAGATTAACTTCAAAATATGACGATGGTCATGTCTACCTACCGGAGAAATATGACAACTTTTGAAAAAGAGAACACCTATCTATGCGTCTATGGTGGAGCGAGCGACTGTAGGATGGCCCATACTTATTATACTTTTTAGGATGGCCTATCAAACAGTACAAAGGAACAACCACACATAACCAGTTATTTTTTTGCCGCAGGATTTCCACAAAGTTTTTATTCTTGTTTTGTGCGGAAATCGAACCCGCAGCAGCCGGTAGCAGTGACCCAACAATCACTGCACCAAGGCATAGTATAAAGAAAAGGGAAGTAGGTTATCTTCATACAAATGCACCGCGCGCGGCTTTTAAGTGTGCGCCATAGTACCTATCTATGCGTTGACGCACACACACTTTAACAAAATCTCGACCCGTTTCTCAGTGCGCTAGGCAGGGCTAACACTCTCAGTATTATTGTATAGTCTATGCTGATAATCTTAGAAGAACGTATTGCTGTGTTTGGGTGTCTTAATAATTCATCGATGCCAGAACTGTCTCTGTTCAGATTACCTATTGAACAGGAAAGATAAGCTAGTCACTATTCTAGTATAACTTGTACTTGATGATGAGATACCTACTTATTTTTTGTTTGTTTTAGTTTTCTATCAGTATCACATAGCAAGTAGGTAGGCCCAATTTCCTATTAGAATGTATTAAGTAGGTACTTTTTATCTGGCATTTGATTTGCCGCTATTGTTTTGTTAACGTTTAGTTAATTTGATTTCTCAGTATTGTAGGTATGTTTAGTAACTAAGTACCTACCTAATTACAGTTATAAAATCGTAATTCAAAATAAGTAATTGCCTATGGTCTATCGATTTATGTGGTTAAATAAAGGTAAACAATCTTGGTATGTGAGCTGCGCCTAAACTAAAAGTGACAACCCTAAGACAGTAGGTAGGCAATTATATCGCGGATTGGGAAGATGGCCTACTTCCCTTTTCTTTATACTATGACCAAGGGCTAGGGTAGGTAGGTAGGTAAGTAGACTCATAGTACTTATTAGGCACTGATATATCTATGCTATTAGGTAAACAATTAATCTTAGAACTTCTTGCACTATTCAATTCACATTGAACAAATTATCAAAGTTATATCTCGCCGAAATAAAACACGTCCACTGTTGAAGGTATAAATTCTGATAATATTTCCCCATTGTTGGGGGCTGAGATTATGGTAAACCTCTTTATTAGAGGAGACCTCCAGCATGAGACTGGTGGTAAACAGTATAAACATGTTTTATAAAATCAAAAGAAATTAATTTAGTGAAATGAAAAGTTGATTAATTAATTAATTATGTAAAAGTAGTTTTAGCTTAGCAAAACATGCATAAAAATACTATGCACAAAATGAAACCTGTTTTGCTTATCAATAAGACATCCATGAGGTACAATGTTAGAAACAATTCTTCGAGGTAGGTCTTGGGTACCGTGAAATGGGGTGAATAAGGACAGAAATTCTTTATAGTATCGACTCGCCCCTCTTCTGTCCCTTTTCGCCGCTCAAACCCTATTCACCCCATTTTACCGTACCTTTATTAATTATTAAAGGATCCTAAATGAAATAAAAAGGCTATTGATTTTTAGTGGGTTTTTATTTGATACACTAGTAGTTATTAGATGATCCTAACTTCCACATGGTGTACCTGCAACAATAAAACAACATAAGTATTTGATTTTATTTCAGAGTAAAAGAGCATCTATCTCTTTTTGTAGTTTGTATGCTTTTCAAACAAAAATTCTGTAATCACAGAACTTTTGTTAACCTTATTCCTTGTAACACAAATAATATTCCAAGGGTGGAAAAAGCATACTTCTATGCCCTCGTATTCTTTACGTTAATCTCAAAATGAAATAACGACTGCCTCAGAGGGGCTCATTACATTACTATAAAACCTAGACCTACTATAGACCCATGAATATTATATCTTTCACACATACACAATTACAAATTATTGGTACTATGAAAATAAAACTACTGCTATGGTGTAAACAAAAATGTACAATAAAATTCAGAAATTATTAGAAATCCAAGAATATTAAATTGAAAGTTTATTAATAACCATCCATGGCTGTAACTACGGCACTTAAAAATTATAAATAAGTAGTAAACAATATTACTTGACATGTAAAATTACCATGCTATTTGTTAACCTCCAAATGATAAACACAAACTCGTTGGGGTATCATTTCACCAAAATTTGGATATAAACAGTATGAGTGCCCAGTGTAAAAATATAAAAAAGTGCCCACATGGTATTTAATTTGGATCCTCTTTCGAGACCTCATACTAAGGACTTTTTCTATTAGATATAGATCAACAATATTTTGATAAAAACAGTATAGAGTCCAGTGTACAAAAAATAAAGTCTCAACATGGTATTTAATCTTGGATCCTTTCTTGAGACTTATTATTAGGGACCTTTTCTGTTAGAAACAACTACTTGAGCAATGACTGGCAGCAGCCAGCCGCCAATCACCCATGACAGATAACTGTTTTGGGTTGAGCACGCGATATTTTATTCACACGTGCGATTAACTAGAAAGTTATAAATGACAAGAGCCCGTTTCTAATCGAACATTAATGATGTAGTAAACAATACGTATACTTATGATTCCGTAAAACATGCTTTAGGATTAATATATTTTAAGGTTATGTATACTGCTTCGAAACTACTATGGAGTCGTCGGTCTAAAAGTACCACAAAATAGTAAGTACCGATAAACAGCGGTGAATAGCCTAATTTGGTATCCTTGTAATAAAAATTGTACGAAGATATCGTATGAAATTACGTGATTGATTACGTATGAGCTTCGAAAAACTGCGAAAATAGTTGTTATAAAAACCAGGATATGTTAATTGTTGTATCTACATACTAAGATAAGTAGCTAGCCGGTTCGGTACGAGTTTTAACCTAATCGAACACTTGGAACTCTAAAAATATAATGGATATGCAACATAAATATAATAACTTACCATTTTATTTGGACCTCGCACGCATCTTCCTCCTTTTACGCTTTAGCCTTCGCATGCGCTTCTTACGCCACTGAAACAATTAAACACCACAAGTCAAAACGCGGTTCAGTTGACACAAGCACAACATGATTTATAAAACAACTTGCTTAGACTTAAATATATAATTTAAATAGTAATGTACCTTTGCTCTCATGTTTAAGAAGGAAAAACTTTAACTTTCCTCCTTCAAAAGGAGTTCGTGATTATTATGGAAATTCACGATGCAGATATCGGTCTGTGCTCGAGACTCCGTAGAATGAAAAGAAGGACGATGCGATGTTTTCAAGAAACCTGACAGTGACGCGATGTTGCCATTGCAAAATATTTTTAGAAATAGTGTTAACCACATACGAAAACATTTGTCCCCGGCGTTTTAATTTGATTGTTAGTCAAGTTTCAATAGTTATTATTATCTTTTAAGTAAAATAATAAATATATTTCGACAAAGGTGTTAGATAAAGGTTTAAGATTTTAAATAAAGACTATTTAATATCTAAGTCGATTGAAAATTATGAAACGTGAGATTAAACGGTTTTTTTATTTGGTGACTATTTCAGGGACCGTCTGTAATAAATAATCTGTATAAAATAATTTCATATTAGGACCCGAAATAACAATCCAATGTCTTCGTTTTTTCCTTAATTAGGGGATAAAACCTCTAAATTGATAACCCCAGCCATAGTATTATCACACTCTATAGTCTATGTTATTTTTGCTGTTAGAGTGCTGGCAATATCTTTAAGGGTTACCACAAATTATTAACTATTATTTTATTTCGTAATCACACTTATAGATAATAAATAATTACTCGAAACAAAATAATAATATTTAAGTTACATTTAAGATACATTGATATTTTTTTCTTGATATATAAACCTTCTTCCCAACAAAACCAAATTTAACAAATGAGTAAACCATTTCCATAAAAATCCGTTTTATCAATAATTATAATAAATAAATAAGACTGAAACTATGATCAATGAAAAGTGTTTCAAAATGGACTATGTTAATATTATACAACTAGCAGACTAGCTGTTGCCCGGGACTTAGTCCGTGAACAATATGAATTTTAGACCATAACTTATTTTTTCTTTCAATTTTCCAAAATAAAAGTAACATAAATAGGCAAACGTTACACCTTAGTAGGTACATCAGCTACCTTAGCTACCTGCTTAAAGTCTTGCAAAATCGATCCAGCCATTCCAGAGATAAGCCAGTTTGTACTGGAAGACAGACAGACAAGACATTGAAAAAAAAAATACGTTGGTATATGTATCGCATATACGATACATATACCAACATAGTTTATGGTAAAAAAGTTAAATAGCGGTTATTTTAATATTACGAACAGATACTTTTATTTATCTGTATAGATTACGAATGATCTCTAATGATCAATTTAACTTTGCATTGTTTTGTTAATTATTTATTGGTTTTGTTAATATTATATTATTATATTATGGTCTTTGTGATTACTACTGATAAGATAAATACAATATGTACATAGGTGAAGAAAGGGCAAATGGTTATGGTTTAAATCTTAGAGGTGGACTAGCTGAACCCACAACTTCGTCTGCGTTTTTCTATTAGCTACCGTCCAATAAAAGTTACGTCAAAATCGGTCCAATAATTTCAGAGATTAGCCAGTACAAACAGATAGACAGATACAAATTTTAAAAGGTGTGGTTTTTTTGGTATTTGTGTCGTAAATATATTTATATGCATGTACTAAAATAACAAGCAGTTATTTCAATATTACAAACAGACACTCCAATATAACTTATATGTATACTAGCGACCTGCCCCGGCTTCGTACGGGTGCAATATGTATGTATTATATGTATAAACCTACCTTAAGAATCAATTTCTATTCTAAAAAATAGAATTCTAAAAAACCGCATCAAAATTCGTTGCGTTAAAGGGGACAGACAGACGGCGGATAGCGACTTTATTTTATTTATACTATGTAGTAATATGTGTATAAATATAAAGGCAGAACCAATATTTTAAACTTGTTAAAATATTAATATAAATAAAATAAATAATTAATATTCTTTTTTATTCGTTGTTTTGGTTAATTTTAAGTTGTATATATTTATTCATAATATTATGTTAGTTAATAAACAATAGAAAAAAATATCGTGAGTATTTTTATTTCAAACTTGTATATGAATATTAGGGAACGCATAACATAATTATAGATAAATAGACGCGATTTGTAAAAAAAGAACTAAAAACCGATCTAGGCTATATATGTGCGTTACCTTGGCATTTTCGCGTAAAGTATAAAATGTACCAGTAATACCAACTTTAAATTATTTAATGACATGACAGCAATGAACGATGACATTTGGTGCGCTAGATAACCAAGATATTCGCGCCAAAAGTGTTAGTTATTAAATTAATTGTTGTTTTGGTGTTAAAACTTATTACTTGAAGATATCGGCACGGTAAGTGTTTTTATTTACATGCTGGGCTATGAATATTAGCGTATATATTTCAAATCATTGATTCGTGATGTCTCTCAAATATAAATAAACCAGTGTTACCAACTTAATCGACTTTCATGGCGATACGCGATGCGACGAAGTTGAGTCTTCCAGTTTGTAAAGAATAATTTGCAATTTAATTAATTGATCTACGACTGTAATGAGTTTCCAAATAAACTGAAAACGTGTGTCTACGGTGTAGTAGTGGATAATTACGATTAAACGTCAAATTATGGTGTGTCTAATTGCTGGACGGTTAACAGCTACGTGTGCCCGTACATTATTTTTAGAGTAACAGTGTTTTGTGAAAATGGTAACGTCTAATAAACAGCCGGATAAGAAAATAGTGAAAATGGCGGAGCAGAACACTGTGGCTGTTGTGCCCCAAAGGACCTTGCTAGGTGAAGTTAATGAACATATAACATGTCCGCTATGTCGAGGCTATTACATAGACGCGACAACGATCGTAGAATGTTTACACTCTTTCTGTCGGAGCTGTATTATTAAACACTTGCGAGCGAAAAGCTACTGCCCTGTTTGTGAAATGATGATAAACTCTGCCAAGCCAAACATCAAACCAGACAAGGCACTTCAAGACATTGTGTACAAGCTTGTGCCAGGACTGTTTCAAAAAGAAATGGAGAGGCGACAACAGTTTTATTCATCGCGACCAGGTCCTGCTGCTACTGCTACACCTGAACAGAGAGGTGAAGATACAGAAAGAATAATTTTCAGTCCTGAAGATGTGATCTCATTTTCTTTAGAATATGCTGATGCTACTGATACTGATAGCATATCTAGTAAGTCTTCAGATAGTAATGAGCCACAACCAGTCCCAACAACACCAAGAAGGTTTTTGCAGTGTCCTGCTGTGGTGAACATCAGTCATCTTAAAAAGTTTTTGAGTATGAAATTTGACATTGATAGTACTCAATTTGCTATTGATATTTTGTATAAGAGAGTTCCTTTACCAGATTACTATACATTGATGGACATAGCTTACATATACAACTGGAAGAGAAATGAACCAATGAGATTTTTCTATCAAATAATAGATTATGTTGCTATTAGAAATAGACTATTTGAAATCAATAAAAAAGGTTCAGGTTCAGGTCATTTAAGAGATAGAAAATCAAGTCCAGCATTAACTGAAGATACAAATGTTAGTAGTCCAGCACCTCATTTAAATGACCAAGGCTCTGAAGCTTCTTCAGGTACTGACAGTCCTATGCCTGATGATACTACTAGTCAAGCAAGTGACACATCTAAGAAGGTTGAGAAAGCAGGGCAACAAAGTAAAAATTTTGATGAGTCTAAAAATCTTGACCGACAATCTGATACGCCTAAAAAGAATGATGATGAAGTTGAAAAATCTCAATTTCTCAATTCCTTTGAATTAACTGCAAAGAGCATGTTACCACTTAAATCATCGCCAGTAAAATCTTCTGATGAACAGAGCACATCTAATGAAGTACCATCCAAAACCCAGTCAAAAGAAGTGTCCCCAAAAGTAGAAGAGAAAGTTGGAGAAACATCTAAAAGGAAATTTCAAACTTCTCCACATACACCAGAATTAAAAAAGCTTAAAATAGAACTTGAAAAAGCAAAAGTAACTAGTTTTGTTACTAGTGCTACAACAACTTCTGCTACTGCTACAACAACAAGTGCAACAACCTCCAGTCAAAGTAATAGAACATTGGAAACTCCAATAAAAGGAAAGGATGTTGAAGGGCCCTCTAAGAATGCACCAACACCAACTACCGCCATTTCACCATCCCCCATGGCTATTCCTCCAAAAGAAATGAAACAGCAAGCAGTTGCAAAGCAACAAGAAGGCCCTGGAGTGAAAAGAACTGTATCACTATCCCAAAACACATCATCTCCAAAACGGAAACCACCAAATGATGCTCCTTCTGCCGCACAGCCTCAAGGAACTCAGAAAACAATTTCTCCACTCAAATTACAGATACCCAAGCCGGAAACAACAGCTAATCAAAAACAACCAGACTTACAAAAGCCTCCAGTCAAAAAGATGCCAGATTTAAAACCTAGTGTGCCTATGTCTAACAAAGGACAACATGTCAATAAAGTAAGAATGGATCTATTAGCAAATAATAGTGATCCAACTATAGATAGAAGTAAAATATTATCTCAAGTTCAATCATCACTTGGTTCACCAATGTCAGGAACTCAACAATCCGGTGATCCTTTGAAGTCTTTATTAGATACATGTAAAATGAGAATACCTTCATCATTATCTATTACGCTAACTGATCAAAAATTAGATGCTCGTAATGCTGCTGAGGTAGCAAATACAGATCCTAAGAAAAGTATGGTAAATAAAAACCTGGCTGGTGCTAGTAACACTGCCCATAAAGTCCCAAGCCCTCCTGTTCATAATTATATAGAAATATTGAAATTACCAGACACAGATCAAAAAAATAAAAAAGGAGAAAGTGCTAATGAGACTAAGCCAAGTCAAGCAGGTAAAAATGATAGTTCTGCAACTCCAACCAAACCGCCTACAAAGTCATCAGAAAGTTCAGCTAAAGGCCCAGTTCCAAACTTAAAACCTATTTCTGACACAAAATTAGGGAAACAAAGTGGTAATTTTTCAGCCCCTATTACTTTTCAACAAACTTTTGAACAACAGTTACATAGTTTACAAACTGATAAAAAATCAAAATTAACAAAAAATAAAGCACAAGTTCCCAAATTAGTGCCTGCAACCCCTAAATCTATTAGTGCTGCAAATAAGTCCAGTAATTCTACAAACAAGCCGAGTGTCAATAACATGCCCATTCTAGAGAACAAGCCTAGCACTGCTCTAGATTTATCTACTCCTCATAACTCACAAAATCAGTTTCCACCACAAACCTTACATAAGGCCTTTGAAACTATGCAGTCTATTGACAGTTTGGCTAAGAAGCAAAATTTACCTAATAAAGGCATTCCTCTGAGTATGCCACAAAACAATGTTTTCTCTAGCAGTATGACTAACAGACCACTTAACTCAGGAGTCAGCCCATTAAGGATTCCTTCAACATCTAATTTGGGTCAGTTAAAATTGGACAAAACCAGTCCACAGATGAGCAACAGACAAGAAATGTCTAATACTAAAATAAATTCACTGAAGTCAACAAATACTGGTAATTCCAATGTTCCATCTCCAAACTTTCAAATGGCTCCTCATACATCTCCTAGTGCAGCACAACCTTCGCCTAGGTCACAAACACGTTCCCCTAGCTCTTCTCCAAAATTAGTAATAGCAGAAGAAAAGCAAGCAGGTAGCTCTGGTTTAGAACAAAATCTAAATCAGTCAGATCAGATTACAAGTACTCAAATACCCAATATGAACACAAATAATGAACAGATCACAGTGCCACCTGGGACCTCAAAACCTGGCCTAAAACCTATGCTTCCAGCTGGAAGGATACCAGGAATAAGGCAACCTATACCGACAAGTCAAAAAGCAAGTTCTTTGCAAACCTTACCTGATTACAGACTGTCTCAAACACGACCACCATTGATTTCATCTCAGCATGCGTTATTAAGACGTCATATAGAAGTTAATGCCTGGATAGAAGCTCAGCGACAGCTAGAGTTGATCAAGAGTATGTCAACAAATATTGCTCACCAGTCACAAAATGACTTTAACAATAAGGACAAACAGTAATTAGTTTTTGCTACCCAATTAAACTACTTTTATATGGCACCTAAAAATTATTAATTAAAAAGCCAGAAAATCTTAGTGATATTTAATTGTAAGTGATATATAATAACTTTGACTAATTTACAAAAGCTCGTAATTTGATGGTATATGAAATGAACAGAGTTGATTAAATTATGTATTTTAACATGTGTGTACTTGTAAATTTTGGTTTAAAAGTACTTCATCTGTACTTTCAATTGATTATAATTTAATAGAGTGTGATAATGCATATAACATACTTATGTTGTACTAGATTGTTATTGTTTCATTATTTTTAATAAATGTGTGTAATGTATATTTTGATAAACCAAAGTTTCTATTACAACAATTATTACAACTCTGGAAATGATACTACAGCTAAGTTGCAGATTTATTATTTGTGAATTTGGTGATATAATGTATTTTTTATTTTACAAAAACTTTCATCAAATTGTCCTTAATATATTTTTTGTTTATAAAATCGGAAGCAATGTTGGTTTAAGAGTTGCGTCCCTTTTGAAACGGATGTCAATTTTACAAGGAAATGTTTTTAACTTATTATTTTGTACATAAAATCACTTATTACTTTAATGTAAATTCAATTGATATTTTTATAGTACATTTTGTGATCTGATGATTGTATGTTGTTTATGTTAATTTGTGTTTATTATTGGTTCAATGTTATTAAAACTCTGGTGACTAACAATAAAGAGCTAACTGATGATTTTGTTAAGGAATTGTAAGCTTATATTTTAAATATCTTGTTAGTAAATGATGTGATGTGAAATGAAAGTAAAAATATTTAACTTTATGCAGTAATTTTCGCAATTTACACGTTTATAATCTTGGACATGCGATTTTGATACTTAAATGCATAATGAACTATCAGCATTACTCCAATGAAGTGTGTATGCGTGTAAAGTGATTAAAATAGGAAACTGATTGCAGTAGCAATGATAATGCTGTATATGACTTTCAGATACATGTTTCAATTTGTACTTACCTACAGACAAATAAAATAAAAATCTGAGTGAAGAGTGATGTTTATTCTGGGGCAGGTTCTAGTAAGAAGAAGCCAAAATGCCCATAGCAACTTCTAACATTTGATATTCAATTATCAAGTATTCGATTTACATTTCAAATATGAATACAGTTTGCTTTTATTTTACTTTTAATTATAATGTTAGTCTTATTATTAATGCTATGAGTTTTATGCAAAAGGTGTGTTGGAAATGTAATTTAATTTCTAATAAAAATAAGATCTTAAAGGTGTCTTTTGTTTATCCTCTCCATCCTTCCTATCACGCTGATAAATTTCTATGAACACTGACTGAATATTGGAAAAAGGTACATGATCAAGTTCATTCACAACTTTTTAAGTCCTTGCGATGTTTTAGAAAATAAATTATGCTCCTTGTTGTAGATGGCTGGAGTTCAGGCGACAATTCAATTCAGGTCACGCAAGAAGGTCTATGTGGATGAAGATGTTACTAACGAAAACAAAAATATATTAAATATCAGGAAAACTAGTGAAAGAAAGCTGAAAAGAAATATTGAAGATTTGAAAAAAGATATTGATGATGGTATGCTATAACTTAAGCAAAAATGCATAAATTGATACTAATTAAGGCTAGTTAATAACCTCATTCCTTTATATGTGTTGCAGATTGCACTCCTGTAAAAGTTTCGCGAAGAGAAACACTAACGAGTAAAAACACACCAAAAAAAGACAGGTATCACACACAAAATCCTTTTTGCTTTTGTTTCTAGTTGATCAGCCAATATCATAGTAGATGGAACTAGCTAATATGGGTCTGTAACAATAGCAGAAGATTTAAAAACTTTTTGCAATTTCTAAATAAAATTTTGACTATACTTGGGAGCAAAGAAATGAACCCACTATGTAGCTTTGTTATCTCATAGAACCCTTATAACTTAAAAAAAAAATAGTTGTACAACAAAATGCACGCAAATTGCCTTTTATCGCGCATTCGTTACCAATTAATAAACTATACTTGTATTAAAAATATTTATCAAGATACTTGCGACTTCTTACGCGTAATACCGTTTCTCTTCGTCCCGTTCGTGATTTTTAGTAAAAAAGTATTGGATAAAAAGTATTCTATGTCCGTCTCTTGGATCTAAGCTACCTCCCCAACATATCATCCAAATCGATGTAGCCGTTTTTGAGTTATAAAAAATACGACTACCTTTTATATGCACACACATATATATATAGATGAAACAGAAACAACGCCAGTGGCTCCGTTTGTTTTCTCTCAAGTTTTTTTTTGCAGTTATCATGACCATTTGCAATCGACTTGTAACTACTGTAAAGTTACAAGTCATCCCATATGACTTGTGTTACCTATATCACATTGTTAAGTATTTAGAAGGGGAAATTAATGGCTGCTATATTAACTGCACTTTTAGAGTTATTACACAAGTTACACAACTATTTATTTGTGCAATAAATAGTATCATCTATTTTCGTGATCGGCAAATTTCCTTGAGATTAATCGCCGTGATCGATAGTAATTGGGCCAACAGTGATAAAATGTTTAGGAGTGGTGCAATTTTATGTACTTAACTGTACGACGAATCACGAATCTCATGATCTGTACATTCTTTAAATTCCTTAGCTTTAAATCAAATGTTACCAACTACATTCTTATGACAATTTGGAGCATAATTACAGTAGTCAATCAGTGATGAAGGATTGTAAATGCTTATTATTACTACCTCATCGGTCGAATGGTCCTTTATGTGACTTGAATGCGAAGTTTTGTTTCGATATGACGCTAACAGTCGAAAATTTGATATAGGTGCCCCCTACATTATACTCACGTTCTTCTTTATCTATAAACCCCCTAAGACCTATATATTTTTACTAACAAAGAAATATTTTTTTTCCTTACTTACCTTAAAGAATCTTCATAATAAATTAAATTTGTTACAGTGAGGAGGAAAATCTGAGACCCTTAACTAGCAGGGAGAAAGAAATCGGATGGCTGGATAACTTTTTGACTGAACATCTTGACAAGGAAGAGTCTGCTTCACTCTACATCTCAGGCCAGCCCGGTACTGGGAAAACTGCTAGTTTATCGTACATTTTAAACTTGCCTAAGGTATAAAGTAATATAGAACTATAGATATATGTAGGAAACCCGATTAAAATTTTTACCCAACTGCAAAAAATACATGGTTAAACTAAATTGTCTCCGCCAACTTCACTCACACGACGAAACACAACGCAAGTGTTGTTTCACTTCGGTTTTCTGAGAGGCCGTGGTATCACTTCGGTCGAGCCGGACCATTTGGCTAGAGCCAAGCTTTAGCCAAATGGTCCGGCACTTGTGTGTGGTCACTAGACTAAAATCGTTGCTAATTATCGTGATTTTAATGAAATTTTTGGTACATGTTTAGTTACACTTATTTAGTACATAGTTTTTTTCTTGGTATTGTAACCAAACGTTTCTGTGTTTACAGTTCAAAGAAGGATACAAACAAGTATACATTAACTGTACTATGATGAAATCAGCCGCTAGTATCTACAGCAGAATATGCAAAGAGCTTCAGTTGCCAACATCAGGAACAACAGAGAAAGCATGCTTCAATGCTATTGAAAAATATTTAAAAAAGAAACACAAAATGATGTAAGTATTTAATTATATTAATAAACTTCTCAATTACCTGCTCCCCAAAAGGTCCACAACACACTTGTAATTCCTCTGGTGGCTCAGTGTCCATAGGTGGCACCGTTTGCTTATCATCATGTTATTCATCTGCTTGTTTGCCAACTTATTTCATAACATATCATCATAACATCACGCCTTTTATTCCCGAAGGGGTAGACAGAGGTGCATATTACAGCACTTAATGCCATTGTACTATGTAACACCCACTTTTCACTATTTATGTTATGAGTCTCATGTAATAGGTGAGCCTATTGCCATATGCTTAACTCCAGACTCTGTGCTACTACTGAGAAAAACCCAGTAATACTTTGCCCGATTCGGGAATCGAACCCAAGACTCCTTGGCCGGCAGTCGCACTTGCGACCACTCGGCCAACGAGGCAGTCAAGCCAGAATTACCCCAAGAATCACTATCTACTAATGAAAATCGTGTAAAAATCTTTTCAATCATTGAGTTTATCGTGAACAGATAATCGCAGTTGGAACTTTGTTTAGTAATATCCAATGTGGATTTTTTCATTCAGTCTTTAAGACATAAAGCACGATTATTTCAATAAATAATAATTTCTTGCAGACTTTTAGTATTGGATGAAATAGATCAACTAGACAGTAAGCGGCAATCGGTACTGTATACAATATTCGAATGGCCTGCAATGGCCGATTCCCGCATCGTGTTGATCGGCATCGCCAATGCATTGGACCTCACGGAGAGAACCCTGCCACGGCTGCAGGCTCGTTGCTCCCTCCGACCCGAAACCCTTCACTTCGCGCCATACACCAAAGAACAGATTATCAATATATTTACGAATGTACTGGCTAATGAAGATAAGAGCAACGTGTTCTCTCCTGTTGCCTTACAAATGCTTGCAGGTAATTCTACTTTTTGATATAAAACCACGTCTTAACTCGTCGAGTACCGTATTTATAGACACAATTAAAGAACAATAGGTCGCGGTCACCGGTGACCGCTTGGTGTTTGACAGTTTAAAGGACTCAGCTAACGCCAAGATGTAATATTAATGTCTACTTATCCATTTCAGCTAAAATCTCAGCAATATCAGGAGACATGAGAAGAGCTTTAGATATAGGACGAAGAGTAATAGAACTCGCGAGAAGGACAAAGTTTTCTGACAACCAATCAATTGATAATATGATGAAAGATTCTACAGTTACTGTGGAGTTGAAACAAGTATTAGAAGTACTCAACGACGTATACGGTGGCTCGCGGAAGATCGAGTCGGATGCTGAAGACGGATTTCCACTACAGCAAAAATTGATCCTGTGTAGTATTATGTTAATGCTGACAAAGGGGAAGGTGAAGGAAATCGTCATGGGGAAGCTGCACGATGTCTATAAAAAGTGAGTAGTTAATTAAATACGGGATGCGTAAAGATTTCCTTTTTCGTACACAGACTTTGAAAGTAATTGGGGTTCTATTTTGAACTGTATTTACTCACTATATTTATCTAATCTTATGAATAATTTCAAGGTAAAGCTATTCACGATCATTCTAGTTGACGTTACTTCAATCTTCGATACATAATTAATTCCGTTCTAAGGATTTTGCACTCACGAAGATTAAAACATACATTACAGCTACAAGGTTATGGATTAAGCATGGTATACAAATACCTTAAATACCATGGATTTCATTATATTCAAAGATTTCACAGTCAAATCTATTTGATTTGGGTGTGAAATCCAGCTATAGATACGGTGTTTAATGGTGGTGTAAATAAAGCATGTAAATATTGACCTTAGAGATAACTAGATAAGACTAAGACTTACTCTAAAGTTTAGTGGGAACAAGACGAAACTTATAGGTCCAGAGAAGAGGATAATCCTTATCTGAAATAACGATGATAAAGCGTGTTTTTGTAACTAAACGGTTTAATTATTTCCAGGGTAGCGACGGCGCGCAACATAGTGCCGCTAGATATGTGCGAGATGAGTGCAGCGTGTGGGTTGCTAGAGGCTCGCGGCGCGCTGCGGCTGGGTGCGGGCGCCAGTGCGCGTGCGCGGCGCCTGCGCCTGCAGTGGGACCGCGCCGAGCTCGCCGCCGCATTACGCGACAAACCTCTTCTATCCGCCATACTTGATGACGTCAGCTGCCTACCTTCCTAGCACCTCGAAAACTCACACAATCTAGAGAAATTCCTAGGTTAGTTTCTAAAATTTGCATTACCAAGTAGTTCACAACACACAGTTATTTGGGTTTATATTATCATTTTTTAAGTATGTATGATATGTATGTGCTTACTAAACAGACTGAATGTAGACTTCGTTTAATGCGAATTGTAAAGATTTAAGTCTTTTTATTTTATTTATGGACTCGAATTTGTTTGTTAAGCTTTACAACCTATTTTACAATGACTGATTAATTTTTTAAATGTATCAACCAACTTAATCAACCATTGTGAAACAGGCCAGAAGTGTTGTTATTGTAAGTAAGGACATGTCAATGTAATCAGTTAACTTGTTTGCCCTAGTGATTGCATCTAAACATGTTGAGTGCCTTCAGTTAAACGTGAAATACGAGGCTGTGTGTATAAATGATGAGATGTACAGACTGCATCTGTTAGCTTTTAAGACTTGTTATTAAATACACGAGTACCTATTGGTTACATAAGAGAATATTCGTGATCTTAAAGGAATAATGTTGTAAAAACAGTGAGCTTCTCGTTTTATGTGTAGTTATTTATTTAGCTTGTATATATGAAAATTTAATTACAAGCAAATAGGCCATTCTGTTTGAGGTAAATGGCTTTTTAAGGCTTTTAGTGTAATGAAAATCCACCTAATTGCTTATTATTTATAAATGTTAATGTTATATGCCGACATCAAGTGCTTACTCAAGTATTAGCAAAGGCTAATTAATTGATACCTGCACTAACATAATTTGAGCATATTTTAAATCAGTATTTATTCACATTGAATAAATGTAATGGCAATTCATGACTACTCGGACGTCGACGAGTATTCGATAATCGAACTTATTTCCACTGGTTGACATCTTGTTTTATAATATGGATAACTCCATACCTATTTTGTCATATAATAATAACATATTGATATTATCAGTGTTCGATCAAGTGCCAATGTGAGAGTGGTACAAGTTGGAAGTTGGTTTCCCTAATGCTATATTTATTTTCCGTCATACGTACGATTAGCCAAGTTATATTAGGTACGCAGGTCAAAAAATAAAGATGGTTTCAGTACAGAGACTTCACCAATGGTTGACACTAGTAAAAACTCATAATTTAGTGTGTCTGTACCAAATAACTTGGCTGAAAGTACAATACAACATAGAAATCAAACTATTAAGTTCTGACTGATAATCACAGTTGCTCAGTAAGTGAATACGAAAGCGGCAGGGTAAAAATCATGCAACCTTTCGACAATTCAACTTGATGTTATCATAGTAAGACATAGTTAACAAAGACATGGTCGATGTATTTGTATTAAAAACTATATTATTTAGTGCCAAAGTACAAGAAAGCACAGGTTACTCGCTGATAAACTCTATTGCTAATCCTATTATTTTCTTTTGGTGAATAGAAAATATTATGATTATGAGCACCTCAGATTACCACGCGACTTAAATATAGGTGTCTTGATCATGAGTACATGTGCTACATTAGTAAAAGTATTGTTTTATAGACGTAACAGTGTTTTGTTTGTATCTAACAATTTCTCATTATAAAGATAAAAGTCTTGTGATTGATTGATGTGCAGTTGTTCGACAAAGTAAAACTTTCTTGACCTCGCTCACTAAAGTCTATAAAGAAAGCCTATTGCTTAGTGTGCGCTGTGTGAGAATATGTTATACGAGTGTTTGCGATGTTTTATTACGTGACGAGAATTTCCAATTATGTAATTTTAACATATTTTGTTTCGTTTTGTGTCGTATATTGATTTGTTTAAAAATGCTTTATGTCTATTTATCTTTTACTGTAATAATCATGTCTTGTTAGGTTTTGTAACCTTTTTATAACTTTTGATTTCAATTTTGTTGGCGTTTATTATCTTGAATAATTTCCTATTATTTTTTTTTATTTTTATACTCGTATAATTGACCTAGTATGTACCTATCTAGTATCTTATGATTATGTAGTGCTGTTAAAAAAATCCAAAGTTAGGTAATAATTATGTCAATTGTATGTATGAATTAGTTTAGTGGTATCTTTCAATAAAAATACTTTGAACATCGTATTCAATTTTTATTTTATTATTCTATACTTAAAAAGTTAATCCTATTCGTGCAAAATAATACTTTTTACAACATTTTTAATACCTACTGAGAGTGAAATAATTTTATAATGTAAATAACTGCGTCTTGGAGGGGATGACCGACGGAATAAATGAAAAGTTAGCACCAAGATGAATTTGTCTTTTAGATTGTGAAAATAAATACTTTTTGCCTAAAAGCTACATACCAACTTGTATTGAGGTTGCCATACTCATGATCATTATTATTATTTCACTCTGTGATATTGAGGATGTAGTTATGGCTATCATTGAGTAAAAATATCCAAATTGTGAACAATTTGTTAATTTAATAAATAACTTAATAATAGATAGACACTTGGTTTTGTACAATGTCAGCCATCTAAAGTACTAGAAGGCGAGAGTGCGATACAATTAAGAGTTTCATAGGCGGAGGCCGGGGTTGCGCGAGCGCACGAAGTTGAGCAGCTCGTCGCTGTCCTCGCACACGAACGGCTTCACGTGGTGGCAGGCCACGTCGTGCCACTTGATGCCGTCGTTGTAGAAGTTGTTCAGGATCGCCAGGCAGGACTCGTCGTTACCCTGCATCAACAAAACGATTAAGTCAAATATATTATGTCTAAAGTTATGTACATCAATTCCAACAGAGAATTATAACAAACCTGAGCGGCTTCACGGTTGTCAGGCTGAGGTTGGCCGTATCCACCAGTGTAAGACCAGTCACCGGTGTTGCGCTGGGTAGTGGGTCCAATCTTGGCGCCGGATCCAGACCAGAACCAGCCGTTGACATTGGGGGGTTGCAGGTCAGCGCGGTCACAGCCGGCGAAGTTACATTTGCGTCCCGAAGTCCAAATGTATCGGACGTTTCCGCGAGCAATCCTTTGTTTCACGAATTCATTTTCCTATAAAATATATCAGAACGTTAATAACTCATTTATAATTATTTGGGTACCAATGTTAATAGGTGGGTACATTCTTTTTGGTTTTATAAATGAGGACATCAAGAAAATAGCAATGTAGTGTAAACTTATTTGGTAGAAACAAGTCAATATTTATTAAAACCACAGGCTTTCATTTTTCTGCTTTCTTTTTTAAATCATAAGTTTTAAGATTATGGAGGTTAACGAAACCAATAAGGACCTGATTTAAAGAAGAGACGAACGGAATATCAAAACGAACGTGTACCTATTACAAAACTAGTTCCTCCTACTAAATGCCAACGACCGGTTAACACAAAATGTCTGGTTTCTGCAGTCGACACAACCTACTACATACATATGTTTGATTTGCACATTGCATGGATTAGTCATGACATGTGTAGGTAGTAAGGGTCTGAATAGTAAGGCATGGTGTCATGTGTGTTAATGTCAACGGCGGGAAGTCCATGTCCGTCGCGTACGTCCGGCACAAGAAGTGGGCAACACGGCTGCGGGAGGAATTTGTGCCACGTGCTACTTGCCGGACCGATCGCCTCTGCACAGTCGACGTCACGCAGTCGGCCGTTGCACCCCTTTCACGCGACGGCGTCTTCAACGCTCTACAAATCGAGTCAATCTATCCTATTGAATATTGATGCACGCAGTATAATGACTCAATGAATGTAGGAACTTCATACTAATCCGCGAGATTCCGGATGTGTACCTAGGTGCTGACTCTATACAATTGCGTGGCAAGAAAAACCAGTACCAAAAGAAAATATTCAAGAGGTTGTTTGCTATGCTTTCATAACAATAGACGTGCGCGTTCATTGCCATCTTACAACCGACAGGAAGTGTTTAGAGAAACTTGCGTATTTTCCATTGATGACTTACCCGGATGGTATTTAACAATAGACACCATGTTAGATGCTAGCTATTATTTACAATCTAGAAATATGAACATACGTGTGTAAGTAGATTTAGATAAGCGGGCATCGATATCTACTAAACTTCCCTTATTTGAAGAAGTAAAGTCATTAGCTTGAGTAAGCTTCTTCTTCATAAATATCATAACATTACTTACTACACTTACTTAGGAATTTCTTAATAATCTGAGTTGTGATTTAGTGCAATCCAAAGTGATGAAATCTAGCAATTCCACGATATGACCATTAAGTTCATGCAACACCTACATCGTTTTAATCTGAGAGTTCAGCTGCTTTGTTCCCAAGATTCAACATTGTGAAATACGTTTTTGTAGCAGATATAGCACTTTACATTACGAAATAGGTACAAATTGCTATTCAAAATTAAATTACTCCTGCCTGCAGGTGGATCATAGCGGGAAAAAGACATATAATCACGATCGACCTAGTTGTTCGTCTTAAATGACCACATGGATAATGAAGATGATTATCTCAAGGCTCATCCATATTCACGTGAGAATGTCTGCGTTCAACTTCGACTGCGACCCGGTCATGAGTGCGTACTTAATAGATCGTTCACATATTGTGTATGAACTTTGTTTTGCAATGGATACTTTGAACATCTTTTATTGTTCGGCTAAGTCCTTGAATTTTCACCTTCATTTCAGCTTGTCTAGCATTGTTCTTTCGTCTCTAATTGTATTATTTATAAATTAAATTATCGCTTCTCATTAACGTACCTGGGGAGTTTCTAGAGAGACGGCGTCCATGCAGTGGCGACGGCAGATGTTCCTAGCGTCGAGCCAGTCTACCTCCAGGTTGCGGGTTGGGGCATGCTCCCAACTGAAGAAGTAAGAGTGCAGGACTCCACGAGCGTCGCGGTATGTTGAGTGACGAACTCCTGCGAGAATAAAAAGAATATTTAGTCTGTTGTTCTTTTAAAATTAATTTATTTTCAGCCGTGATCGTCTCACTGCAGGGCAAAGGTATTCTGTGGCAAAGGCCTGAATAATCTTTAAAAAAACCTTAATTAAACCTTCGAGGCTCCATTAAGTGGGTAGGTACATTTCTAAGTACCTACCATCATTATACATAAGGTAGATACTTAATGGAGTCTCTTCTGGAGGACTGCGTGCGGAGGAGTACCTTCAAACAAAAATAGGTAATTGTGCAACATGCTACATGAAGGTAAGTGACTGAACGAAGTACTAAGAACTTTGTGCCTACAATAGCTTGTCACCTATTGAAAAGTCGATGACGACAGATGTAGGTAGTTACTTAGGATTTCGAAATGGTGTTTATCTAAAACGTCTTGTCGTTCACAAGTTTGCCGTTTGCACAACACCGCACGTTGTCCTGATTCACACAACCATTGCGGTAAATCTATGTGAGTTTTATATGTGCCTATTATTATCTAAGACCACATACCTATTGTACTAGACTGAAGAATAGATCGATGAAGCGAAACATCTATTATCGTAGCTCTTATAACGTTACAGCATTGGTAAACATGTAGATTACACAGCATTTTTTATTAGGTGAGTATCTACCTAAGTGGGCATTAGTACCTATTACCTACATACGAAATTGCGGTAATGTAATGATTAGCAAAAATCTTGCGTCTCTAAAATCTTAGCATAATAAACAATAACGTTTGTTGTTCACGGGTATTAAAACTCTCGCTGTAATGCGAGAGACATTATCGTTCACAAAGTGTGCAATCAAAACGAGCCCATCGACCATCGTCATGTAGTTAAATGAAGCGATTCTTTCGTAACTAGAAAGTGCACATGTATTTTCACATGGTTAATTACCCGCCAGATAAAAATTCGCGTAACTAATATTGACAAACCCATTCAACAGTTGTATTGTACACCGGAACCGTTTGCGTATCTTCCGTAGAAGAACGTAATTTTACGAATGTCATCTTACGTAACGGACTAATAGTGAATGGCAGAGCGTGAACAGATAAATTAAAGTTAGATATTGGTAAGTGTTTCCATAGTTGTTGCTTCCCGTGGAAGTGCTATTATGTAATCTGTTAATATGTGCTCTTATAAAGAACTTCCCAAATCTATAGAATGTACATAAACATGATTATTGTTTATCTTTGTAGGTACGTGTCTACCGAACATGTTAAACGAGCATTGTTATTTCGCATTTCTGAGGAGAGAAAGTTGTGAAAGAAACCAACGTGTCTAGCTTCTCATTTTATGTGATTGCAAAATTATTATAAACAGGTACATCAGTATTCAAATTATAATGATTTCGGCAAATAAAATATTTTGGAAAAGTTTTATGAATTATCTACGTTTGTGAGAGATACTCTTACTAAACTGGTATTTTCGAGGCATGTACATTTGTAGGTAGTACGTATGTAAGTGGTCACATAAAGCTAACAAAGATTCTTTGTCCGTATTGTTACGGGTTACCATGAATACATTGGTCGATTGTAATTTTAAGTGCGCTCGCTCCCCAATGACATCGCATGGGATGCGCACGCCACCACGCCTTTATGCGGGCATGGATTGCGAAACATCCACTGATTTCCCATAAAGACCCAACTACGTGAACTCAGAAAGTACACAATACTAAATAAATACGTAAAATAACACCACTAATGAAGGACCTATTTACTCATGAAGATGCAACCTAACTTACTGAGAGACCTATAAATAACTGACACTTAGTAACTTAAGTAACCTCTTTAAATACGTATAAGGATATTGATCACCTTGAATGCAAGGAACTAGTAACTACCTACTACGTTCTCGAGAGTATTCTCGTAACATTTGATTAAATTATTGCTTGTTTAAAATAAATTCGCAGTAGAGCAAAAGTATTGAGAAGTACCTATTTTAAAAGGCTTTACTAAAAGCCTTTCTTTAACTTATCTTACTAACGATAGTTAATAAGAGCTTACTTAAGAAGCTTTTTTTAAAGGGACAAGCCCGCGACTACCTCCCGATACTGTTGCAACTCCTGTAAGCCAGGATCTACAGAACCTAGATACAACCATGAAAACACCGGAACACTGAAGTTGCGCACTGGAGCGCGTTCCAGGGACATGAACTGTTTTGATTCCCGCAACGAAGTGAATCAGAAGATATTATAAGAGGAAAACCAAAAGAAACCTAAGAAGGTTACGAAGATTACCTAATTTTGCCATATTTTATCTACTTAGGTGGATAATTATAGTATAAGTCTACCTTTCGGAATCGTGTCACCTGGATAAATCAATATGCTCTTTCATTTCTCAGTAAGTAGGCACCGCAATAGTCTGACGATAGATAAACACGGCAGATGAACACGCAAAAATTGTTGAGTACGATTATAAGTTCCAATGTGCCATGAAACTAGTCGAGTCGAGCTTCGAAAAAATTAAGGTACGTGAGTAAGCCGTATATTATATCCCTTTATAATTTAATTCGCCTTTAAAATTTCGTTCCTTCGAACTACAATTAAGTTAAGACTCGGTTTGGTAACGGTAACTTTCCTTGATGTTGTTTAGATTATATCTGAAAACAAGAATCTGATGTAACAACTTACGAAGAGAGCTTACAAGTAGATTTAATCCCAGCACGAAGCAGAAGCCTACCTACACCAAACCGAACTTGAGTCATCCTTACAGACTGGTCGACGTTATAAGGTTATCCACCTTGAGTTCATTTCCTATATCATTCCGTAAAGTTTAAAAGATCAACAAAAAGACTATCAAGCAAAACATTCACATTTTTGACAGATTACTAAAAATTCTGGTGCGACGACAATCATGCATTGTTTAACTTTTGTAACTTGAACATTTAATAATTATCAATAACATCTTTTGCACAAATAATATTTAAACTTATTATTATTACACATTATTTTTCCTGCTGTCTCAAACCAATAGGAACCGTGAAATAACTTCTACCTGTAATACAATTTATGTAAGTATATCATTGTCTATCAAATAAAAACAATAGCACCGGACACAATTAGCACTGAGCAAGAATGCGTTACGAAGGTGCGTGAGATGCAATGTGTGGCCTACTTTGGTCTGGTACAAGTCGTTATAAATTTATGTTCACAAAAGAATTCTCACCAATGAACGTACTTGAAAAAGGCAGACAAAATACTAATTAAAATTAACGTACGATTAATTAACTCAAACTTAATAAATCTCGTGCAATATTTATTTATATCACCTACCTACTGACCCCGTCTGACTTGCATCTACCATAAGCAGTTCGCGAAGGCATGCGTGGGAGTTCAAAATGGCATGTTCTAAAGTAGTTGTCTGCTACGTGCGGGCGTGCTTTGATATATCATTAACAGTACAGTACCTACTTTTACACTATGGTGCTCTATAACCCGTCACGTTCATTCAATGATGTGCTTGATGTGGCATCAATCTAAAGTTAGGGATAGCAACGCCATCGTACCGAACTACCTACAATGACTAACCGACTAGTTGTGTGATAAGCAGAACATTTAGTACCATGTCAAAGGTGGTCGATTTGTCACAATCTATCTAATCGTATGGTATTCGTATCAGAAATTCAACAGTCATAACATTCATTAATGATTTAAACTGTTTTGTGTTAAGGTTAGCAGCATACTTACTGTTTGCACAGCTTCTTGGGTCTGGTAGAGCAAGACGTCTCTGGGCATCTGCCACGCAGAGTACGGCCATCAAGGCGACAGCCGCCAGGCACACGTGCCGGCTCATCTGTACAGAGAAAAACGATAAGAATTATTGTGCCTACCCAGTTGTTACAGTTTTTGTATCATTGAATCTGAGCATGCTTGTTGATGCGAGACAACGGCTAGAGTAGGTGTGGTCGTTGAGCCGACTGCCGGGACCGCCTCGGCAACCGACACTCAGCTGGTGGTACTGACACTGGTGTCGGGTGCTCATTTTGACGAAAGTGGTTACGGGTGAGCCCGTATTGCAAGTTCGCTTTCTTTTAGTTATGCAGAGCACGAATGCTCGAGGACAATCGATACGTGAGATGAATTTATTTTGTTGTATTTGTGAAAGCAAAACTCGCCTCAGTGACCTCCTTGCTGCGAGTTAAAATGTTTGCGTGAAAAGCTACTCAGTGCGAGAAATCGTTGATTTGGGACGCATTTTATGGTAACGGAAAGCCGTCGTTCACCTCATGTCACGAAGCTTATTCAAACAGAAAAATGAAACGCTGTTATATAACTTTACAAGTTTTTGTTTGGTAGGAATGAATCACATTTGGTTAGACACCTGTCGCGGAGAAAATTATTACGTAAAAAATCGTGTCCGCATCGAGTAGAGAGTTCATTCATTGATTTATTTATTAACACTTCGGTGTATCAAGTTCAGTCCGAAGGTGGATAACTTATTTGGTACTCTACTACTTTTTATGTAATCACTTTTAATCATTATACTATTTTAATTAATAATTTAGTTTTTTTTATTTCACCACAATATTTTGGTGTCGTTAATATATGTAAACAATAAATTGAAAAAAAAACAAAACAGTTTTTGCAATGCTCATCTTTTTGTTGCAACGTGAAAAGCACGATTTCACTACGAAAAGTTTAAACTTTTTGCTGGAATAATTTGATGTGAAGAAAGAATAATAACGAAGCTGTTTAAAGTTAAATCCACTCACAACAATAAAGTTCAAAATATTTTCACTTCAAAATGATGACAGTGTTGATAAAGGCAGCGCGTACCTCTGAAAATATGTCGAACGGAGTAAGTTGATGATGCGCTTGCGTGCGGCTGAGCGGGTGCGCGTGCGTCTGTGTCGGTACGCGGTGCACAGGTGTATAGTGCGACGGTGTCGGAGGTACTGACGCAGCCGCAGCTCTCCTCTCTAATTAAGCCTCCGACATTCATTCACTTTCACTTCCAATACCAGAGAAGACCCACCCGCTTCACCGCCGCACCTCTTCACCATAGAGAACCTAAAGACCTTCTGGAGGTCGCAGCCGGATACGAGTGTGAGTTTACATAACAAATACTAGTACCGTACACAATTACAACTCAAATTAAATAAATTGGTCAGCTTTGAGTAAACTCGTGACCTGATTTTAACAAAGCTTCGATTGATGCAGTCTTGTAGTGTAGAGACAACAAAAGCCTTCAGGGAAGATCAACTTAATCACACAAATAGTAACTAAGGTACATAATACTTGCAGGCACTTGAGAAAATCCTTATTATATTACACCTAGTGAATGCAAAGTTAAACTTATTTTTAACTGATTCTCTTGAAAACGACCTTGTTCCTCACAGTGTGTTGTAATACTTGCGGTTGACTTCAAACAATCCTTAACATTAATGTTTGTTAGGACTTAAAATTTAGTTACTGTTTTCAAGGTAGTCATTGCAACTGTTCAATATGCCTTTACCTACCTATACATATGGACACTAACAGCGATTGTAGATTTCATTTGGGAGCTAAGAGTAGTGGTAAAATGGATCGAAGGGATCAGTTTGTGATAATAATCTCATTACGACTGTTTCGCGTGCAATGGCGTGCATAGGTACCGTTCATCGAAGAATCAGCACAGCACGCTAGGCAACGTAGTTAAGCAAGCGGACAGGTGACCGCAAATCAAGTGTGCTTTACCCTATAATAAGCAAAAACCTGTCGTGACATCGATAAAAGTTCTGAAGCTTACGACAATGTTGTATGATCGTAACTACAGCTTTATTTGAGTGCCCTAAATCTCTTAAGTCTCTCTCATTACTTAAAAGTCGTTGACATAACATTCACGATCATTATTGTTAACAAGTTCTTTGACCGCGATATTTTTTTTTTTGCTTAAAGTTTCAGAATTCTTTCTTGAGATTTCATCATTTTCATCATTAGCAACTTAGTTTGATAGTCTGTACCTACCCCACTACCCCAGCGTTGCTTAGTAACGCCTGACGTTAGTAAGCAACGCCAGCTCCAGAGCTGGTCTAGTTAGAAAACTTTTTTTTTTTTTTTAAGGGGGGAAAGTCATCGAATGACTGCTCCCGCCTGGGTGAGGCGGAAGGGAGTGTCAGACTCTTACTGAGTAAAAACCACCCCGTTCCTTCTCCTGCACGTCGAGCCGGAGCCCCGGTTACCCGTTAGGTTCTCCGCGACTAGTTAGAAGACTAGGTGCCTCTTAAAAGTGCTAATGGCGATCACTGGGAGGTTTTATTGAGGTAAAAATCACATCTTTCTCTCAAAAAGCTAGGTAACCATTTAATGATTTTCTTTTGGTGGAATATTTTAAGTATTTGTGCTATGAATACCAACAGTGTATTTTTCGAGGTGTGTTAAATAAATTCTGAAACCGAATCCGTATTAAATCGCCTAACTAACCATTTTGTCATACCGTATTTCATGTTGAATCGGGATTATCAAATAATAGTCAATTACTCCGTAATCATTACAAATTGATTACTTAAGAAGATGGGTTCATTTTCAATCTGTTCGGTTCGTTACAAAATGTTACGAATTAATAATTTTGACATAAACATAAAATATTAATGTCGTTAAGATTAAATAGTCGAAAATATAAGTTTTAGTAATGAATAGAATTTAATGGCTAGACTTAGGCGCTCACTTACATAATAAAATCAAGAAATTAATTTTAAATTGTTGAACACTCCCGAAAATGTATTCATTTGCATAAACGCTGCATAACGTTTGGACGGGTCATGAGAAGAATGTGCGGATCGCGATTACGAGGAAGTCTTTGTGAATTTCAAATAAATGTCGAAAATTACGTATTATGTGTATAATACCTACTTCCTCTATTGATGTATGTACATAGTGTTATGTGTTGCGTAAACTGTTGTGAGTACCTGACAAAAAAGAAACGACTTGTAAAATTACTTTTTTAATCGTTGCATGAAATTGATGACCTTTTTTAATTAAATTACTACAAACTTTACTTGATGCAATAATAAAAGCCACATCCACGTACTTACCTCGTCTTTGTTTTATGTAGATATAAACTTTTCATAGTATGACCTACAGATATTTATCAAAGCTACAATTTATACTATTTTGCAACTACTTATTCACAAACATGTGATTTACATGTATGCAACATCCAATGCATTTGTGCAATATACAAATGCTATGCAATGTAACGGATGCGAGGTCGGGTTACTGAATGATTTGATATAACTACCTACGTTGTTGCTATTATGAGTGAAAGTTAAATAATGTAGATAGGTATAAATAATTATTAAATACCTTTGCGATAAGGTCTTATTTTCATAGGTGGCATCTAGTACCTACACACTAAATTAGATAGGTCCCGATGACGAATTTTGCTCAAGACCTTTTTAAGCTTATAACATCCCATTTTTCAGGATACTTGTTGACAGAGAGACACGCAACGTGAAGATTATGGTAAAGAAAGAAAAAACATTTATTCGGAACATTACATGCACAGAGATGTAGCCAAAAAAAATATAAAAAAACAGACATTACAAAATTAAAATAATAAACTCAAATATGTATACCAAAAATAAAGAAATAATAAAAAAAACAAATCCTTGAGCATCGGGAGCGTTTCTGCTGAAGTTTATGACCCTGAAGTGTCGTTTTACTAAATCGGTAAATGGAACTAATAATACTAATATTGGTCTTACCGTCGCACTCAGAGTCATTTAATGGCTACTTAACCCAGTCCTTAACAATTGTTTTCGGAACAAAATCGTTACTAAGGAATTGTTTAAGTAATTATTAAATGTCTCTCAGTATCACAGATCTAAGTCAAATTGTTGTAACACTACTATAAGCATTCATAGTTGGTACCTAGGGCACACCAGGATCCCTATCAGTCTATTGAGTTATTTATATAATTTCGACCATAGAATTATGTACGGCAGCGCCGTAGCAGTAACTTATGTAACGCAGAAAGGTAGTAGGTATCTAATTAAGGTATTAAAGTTCATGATCAGTGAAGGAAATAACATTTCGCCAAAATAACTTAATATAATTAAATGTTTCGAGAAAGTTTCTTGTGATGTAAAACATTCTTTTCTGAAATATAATTTAATTCATATTAAACATTTAATCTGTTGCGCAATGACATGCTTAGGTATTCTAGATTCTGTATTATGTTGTCTGTTTTTGCATTATGTTTTTTCTGATATCTAAACATTTTTTTTTTGTTGGGCACACTCGTGGTGAGTTTGTCCAACAACCACTGAACATCCTCAAGTAAGTAAGTAAGAGAAGTGGTAAGCCAGGATCTACAGTAGATAGTAATTATGTCGGGGGCTCCGGGGCAGGTCTGTTAGAGGACCTGGTGTCCCCTACAGGTGCTGAGGGTGGCTAACGTGATGATTTTAGGCTAATGACTCCTTCTTAAGGACCCGTCCTTCCTTAGCCTTAGTGAGGTACAAATCCCAAACTACCTAGTCTAGTCTTTCTCCCCAAAAGGCTAGGCGCCTTTTGAAAGTTTATTCCCGTTATCTAAAAAAGGTTTGTATGTTTTTATGGTGGTACATCCATGTACCACCATAAAAACACCGAAATTCTGGGACTTCCCGTCCCGGAATTCAGGATCTAAGAAGGTAAAGTAAACGGTTGTTAAAAACTTAATGTGCCTCCTATATAGAGGTTCTTATAAGCTTAATTAGACATTAAGTTAGGTCTGTATTAAGGCAACATTAACACGACCTGCATCTTAACGCAGACACATCTAGCTAAAATGAAATAAAATGCAGACCTATCTGCTTCAGAATTCCCGAATATTTGAACGTACAGTGTATCATCAGCCACATTACGTCTCGTATTTAGAGGCTAACTGCACAGTTTATAGTCTTGCAATATTCTCGAAACGTCCCCAGCGATATCCTCGACTTAGATAATTACCCACGAGGTTATTATTGAAAGGCTTGGAGAAGATGAACGTCGAGTGTAGTATGTTGCGCAACGCCTGCGACCGAGCGCCCGCGCCCCGCCGCCGTACTCGTCTGCTACATGACCAGACCGAGAGGTTACTGTTGCCCCCTAGCCCCTTGCAAAAGCTGCATTCCACCTTTTACTATCTATGAAACTAGATTTTAAGATGTACAAATTCCGCTTGCTATATCTGCAACTGTATCTTAATTAGGTATCATTTCATTAGTTATTTGAAGGTATTAATAAAAATATTTAAAGATAACCTTTGTTGGCCGGTAGTGGTGGATGCATCTCCTCAAATTTTATCTGTTCTCAACAAATTAAATTGATCAATCTCACTTAGTAGGTACTTGAACAGGCAACTATAAACTTCAAACCGCGGAAGGGTTTAATTCGGTCCGCCGTGTATTTTCGTATGACCCGTGTCCGTAACGTAATCATATATACTTAATGGTTGGAAGGTCCAGCAGTGCCTACACTAACCATATGCACTTGATCAGTTGATTTCATTACATGGTAGGTTGTGGTGTGGATTATGGAGCATAAAATTTTTTTCCCCATAAGCTTTCCATCTGTACCATGTGTTTCCTATAAATCCTTCCAACTTTTTGGCTCTTAAAGTTTTCCAATTAAACATTCGTGTGAATGTACATACACAACTATGACCACAATGCTACTACTATGTGACTTGGTACTTGTAGTACTTGTAGTGTAGTATCTATCTAATCATCGTGCGTGACGATGACGCTGCGACTGAACCACGACATCTCGTGAACTCGTGACAACCAACCCGTCATGGTCTGATCTTGACCAGCTATCCTACCTTTAGATCATAAGATTCTCGTTATCAAAAAACCGGCTCTAGCAGCTCTGGAGTCACAAGGTTAACACCAACGCTGTGTTCATTGAAATAAAATATATAGATTAATTTGTTGGTTTAGTTTGGTTTTGTTCCTGTAGTTAAAATCTCTTTGCTCTTATATAGAGGTATAGTTAGGTAGGTACAGTACAACATATCAGAACATGCTTACTTACTACTTTACTATCCATGCAATTCCTCGTAGATATATCAATAAATAGACTGAGGGAGTTAACAAATAATAATTATCCAGGTACCACCGAATGAATTGGTTGTAGCTGATATTTGTGGCGATCCCAGCAAGAAATTCTAGCCCAAAACTAGGCTGTAAAATTCTACATTAAGTTGATAATAACATGACACGTACAAAATATGCACAACACACTATAAGTGCAGTAAGTTACGTGAGCCTGCTCAAGAAACTGTTGGAGACTGGTACCCAGGCTAGACATATTATATGATAGGCTCTGTTAGCGCCTCGATAGGAAGGTCAAGTGCAAATAACAGGTACTAGCCACGCTGTTTTTGGAGAGGAGTTGAAGGAGTTTTAATTTATTTGTGTACATCGCGATCATCGGCGTCTGCTTGAAGAAGTACCCACGTAAAGGTTTTACAGTTCGAATTGAATATATTTTTATGACCACAAAATAATTTCGAAACAGAACAAACAAATTATGGCATTATTACGTGCTTATTTCAATTACAAATAGGTATCCGAATGACTAAAACGACCCGGTAGTATCGCCCGAATGACTTCAATAAGTGATGGCTTACTGGCCATTTTAGGACGTGAAATGCGATAACCATGGGTCAAACGTGATCAGTCGTAATAAACGTACCCATCAGGGCTCACAATTAATTTTAGGACTTATGCAATACGTTATGCAAGTGTGGAAACAACATGTTCATGTTTGATTTACTCATAAACCTAACACTTTCATTTCGCTTTCGAAGAATCTAAACAAACACGATCATTCATTTGTACAAGTTCTGGGTGGCTTAACTACTTAGTCTTCATGCATTTACAATGTTTTAAGCCTTGTAGAGCTTAAATTTTGTGTCATTATTAGCTTGTTAAAAGTAACTGTGCTTATTTATCTACGTAAGGAATTTCTGATGTTTTCCGCACCGGTCATCACGAGTCAAACAAAACGCGGGTTGCAAGTTACACTCGACAGTCGGTGCTCGGGGCGAACTTTCACAGGTAAGTGGTGTCATAAATATTCACTGTATGACGTCATATAAGTATGTTTGTTACCTTATGACAAAATAAATAAGTATGTTAATACTGTGAATAGTATTACGTATATGCTAGAATGTTACGCTTAAACTAGGTACCAAACTCCATTTTTAGAACTTAATTAGTAAAATAACATTGTCAACCATTATCTCCGTACCTATATAGGCTATACCTACTACCTACATTGTACGACCTTTTCCATACTAAACACATAAGCAGGCCGTATTCTTCCAATAAAAAAATTAATTAGGTCAATCTTGATTATTATTTTAACCAACTTTTAAATACCTACTCTAAGAGGTCAATAAATGGTAAGAGATGTTCCTGACAGCATGACTAACCTGACTATACCTACTTGCTTTCTACAGTCATTCGTATGTAGTCGCTTTCCAAGAAGAATGGAACACGGATTTACTTATACAGAAACAGGAATAAAGTAAGAACCTACTGCCGACGAAAATAAAGCAACGTTTACTGTTTACAGTCTATAGCTTTAAACAAATAATTGGGGCTTTGAATCTGGTATTTTTGAAGGACTCGGTGCTTTTATGGGGCTGATGGTGGCTATCGGGGTGAGTTACTTTTTCATTAGGGTATCCTAAATTCCCTAGTCTTTCTACCTATAAGGTCTAAGTATCCCTGACCACAAAAAAGCTTCAAAAGAATAATTGTTTTAAAAAGGTGCCTGTACGGCTGGCGCGGAGACTGGGCAACTGGCTGCAGCGGAACGTGTAGCGGCGGGCGTAGCGGGTTCGATTCCTGTACGGAGCAACTCTGTGTAATGTACAAATTGTTGTTCCGGGTCTGGATGTCATGTGTATCCGGAATAGTATGTTTACTCACCCATGACACAGGACAAAAAGAAACTGCTAGTGTGGGCAATGTTTTAATAATAATAATAAAAGAAACGTTTTTACGATCTCCGTTATATCACACTAATATTATAAATATAAAAGTTTCTTGAAACTACTGAACGGGTTTTGATTAAATTTGGTATACAGGCAGGGTACGGGCAGATTTTTATCCCGATTTAATGCTCCCATGGGATAAAACAGAAATCATATTCTACGCTTACGAAGTCGCGGGTAACAGCTAGTAAAAGAAATAAAATATATTCGGTAACTAATCTACTATTTACTAGATATTAAGTTTTCAACGTTCAGTTTCCTTGGATATGTTTTTATTTTGGTACCTACCTAGGCTATCTACTTATTACAAGCGAGGATGCACCATTATGTTGAATTAAAATAAATAAATATCTTGAAGTGAATGTTGTAGGCCTTGTAGGTTGGTATATTTCATGTAAGTTACTAGGTATGGTCTTCGCGCTCGATACTTGTTGGTACTTTTACTTACTTAAGTATCTACTTAAACACTGAAACACATGGATGAACATGTTAGACACTAAAGTAGCCCAAAGCAGTCTATCAAATCAATTTATCAAAATACTGTAGGTACCTATTATTATTATGTAATGTAGAGAGGCTATCTGTTTTTCATGGTTTAGCCAAAAGCCTAATAAATAAATACTCATTGGGAACCTTAGATTAATAACGTGGGAACTTAAAAATGTCAAATAGTCGAACCTAACAGAAAACAATAGATCTGATATCAGATATCTAAATTCTGTATTTTTATGTTACTTTTTCAGTACGAATTCAGCAAATCTGGACAATTCTCCTCTGGTGTTGCGGCGCTGATCGCTTACCATCAGATGATCCGTCTGCTTGTTCGTCTCTTATTCCCAATGATATTATAAATAATAAAAAGAGGTAGATATCGCACTGGCACGCAAAAATTGTTGCGAACGAATTCAGACAATTGTCGTAATTTGTAAATAGCTATCTCTTTCTGTACCATACTTTCCGTATTATCCGTCGCACGTAGTTGAAAATGACATTTAAGTACATTTGTAATAAGAACGCAACAATTTTTGGACGCCGCTTAGTATGAACGTAGCGTATCTTTTTTATAATATCATTGCCTATTCCACAAAAAAAAATTTGAACTGCGCGCGCATTTCAGACTTGACAGCTTCACTTTTATGTCTGTCGATATAACGGATACTTAATCGTAGCACCAGGGCTTTGTATACCGATCTATATCATCACAAATTTAACAACATATGAAAGTGCTTAAAACCATTTAATTTTTTATTATTTTATGTTAATTATTAAATTTGCACGATTCAATTAAAAATATAATTAGATTCTTGCCTAGATAATATATATTACTTTTTCTAAATTCCATAGACTAAATCGATGCCACTAGAAAGAACGAAACCGCTAGTCGTACGTAGGCTGAATGTAGCTGCGACCTTTGTGCTTGGAAAATTAAAAACCTTTTCTAGTGCACATTTAATCATAGCATATTCCTCATTCTTTCTTTCCTTTATATCTTGGGAAAAATGGCTGATAATAAATTATACGAGATTTTGGGAGTGTCTAGAAGTGCTAGTGACTCTGAAATAAAAAGGGTAAGTGTTCTTTTTCAAGTTTCTACAATAATCCGTTCGCACATGTAATGTCATCTATTCGTTGCATGATTTTTGTCCATTGTTCTATGCGTGGTGATTTTGATAATTATCTTTATTTTTTTTCTTTCAGAGCTATCATAAATTGGCTAAGGAATTCCACCCAGACAAAAATCCTGCTGCAGGGGATAAATTCAAAGAAATTAGCTATGCCTATGAAGTCTTGTCCGACACGAAGAAAAGACAAATTTATGACAAGTATGGCTTGAAAGGCTTACAAGAAGGTGGTCAGGGTGGTGGCTTTCCTCCTGATGATTTGTTTGGACACTTTTTCGGTGATATATTTGGCATGGGAGGCGGCAGCAGAGGTCGAGGCCCAGCTCGCGGGGAAGATACTATGCACCCACTTAAAGTTTCTTTGGAAGACATGTACATGGGAAAAACTACCAAGTTACAGCTAAGTAAAAATGTAATTTGCGGGCCTTGTAAGGGAATTGGTGGTAAGCCAGGATCTGTAGTGGTTTGCAAGGACTGTCACGGACAGGGTGTTAAAGTGTCTTATCAACAAATTGCACCACACATGACTCGTCAATTTCAGTCTCGTTGCCCTACCTGCCATGGTCAGGGTGAAACCATTAATGATAAAGATAAGTGCCCAAAATGCAAAGGTAAGAAAGTTTTAAATGAAACTAAAATCTTGGAGGTGCATATTGAGAAAGGTATGCGTGAGAACCAAAAGATTTTCTTCAGAGGTGAGGGGGATCAGCAGCCTGACACTCAACCTGGTGATGTGATCATTGTGCTGCAACAGAAGCCTCATGATATCTTCCAGAGAACTGGTGATGACCTTGTGATCAAACATGAAATTACACTAACTGAAGCTTTATGTGGCTTCGAGTTTGTTATTAAGCATTTAGATGGCCGAGATCTACTGGTTAGACATGCTCCAGGAGAAGTAATCAAGCCAGGAGACCTAAAGGGTATACAGGGTGAAGGTATGCCTCAATTTAAAAATCCATTTGAGAAAGGTAACCTTTATATTAAGTTTGATGTTGTTTTCCCTGAAAATAACTTTGCTACTGAAGAGCAGATGAAACAAATAGAATCTGTGTTGCCTCCTCGCCCGGCTTTTGTAATGCCCACAGGAGAAGATGTGGAGGAGGTTAATTTGATGGAGTATACAGCCAGTGAACGTGGTAGAGGTCGAGAGGAAGCATATGCCAGTGATGATGAAGAGCACATGCACACTGGCCCCGGAGTACAGTGTGCACACCAGTAGTTCAATTGTCCGCAATTATGGATTCTTACTCAAACCTCACACTATATAATTTTATCATAGGTTATTATGTAAATTAAACTAAGTAGGTATACACTGTAACTGTTATACTTAGTTCACAGAATGCTAGAAATATTTGACTATTGCGTGCAGTGTATTGACTTGTTTGGAGTTAACTGTATTTCTGTGCCTCTAATAAAAATTTGTTGCAGAATTTAAATAAAGTATTGTAAGCTTACATCACTGTAATTGTTTTGTGGGTCTGTCTCTAATAATGTACTGTAAAAAGGTGCAGTTAATTTGTTGTGAAAATTGGCTGTAGGCTTATGAAAACAAAATTGTAGATTTAGAAATTAAATGTTCATTTTCAACTAATAACCTGCCTGTGATACCTCATAGGTCTAATTGCTATCAATTGTAGGTGATTTCAAATTGTATTGTTTATTACTTTAATAAGGCTAGGTAATTTGAGTTCTAGTTAGCTGTACTTCAACTGAACTGGGAACTCAAATCTGGCACTAGATTAGTATTAATCCATGTATGGGTTATTGGATTCCATAATAATTATATGTATTATACGAAAAATAAAATTTAGTAATACCTATCATTATATTTTAATTATTATTAGTGACAAATCAGTTGTACATTTCTCAAATGGAATGGAGTATATAAAATGTGAAATCATCAATATTTATCTTTGCATCTGTAGGCATGACAAGCCAGAAACATACTTTTCCGATGTTTCACTACCAAATGCTGATTACATAATTGTATGTTATCAGAACACGAAAATAAACACTTAAATCATGTTTTAGTTTTGATTCACTAGGCTACTTGCTTATTGCAGATTTTAGATAGATTATTAATATTCAAAAATTAAACGGTATAGGTTAAAAACTTCTGTATTGTGGAAATATTGCTTTTAGGAAAATAAAGTTCAACAACATTTGTGAAGGTTTTGTAAAGGTTTTTATTTATAAATATTTTTTTGTTTTATTTGGTACTTCAACAAATTATCCTAAAAGTAGCTTCTTTATAATACTATAGAAACAATAAAATAACAATTTACTTTTTCTGATGTATATTTATCTAGTCTGAAGGTAAGCTTCAACGGGTTAGATATCAGATATCTGAAAAAAAAGAAAGTCAGTTAATTTTAAAATTATACAATGGGTAATGTTATTATACAAGGTGGTACTTTTTTGATATAAAATGAAAGTCACCAGATGTTTCGTATTTTATTTACCTTGGTCTGACAAAGATTCGATTGATTCACAGTACTTCTTAAAATCTTTTTTACTTCTACAAAGTACATTTAAATTTATCTCTTTCAATCCCAGGTTGCGTAGTGTATCTAGCCTTTTCTTTACTGTTTTTTGTGATGCTGATAAAACCCTGGGTTTGTTGGCAATTTCTTCAACATCAAATCCTTCTGATTCAAGGAAATCAAGAAAATGTTTTACCTAAAAATGTACTGCAAATTATATTAATTAGTAAGAACATAGTTTAATAATATTTTTAATCCTATTTCATTACACCATGGTCGTACGCACAGGTGCGCAATTAACTGGTTGTCGGCACCCAAATCAACCCAACCCAAGTGATTATACTGGTGTCTCTCAGTATACTTACACACACAGTTGCACGGCCATGGTGTTAATAAAATAGGGCTCATTTGAGTAATTTTTGTACCTTAGTTACACGAATCGCTTTCAATGCAGGTATTTTATAACACATTTCTTGAACTGTATCCACAGACACATTCAGCCTATTAGCAAGATATGTTTGTTTTGAGTTAGTTTCGCCCAAAATGTCCTTTGTTTCCGTTGATATAGTGATATACCTGAAAACACAAAGCTAGTATAACTTTTGGTCTCTTCCAGTTCGTTGTTATGGCAATGCGAAATACCTATTACTTATTTACATTTTAAGATCCAGTGATTGGTAGTGTGGTTTTATAATACAGCAAACATCAACATTGCTCGAGGTTTTCTTTGTCTGAGGTCAGATCATCATGCATACTGTTGTTTTAACCCTTAACCACATACCTATAACACGTATTAGTCGTCACTAATACGTACAGGAACTAGCTATCAAGTTCGCATGAAGCTTAAGACACGACTGACGAATCTGTTGGGGTCTGTGACGTCTCACAGACACTTGCGTATTTGTGCACCGTCCGAGCACTCGGTGTAGTGAGGTGAGACGAGACGTGCACGTGTATGTCTCTTGTAAGTATAAAAACTTTCGTTGAGGGTCTAAGAGACGTACCTATGTATGCTAGGTGCCCTAGGTGGGTACGTGACTTTTTCATTTTATACTCTAATTTTTATTTGTATTGAATATGGTTTATAATTATAACGCACAAAACATTTATTGGAGACTGGCAAAAGTCCCAGTAGGCGACAAAAATTATCTTGATAACGTGTTTAGCGACGTTTAGGGTGATGTGTGATCATGTGTTAGAAGAAAGTTCTGGATCGAACTGTAACAACTGTTTTAGAAGTGGTTTACGGCTATTAGCGAGTTACAAAAAGTAAAACAAAAGTACATAGGTACTTCTGTTTTGAATATAAAGCTAATCTGTTTGAAATGTTCAAAAACTGTTTTTCCAGTAGTGAAAAACCGCAACTTCGAGCCTTTCAATCTTGTTGAAGTGTGGGTTCGATTACCGACCTAAGAATAGCTAGTTCATTTTTAATTTTTGATCATTGAATATTTAAAATCAATAAAAGTAAATCATCAAAATGGGCATTTTTATAATAACTATCGTGAGACATACTAAATTAAGTAAAAACGCGGGTTACTCACGTGAATATACTGAGAAAAGCTCTACTAGTTTTGAACCACAGAGGGGTTCTTCCTCATGAGCAGCGTGCGCGGTCGCGGCGATATGTCGCTCAGCTCACTGTTTTTTTCTCAGTATATTCACGTGAGTAACCCGCGTTTTTACTTAAAATGCCCATTATTTAAAAATAATTTTTTAACCATCAATTTTTAAATTATTGTCATTCATTGGCTCAAACTTAATTTTAATTAATCTAATTAACAACATTTTGGTGTTGCTATTTCGCAAATTCACATTACATATTGTACCTACCTATAGATAGATAGGTAGTATGTAAAAATAAACTAACTAAGCATTAGAAGTGTCTAATAAAGCTTCTTGTTTATAGTAAAGCATTGGAAATTATTAAAGTGCCTTGTATATAAGAAATAGAAAGTCACCTATTCAATATGTCTTCAGAACATCTCACCATCCAAGGGTACAGATTGTCAATGCCTAGATTTTTTACCTTTAGAAGTCTCTCATGAATAGTCTCATGGTGATATTTTAACACCCATAAATCCCTCAAAATACGATCAGAAGCTACATTCATTTCTGAAAAAAAAAAGTTATTTGTTATCAAAAGAAAAATTTTAAATCTATCTGTCAATATCTGTGTCTGTAATAAAAAAGTAACTAATAAGTATTTTCCTAGGTACTTTTTTTGATTTCCTCAGTTTTTTTTTAAGTATGAAAAAAGTAAAATGTCTAATTCTTACCTATAAGTACATCTAATGCCTTCTCAATCCAATCAAACGACAAGCCATATATGAAAGTCCTCTTAGCTAGTTTTTCGCTCAATACTGATGGAGGCAACTGTAATTTTTCAACCATTATGGCATTAGACAGTAAATAAGTTTTCCTAACACAAGCTCCCAACAACTTGCCCAGTATGGCACATGGAAAATAATGTTTATTTATATAGGTACTTATATTTATAAAATTATTTGATTTTACAAAAAAAAACAATGTTTAACCGCTTAAATGCACCAATATGAGACACAATAGAAAATACATTGTGTCTCACGTGGATCCATGCCAGACACACAACACTTTGAGAGCTTGGTTCTGAAGACATGCCTTCTTTACATCTAATGGTCAAATAATAAATTATGTAATGTATTAACGGATTTAACATATCACATGTCACAACACAGATCCCCGAGAGACAATGTATTTTCTATTGTCTTATATACCAGAATGTCACACATAATTCAAATTATTTTATTCTTACCTTTAGCCGGGATGCAATATAATATAACCTATTTTTGCAGTACCCTTTACTTTCATCGTTTTTAGTAATTCTTAATACATGTATCAAAGTTTTTAAAGGAAGTTTATAATACGGCAATGCATCTTCAGCAGACTGAAAATTGAGGGCTAATATTATCTTTGCTTTTGTGGCATTCAGACCTAAAAAAATCATTGATATAGAAATTAATACTTATAGTAGCGGTATCTAATACTTGTGATATGTCTATGTACGAACAAATATTAGAAAAATAATATTACCACTTTTTTCCGTAGTTTTAGTTGTAGTTCTAGTTGCATACGAAGCTATTGATACGATTGGTAATCTAATAAAATTGCCGCACGGGGGTCTGTTTAGCACATTTTGAATAATCGAAGTAGGAATAAATTTAAAGCCACTACTATATAGCGACAAATACGTCGGTTTTAATTTGCAAAATACTGTCCTTAAAACCATTGCTAAAGAATAACTATAACAACTCGAACTAAAACTAAGGTAGGTATGTATGGACGTAAAGTCATTAATATCCTATAATTCCTATAATGTTTGTGATACAATTAAATTGTAGATATCATTCTAAAAATAAGTTAAAAACTTTACTATAATTATTGAAAATGAAAACAAGAACGATACTGACAATCAAAATAATATAAAAAAATAAAAATGTCATACATTTTGACATTGACACTGACAACACGCGATCTTTTAAAATTATTCTTTACTGCAACTACATGTAAATTTATCATATTTTCTGTAGTCTTTTTATTTTAGAATAACTTACTTTATTTAAATTAATAAGAAACTATTTACAACCTAAAATACACAAAAATAAATAAATTACTTAACTTACTATTTACACAGATCATCAAAAAATTCGTCTGCATCGACATCAATCGACATCAATAGAGAAAAGTACCCAAAAGACTAAGTTTCAGAATATTTAAATTTTTTAGCTTACTAAGCAGGGTTGCCAATCTGTGGGGAATTCCCCAAACTGCGGGGAATTTCAAGTTGGTTGGGGATTTATTGGGGATTGGCATTACGTGGGGAAAATGTGGGGATTTTGACTTCATATTCTCATCGGAAAATATTTCATCGCTTATTATCGATGACTACATTTTTTGAATCATAAAGTATGAAGGCTGGAGAAAGTATGGAAGATTTGAAAAAAGATGAAAATGTATCTCGTGCAGCTATTGTTTTGCATGAAAAACGCTGCGGGAGAATACCTGTTCTCAAACATAAAAATTGTTATTTAATTATTGCTGATATTGCCTTTATCAAATGCATCAGTCGAGCGCAAATTTAGTCTCTTTAAAAATTTAAAAACTGAAAACCGCAATAGTTTGAATATAGATACTGTAGTATCATTATTTATAAACCTACAAGGGATTAAAAAACTGGACGACAGTGTCAAGTTTAACCCTTCGAACTAATATATGGAAAAAAATATAAAAGATGAACAATAAATATTATTTAAATCATTGATTATAGTATCATTTTATAAAAAATAAACTTTTGAGGGGAATTTGTGGGGAATCAGCCGATTTTTATCCCCAAATTTGGGGAATTCGATCAGGATTTTTGGGGATTTTGATGAATTAGCTTTGGCAACTAAGTTCAAATATTAACGTAAATAAATATTTCAGAAGTAATCGGTACTTGTATGATTTAATTTATACCATATTATTATTGAATTTTATTTTAAGTAGTTAACGTACCAGATCATAATACTCAGAAAATCACGAGTAAATTTTGAACTTACTCCTTTAAACAGGAACTGAATATGTATAATTAAAAAAAAAACAAAAAAATACTTTCAGTCAGTCTTTAGATGAAACAGATATATTATAAAGAAAATAACTCAAGCTTATCGACGGTGACTACTGCGCCGGGATGATGTTCGACGGTAATATCTATCATCATCATCATCATCATCGTCATAATCGTCGTCTTCACGGTCGCGGTGGCGTGATCTTCGATGACGCCTTTCACTACTTTCGTCACGTCTTGAACTGACTCTTTTCAATGGTTCTCTCTCTGGAGATTCAGACCACCGCCACGATCGAGCTGACGAACGGGAACTCCTGTATTTAATAAAAAAGTAATTAGTTTCCTGCATTGTAAACATACAATAAAACGTTAAACATAACTTGTCTTTCGTATGGTTGATTAAAACCTTGTACTGTACTTGCCTTTCTTTCTCACGTTCGGGATTATAATTTTGATTATGATTAAATAAGTTATTCGGATTTCTGAAGACATGCAGAAAATTGCATGCTCGACCCTTAGGACAACGCCTTCGTAATTGAAGTCCTGAAAATTATAATTACAATTTTATACCAATGCTCACTTAAGTCACAAAATAACATAAAAAGTGGAAAGAAAATTACCACATATGGCATTGCTCCAGGAATTTATGTTACAAAATTGTAAGGAGAGCTGTCTACCGCCATACCAGCGGGTATGTAAAGCTCGATAAGCAGCAACAGCACATCGTAGCTCAGCAAATTCTATGTATGTGTTGCCCCGAAGATGCTTCTCATAATTATTGCACACCTGTAATCATACAAAATGTTCTTATAATTTCTGCTATATTTATTGAAAATCATCTATTCATGTAGAGTGAATATTTTGTAAATTAACAACATTGTGGAATCTGTATGATTCAAAATATGTAGGTACAAACCTTGCTTAAGTTTCCATTTCAGTTTCAACCAAATCAAATCCATTGGCAATGAAAAATATCTGAATTCCATTTGAGTAACAAATTGTGTCTTTAAAAGATTAACAGAAAGTAAATATCAATTCAAGTTTAATTAACTTTAGTTAGTAATGCCCTTGATCAATTTATTAGTTAGTATTGAGAGGTGATCAGAAATTAATATCTGACAACTCATTCTAATAGCAACATGGGACTGACTTCAGACATGAGGGGATTTTAAGGGTTTCAAAAACAACAGCTCTAATTTTAACCAGAGTCTAGCTAAAGAGTTACCATAGTATTGCTTACAACTCACCTTAAATTGTACTATTCGTCCAAATTTTTCAAATTCAACCAATACATCATAGAAGAATTCTTTGAATTCTTTATATGTTTCGCTATCTTCATACTCTAGCATGATATCAGTGTCGTATTCATTGATATCTGCATTACTTAGCCCAAAGTGGATGTAAAAGTTTGAGGCTAATAAAACCTAAAATAAAACATCTTTTGTTAGTTTCTAAAATAAATAAGTGTCACCTAGAAGCAATAATAATCAATCTTTTGACCATCATTTAAGTCTTTAGGGTACTACTGATTATAATCATCACATAGTATGTTGTTTTTGTTGATGTCCAAAGAAATCTGTGATATCTGTGGTGATCAAAAGACTGATGAGCAAATATCATAGTGAATTTTAGAAAAGGATATACTCTGCTAATGCCTGGATATTGATGATTTCTTGAACACTGGTCACCAAATCGACAGCATGAAGTTTTAGTGAAAAATGGACAGAGTTCAGCATCTGATCTTGTTTCGCGAACCACTTTTAATTCAGGTGGAGGCTCAACTGAGTCTCCTGATAAGAACTTATCCAAATGATCCATAAACATTTTATGTTTTCTTTTTTGTTCTTCTTCAGAAGCTTTTATTCTTTCTTCTTCTTTCTTTTTCCTTTCTTGTTCCAACTCATATTCCTGTAATAAATATGGATATTAAATAAGTCTAATTGTATTTTAATGTTTTTGCTCTACAGTAGTGGGATGCTCATGGCTAAAATAAAATTTTTTTGCTTAAACTATAAGTCTATAACCATACATAGAAGCATACATATCATCATTATAATACTTAATGAACTGTAATTAGTTATTTGCTAATTAGATTCAAATAATAAGTCATTAAACTGTCAAACACCAAGCGGTCACCGGTGACCGCAACCTATTGTTCTTTAATTGTGTCAATAAATACGGTACTCGATGAGTTAAAATGTCAAACACCACGAGGATACTAGTGACCGCAACCTATTGTTCTTTAATTGTGTCTATAATGACGGTACTCAAAGGGTTAAATGTTTCTAATTAATAAAAGGGTTGTGCTTACTAGTTTCATCTTAGCTTCTTGTTCCAATTGCTTCTGTGTGGCCCTCTCTTTTTCTTCTTGGAGTCTTTTCCACTGAGCAATTGCAATTTTTTCAGCTTCAATCCATTTTTTATTTTCTTCCTCATTTTGTTTATTAATTTGTTCAAGAATTAATTGTTCTTCTATTTCTTGCTGTTTTACATACCATTCAGTTGAGAATTTTTTTTCTGTAAGTTTTATAGTTTTGTAATTTCTTTAATAACTAAAAATAAGTTCTCATTATATCACTTATTTTGATATTTTTTGTTGACTAACCTCTTTCCGTAGCTTGAAGTGTTCGAATACGTTTTCTTCTTTGCTTTTTAGCATTTCTTCTCCATTCTGCGTGCCTGCAAAGTAGGTACAAATAAATATTACAATTTGTGAAAGAAAATACATAGGTAGCTGCGTTTTAAGTTTTAGCAGGGGTACTAACCTTCCCATGTTTTCTTCGAAAGTTAAATTATTCGTATTTTTTACTTTGGTATTTTGCAATAAGATTTATATATCGTGATGTATTTCGTACAAAATCTAATATACACGAGCACTTATTAAAAATAAACAACATGCATGACATGAGTGCCAAAAGTCATGCAAAAGTCAGAGTTTATCAAAGTGTCAATGTCACAATGACGCTAACATCATTAAATAAAATAAATTTTATTTTTAGGATGGCAACTTTATTAAAAGCAATGAGAACCATAGTTAATAAACTTTTTTTGACATCATTGACATTTTGAATGTCATGTTAATGTCAACTAGAGTAGACCTCATCGTTGTCGTTGTGGTCGGCTTGTCATGTAGCCGTAGTGCGGGCCGTTTTGCTCGACACGCAAGTATTAATGACATAATTCGTCGAGCTCTTGCCTCGGTTGGCGTGCCAGCTACTTTAGTCAATGTTAAAGTCAAAAATCATTTATTTCAATTAGACCAGCAAGGCACTTTTGAACGGCACTTTAGAACCTAATGGCTTGGTACGCGACGATGGCAAGAGAACCGACGGTATGTCATTATTCCCTTGGAAGATGGGTAGGGCTTTAGTATGGGACGCCACTTGCGTTGATACTCTGGCGCCATCCCATCTTCCAAGCTCAGCGTGTCGAGCCGGTGCTGCCGCTGCTGCTGCCGAGAACCTCAAACTGCGAAAGTATGGTTGGCAATTATGTTTTCGAACCGTTTTCGGGTTGAAACTTTAGGGCCGTGGGGCCCAAGTGCACATCTTCTTTACAAAGATATTGTAAGGAGGATGGTTGACACTTCAGGTGATCGAAGGACTGGCTACTTGCACCTTGGGCAAAGGTTAAGCATTGCCATTCAACGTGGCAATGCTGCCAGTCTTTTGGGCACCCTACCTCACGGTAGCGATGAGGAAAATGTTTTCTTTGATGCCTTATGATTTATTTTTATTAATTTTTTAAGGTGTAAATATTTTAGTTTTAAATTATTTTTTTATATTTTAATTTGTATATATTAATAGTCGCAAAGTAGTATTATGTTAATCATTCGATAATAATTTATGTACAAATACAAAATAAATAAATAATGCTTAAAAAAAAATTAGAGTAGATATCCCCTATACTTATTATAGAGATATCCTCTTTGCTTGATATTCTCAAAGTGTTATCTAATAAGGCCCTAGTATTTATTTTATTTAAGTTTATATTATTTGTAAATAAAATAAGGCCCTCCATATACATTTGCATCAATTTTCTATTGAATACTCGGTGCAAAGACGTTGAAACAAGAACGTTTTTTCGATCCGTATATTTTAAGACTGGCAACTATCTTAAAGTTCTAATGAAGACATAAAAATTAACTTTTATATTGATGTAACTCTACTTATTAAAATAATTAAGATACTAAAGTATTATTACATTGTTAAATTACTTTTTATTATATTCTTGAAGGTAGGTGAACATTGTTATTTCATCATATTTTATTTACTTTGTCATAGAACTCAGTGGGTAGTTGTTAGTTACACCATAAACGCCGATTGCGCTAAACATTAGCCGCGTGTTAAAATGGAAAATAGCAAGCAAAAGATAAAAAACTTAATTCATAATCACCAGGAAATCGACTTTATTGAACTATTGCGTGCTGGATTTGACCCTAATTTAGAAGGTGGTTGGCCAATTCGACTAGCAGCTCGACATGGCTGTACCGATATTGTAGAGGCTTTACTTCAGTTTGGAGCAAATCCACATTTATTGAGTGAATCAGGTAAAATATAATTTTCAGGTACATATTCTCTTTAAGTACCACGCATCGCACAGTAAGTCCTTTAAATTTACCATCTCTTGTTTAAATCCATCGCAATCAGAAACAGTTATTCGCTATCAATAAATTGATGGCGATTAATTGACGTATATTTTTTAAACTCTGTCCCTAAGACTTCGAATATATGTTATGCTAATAAAAGATTGGCCAACATAAGTATTTTGGTACATACAATATTGTTAAATTCCATTATCGTTTTTTAATTGCCATGCCGTAAATTAGTAAATTATTTTAAAATGTTTATCAAAATATTGTTGTTGTACTTAGGTGCATCAACGTTACAACTCGCAGTTTTTTCTGGTGAACACTGGGATACTGATAAATGGACACCGTTACTGTCGTGTTGCGATTCATCCCAGTTGGCTGATGGCGCAGCTGTAGCAATTATCTTTAATAACGTTGAGGCTTTAAACAAGATTTTAACGACTGGGAGATGTAATACTAATATACCTACGACTTTAACAGGTACGTGACATTTCCTACATGTAGGTATCTACTGCGTTTAGTAAGCATTATATATTTATATAAATACTTACCTAATATGTGTTTAGGTATCAGCACAGGCCGCGCAGGTAGTTCTGTGTATGTACCTAATTGTTTTTGTAGTTTAAGTAGGTACATACTATAATGTTTAGTAGATGAATATGAGTTTTATTACTTTTTATGTTTCAGGAAAAACATTAGAAGTTTTGGCAAAAGCCTACAAATTGAGCGATTTATTGAACACATCAACAATCAATGAACATACTATACCAACTACGATGGCGTCTTCACGAATGTCAAGACAAGAGAGAATGGTACTTACTTACATACTTATCGTACTATGCGAATGTGCTAATATATCAAAATAAAGAATTTGTCTGTTTGATCGGGCTAATCTCCGAAACTACTGGTTCGAATAATGCTTTTTGTATTGGATAGTCGTATTTATTGAGAAAGGCTGTAAGGCTATAAAACATCACGCTAAGATCAATAGAAGACGAGCAGTGGGTGAAGCCCCTTTTTAGGTTTTCATTTCGATACAGCCTTTCCTAATCCTGCAAAGCGGAGGTTTGAATCGAATCGAACTTCACAGGGGGTGCCCTCAGTGTCAGGGATGCGGTCAGATAGATTATAGACAGATTTAAGGCTATCTGGCTATCGCCCTGCTGACTCTTATAACAATAACTACCTAGGTATTTATTTCGTTAATGTTGTTACAGGTGCATTCTCCATCATCACCGTTTCACAGTTCGAATAGAAATTTATCACCGTCTGTTGCTCATTTTTTTAATCAAACAGCACATCAGACTTCTTTATCACCTTCTAGGAGTACTATGATAATTAATTCTCCTACAAGGGACGCTAATCGCCGCTTATTATAAAAGAATAAAGTAGTATAAAACGCACTTTTATAATTTTTATAAAAGAAAGAATAATACAAAATGTTAGAAAGAGTATAGAGACACTAAGTTTTAGATATATGTACCTATACTTTTTATTATATTGTTTAAGACAAAGCTAGCCATGATGTTTAATCATAATAAAAATCAATGATAATGACAATTCGTTTAAACATTTTGTATTTGTGTAATGACTAATTAGAAATGATGAATGGTTAAGCAGAGAATAATGTGATGATAATAAAAGTAATTATGTACTAATTCGTTTTATTAAGTAAAAATTGTTGTTTTAAACAAAAAATATTATTAAATAATGTCTATCTACGTTACCATATTTATTTAGATATTCGAGAACACTGAGTTGGGGTACAAAGACTGACGGCTTGAGTTTCAGACAGGGTATCGTTTGGAATCTGGAAAAAATAGGAGGTAAACAAATACACAATTTAAACGTTTCACATAGGTACGAGCTACAACATGCCAGACTAAGAATACGATTCAAAATCGACGGAATTGTAAAATATTTACCATAGAATTATTATCAAGCTGCTGCATCTCTTGTATCTGAATAGTAAGTGGAGTGCCCAAAATATTAGATATCTTGCTGTTTAAGCAATTCAAAAACCTTGATATTATAACTCTCTGAAACAGTCACGATTGGGATTATAGTGGGAAGAACTAGGACAGGCTATCTAGGTACATATGTTCTGTGGTAGAAGTAACGAGAGGACTGTGGCACTAACTGACAAAATGATATGTGTCCAGTGTGTGTGTGCCCTTTGGAAAATAAAGGCCATGATGATAAATAAAATATGAACTAAGCTAGTAAAGATTTAAGTCGCCGTATATTTTACGAGAAGTTCTGAGACTCAGGTAAGGCAAATGCTACTGTTTTGATAAAAACTTGCACAAACAGCGATTACCTATTACGGTTTAAATATTTACATACCTCTAATGGTTTCGGTGTAGGAGTCAAAATTGGAAAATTTCTAATAACGCATAGCTTTGGGTAAAGTAATGGTTCTCCACGCCAGAACTGAATCGAGTAATAAGAACTTTCTTCTTCAGGCAAACGATAGCCATGCTGTCAAACCCAGTTGAAAAACGTTAATTCGAAATTGAAACTGTTTTTAAGAAGACAAAATAATGTAAGTATGTAGGTAGGTACTCAGATACCTACTGTTTGCTTACCTACCTACTTAAAATTCTCATTAAATATGGTGCTGTCGTACCAGTCGTACCGGCTGTGTTAGATGTCTGGGCTGAGTCGGTTAAAGAAATTAGATGGTACTAGGTAGTAACTACCCTAATGTAACTATGTAAGTAGGTAGGTAACTATAGGTAAGGTTTCATGTGAAAGTCTTTGTAGATTATTGTGTAAAAAATACAAAGTAGGTAAGTCTAACTCACAATATTTTTCCAGTGTCGACGTATATCCTTGTAGGATTTGAATTTTGAAACAGGAACTTGAGAAATATCTTTACAGCTGTCTTCCACCATAGCCTTGTTCAAGCTAGAATCAGAAATAACTTGCTTTAAAATAAGTGAACTCCATGTTTTTGGTAAGACGGACCTAAATAATTAATTTACTTAAAGTAGATAGGCAATAGGCGTATAAAGCACAGACCTTGGCAGAACTCTTATCCATTCACCAGGAGAAAATTCCTCTTCAGATATCATTAAATTTATTTTTACAGCATTAATTTCAAGAATAGTAAAGTTTTCTGTGAAATGAGCAATAAGGATATTGTCTTAACATAATTATAACATACAAGTAGAACTTGCAATTTGATATTTTATTACAATATACTTGGTATCATCATCATATCAGCCACAGGACGTCCACTGCTGAACATAGGCCTCCCCCAATGACTTCCAGATAGGCCGGTTGGAAGCGACCTGCATCTAGCGGTTCCCTGCGACCTTAATGAGATCGTCGAGAACCTGCTATACTACAATATAATATACAATACTTGGTATACATACGATTAACTGAAATATTGTATTTGATTCCTTCTTGAGGCCCCTTTGTAGTAAGGAAGTCTCTATTATTTATTAAATAATTTTCTTCCATTGTATTCCACGCAGGGGCGATCCTAGCTGTCATGGTGTAATGGAAACATTTTTGATATATTTCTGGAGTAACTTCCTTTATTCCACCATCCTAAAACGAAATCGGTGTTTAGAATTGACATTAGATTTAGGAATCCTTAATATGGGCTCTACAGACATTGTTGAACAAGCCCTAATTGAAACTAACGAAGTTATGTAAGTATATATATATATATATATATATATATATCATACAAATAGTAATCACTAAATTATAGGTGATAATTATTATTATATATTTGCGTACATTAGGTAGTATTTAATTTTGATACCTACTTACTTGCATTAATGAAAATTTAACGAAAAGAGAAATTAATTTATCGTAATCATCACCAGTTTTTTTAAAAATTATATGAACTTGTTTCACATCCTTCTTGTCGGGACAAGCTAGGATTGACGAATTTGAAAAAATTATCATTCTGAAAGAGAAATTTAGATAGGTACATCATAAAAATAAACAATAATGCCCTAATATGTGGTCACCCCATTATAATGGTGGATAATTCACCTGCATTTAAGTATTTTCCAGTGGAAATCTGATGGCGCCGAACGATCATGTTTGTCACTAATATTTGCGGTAGCTGTGATATAACCTAGTTTATTGAAATCAGGATTTACAATGTTTATTCGCATTTTGTGCAGCAATAATATAATACTTTCGCATTCGTACCTAGCAGTAGGTAGTCTAGTCTAGTATTGTGATTCGAAAATAATGGCGCGAAATTAAAATAAAAAAAAATAGGCGCACAGATTCATAATCAGCATAATCGATTTGTCTGTGGTAAAATAACGAAACTTTTTTTTCTTTCTATTTTCAAAAGCAAAACCTTCTATTATTATGTAGTACAAAAATGATTTTAGCCGCTATTCTCTATCTATCTATAGCTCTCCAGAAAATAGGAAAGCGACGTTTTATTCTCCCAAACATAGGTACAAATGTTAAATACCTACTTGCACTTATAGCATGCAAACATAAGTGTTAAAATAAAAGACAGTGTATAAGTTAGTTTTTTTTATTCAAGTTAAAATAATATTAGACGAAAAGATAACTAAATTCAGTAAATATTTTACATAACTAAGGTACACATACAATAATGAAAATTCAAACATAATTTTAGCTTATCTAATTTTAAACAATCTCAATCACAGAACTCTTGATAATAATCATAGACGACATCCGATTATTGAATAAAAAAGTGCAAAAGGTCCCAATAACCGTAATTTTAAAATTATAATAATATTTGTATTAAAATTGGTCAGTTCGTTATTTTATCGTTAATCCGTAGCACAAAGTAGAAAATTATAAGATTAGTGATACAAAATTTCTTCCATTCATTTCGCATACAATTCATTCCTTTCAATCTAGCGTTCATTTCATCGCCAATTTATTCAATAAATTTTGCAGTCAGATATTTCATCTCATAATACCTAATTACTTTGGCACTTCCGAGTTGGGTAACAATGACAATTTAAAAAAGATGTTTCGTGAGCGCGTAAACAAGTAATTAATTATTATTCGATTGATTTTCAAATTGGTCACGAGCTTTGCGCAACACTCCTTGAGTCTTGTGAATCTCTCTACAAATAGCACGTTGAACGCTTCTCTTGCGCAAATTGGCTGCATTCAATTGCATCAATGTTTCTGCGAGCGTTGCCTTGGTCCTCGCGAGCTTTTGTTTTAATGTTACATTCTCTTCATACAATGAACCTGCAAATATAGATGTTTAAGAGTTAAAACAAGATTAAGGAGTAAGTTATATTTGCTAAAATTTAGATTGTTATGAATTTCGGTTTGTAATGGAAGCAAATACTTACGCGGTGAAAGTGCTACGGGATCGTTTTGTTCTAAGCTTGACAACCTATCGCTATCAATTCCTTGATCTGGTGAAGTAGGTCGTTCTTCTTCTGAATGTTGTCCTTCTTGTACAATGGCAACTTTATTATTGGCATCCAGTGCCATTTTGCGTGTTACTTCAATTTCGAGCTGAGAATTTATTTCTAAGGCATTCGAAAGTTTTTCACGTGTCTCTTCTAGTTCCCTTTCTATACGGAGTCGGTCATGTTGAGCGCGCGCTCTTTCTAATGCCGCCTGTGAGGCTTGGACCGTGGCCTCATCTGCAGCACGCCTCAGCGAACGCTCTGTCTCCATATATGTAGCTTCTAGTTCTTGTCTTTCCGATCGCAGTCTCTCAGTTAATAGCACAGAGTCTGATAGCTTCTGCTCAATATCTTTAATTTTACATTCCAAACTCGTGACCGTATTTCTTAACTCCTCTATAGATTTATTAGCTTCAGTCAAACTTAATTCTTGTGAAGTTACCGTTTCCTTTAATTCGTGGTTCTCTGCAATCAAATCATTTATTTGTTCTTTTGTAAATTCTAATTTATTACTTAAATCATTGTTCTCTTCCTCCAAGTGCTCACTTCTCTTAGTAAGAAGATTGAGTTCTTCAATCAAGGTGTCACTGGACACTGGTTTATTGTCTTCTGATCGAGAACCATAAGAAACTCGAGCGCGTCTTGACCGTACTTTGCTATTGTCGGTACTGGTTTCGCGCAAGCCGACACCTGTGTCGCACAGACCAACCCGAGCGAGTGATACGTTTCGATCAGGCTCCGACCAACATTCTGATTCCGAAATGACGTCTGCTTGTGGAAAATGTTTCATTATAGCTTTTTTCTGGGCCGAATATTTCATCGCGTTATCATCGCTACAAGCCATGTGGTGTCCAAACATCATAGTCAGATCTTCAATCCTCAATGACTGTGATATATCAATATTACTCTCGTCCATTGTGAAGTCTTCTGGTGCCATTGACTCATCTAATTCCAAACCAACAGGCAAGGCAAGACTTTGTTCTAGTATACTTTCAGCCAACTTCTTCTTATCCTCGCCAAGTACACATCTGTCAAATATGATGAGGAATGATGTTATTGTTTGATTATGGTCATTACAATTTTAATGCATAATTTATGTAATTAATATACTAACTTGTGCGACAGAAGTTTGTCGAGGAAATAAGCCAATCCTTGCAGTCGTTTAGTAAGTAGCTGCTGAAGATTTCTGGAAACCAGACAATTATAGAAATATAGAAAAAGTTAATAAAAAAGTTAGTTACAAAACAAATTCGTAGTCGCAAATAAAATTACCCCGCGTCAACATCTTGAACTTTCTCGAAATGCTTTTGTAAATCCCTGACTTTGCTCTCCAAATCCTTGATATGTTCATCTTTACATTTTAAAATTTCTTCATATTTCTCTAATTGCGAATCGCTAACATGCGCGTAGACTAATTCTTTGTCCTAAAAAAATTTAATCTTTTTGAATCGGCATTTACACATAAATGTAACACTAACACAGCTTACAAAATCATCAGATAAAACTTACCAATTTAATTTTCTTTATTTCTCTGTCTTGCTGTTGAATTTTTTTCATACATCCTTTTATCATTTGCAAGGCTTTTTTGTTCTCTCTGCGTAGTTTAACAAGTTCATCCTGCAGATAAGACATTATTTTACTATTAATAAAAACAGAAACCAAATTGCCGCGAATAAGTACGGTCTTTATACTTACCAAATCATCATTGTTTACTGTTACAGCCAAATAATCCCTAAAACATAATAATAAATGTATAAGTTTCAATCACATTTTTACAAGAGGAAAACGCGTAAGTAATAATAGAACAATTAAATTACCCAGCCGATTCAGACTCCGCGCACGTATCATCAACCAATTCCTTCTTTTCGGGTTCCTGAAATACAAAGAATGTTATGATTAAACTGATAATATAAATATGGTAGTGAGTATCAACAATTTATTTATTTTATTGTTATTTACCTGATCCTGTGACACTTCTTTTTTTATCACATTACTATTATTCATGGATATTTCCACACTATCAGTCGATATGGAGCCCTGTAAAATATAACTTATAAGACTAACTCATTCTCTTAATTTATCAATGATTCTTAATGAGGACATACTTGTTGCTCCAAGACGTCAATGGCTTCAGCTGCCGCAGCTAGAAGCTCTTGTTTATCAGTCAGTTGCCTTCTCAATTCCTCCACTTCCACTTGAAGCCTGACATTGTGTTCCAAAAGACCCTGAGGGATATTTTTCGAATTAGACAATTCTGATATTAGCAACTATTATAGAGTTTATACTAATGATCAATGACTGTCTCGTTGATAGAATTCAATTCAGGGATTCGATTGTCGGGTCAAGCAAAGAATCTATGGTGGTCATTTTTTAAATTTCGGCGAAATTACCGCTGGCGCCGTTAGTAATACAAAACTGATAAATACACAAGATAAATTATACTAACAACACGACGAACGAAATAACTAATACTAACAAAATAAATTAATTTCATTCAAGTATACATTTCCGTAAGATTTATTAGAATAGGGTGGATGCCTAATTTTTATTTTAATGTCAGTCTGGTAGATTATTTTAAATCTTTAGACACGTATTTTTTATTTTCTTCAAGAAACGAATACTTTTGACAATAATATCGATTTGAAATGTCGCGTGACGTCACTTCTATGTACATTTTATACATAGAAATGACGTTTTAGCCCCCACTCCTAAACTTTGATTCGTTTTATCTAAGTATTGTTTTATTATACGACAAAATAAAAGAATACGTGTCTAATATTTTTTCATTATCTAACTTACGGTCTAATTCGATTTTTAATTTTCATACCCTGTCATCATCCCAATTATGTTCATACAATTTTAAATACTTACTTGAACAGCTGGTGGCGATCCAGTACCCAGTTTTTCTTCAAGGAAATATATCCTTAGCTTCAAATGAAAGTTTTCCTTTCTCAAGCCATTCAGTTGTTCCTCATACTGTTTCATGCTGATACCGCTTGCAGTAGTGACATCTGTCGACATTATTTCAACAATTATTTAAGCTTACGTGTTTTATTTTAGCAAGAAATTTTACTCACGTGAATACACTGAGAAAAGTTAATGTAGTATGTCTCACGATAGTGTTTTGTTACAAAATTATTTCCATAATAATATTCAATAGCGTGTTTGTGATTTAACTTTAAATATACGCACCGTGCCCTTCACATGGAGGCAGCGCCATCTCTTGTAGTTTCCGCGGGCTAGTACTGTAAATAAAAGAAAATAACAAATGTAACGAAAATAATCTGATAGTACCATTATGTAGGATAGGTAAACGTGGTACTAGTCAAATCCTTTTAAAAGGTGTGAAGACGGGAGAGCTGGGATAATTAATATAACAAACCAGCCGTGATAGCGCCGTTAATGCAAACTAAATAATACCTTGTAGGAACCTAACCATGTAGGTATCCAATTTTAATTTTCTTTTGGTTATTTATATCAGGTAATTAAGATCGACCATTTTAAGTAGGTACTATCATAATACCCAAAACTTGGGGTACTCTTAAGTACTTTTAAATTTAATGATATTATTACTCTCGTTAGAATAATTAATTGATAAACTCCTTACCTAAACGGAGATGGTAAACCAGGCCCCGGTTTAGAATTGTGCATTCTAGGCAAAGTTGCCATTTTAATTTCGAATTAATCCTTATTATATAACTACACCATCAATAAACACAATAACAAAGCACAAAAAGGAGTAAACAGTACCACACATGAGCTACAGTGAACGCAAATCGACGACAACTGGAAATTATTTGTGTCGATTACCATTCCATTAATAGATAACGTATGTTATGCTTATAAAACCGATTACACTTAACACATACGTATTCTAAGTGAACTTAAATAACAGGAGAATATTGTAAATAAACAATGGCGTAATTAGTAAATCACTTTGTATTTTATTTGACGTGGTACACGATAGGTTACTGAATTTAGGACAGATGGGATACGGGACTTCGACTGGGATTCGGGAATGATCGCATATCATCGGGAATCGCAGAGCGGGGTACGCAGATAAACAGCATTCTGGTACATATTGTAAGGGAGACTAGGTAAAGAAAGAGATAGATGCTGTCGTGCTAGACAGAGATAAATATAGGTGAAGCGGATACTGTGAACTGCACAATACAGAAATAGAAGTGGTGGCGCCATTAAGTATGCTCTGTTCCAAATTTTGAATTTATGCCTTACTTCCTGTATCTTACTAAAGTCATGTAATTAATATTATGTAAGCATTTAATATTATGCGTCAATTTTTAAACGATGTTGTTCAAACGTTTTTTGGGTTAGTTTAATTAATTACTACATAACAGTTCTATAGGCACAATACAATAGGAAATATGCAAAGGTACCATGCAAACTAAAAGGATAATAAATTAATCATTTCTATCTACTTGAAATTTATTTTAATATGTAACTGAATGGTTAAAATATCAAATCCTGTTTATCTTAATTTGCACATTCAGCACTTTAAATTACTTGTACACTACAAATAGACGATTGTAAGACAGATCTGTCTGTAGGTCGTCATACATCACGCTTGTAAACTACCGCAGATGAAAGACCGGTAATAATATTGATCCTCAAAATATCACCTTTTAATTTTTTTTCTATCCCATCTCGAGTAGCATCAACATCGTGGCAACTGGCAAGTCGTAATGAATTGTATTCATGAATTACGTCTGCAAAGCCGCACAGATAGTAGAACGTGACCTACGCTTGTCAAATTATGAGAATGAGTTAGTCTGATTAAAATGATTAGTAAAATACTCCAGGTTGAGACGAGAAATAGGTCATAATTGTTGTTTTTTATTTTAGGTCTAATAATACTAATAACTGCGTAAAGTGTGGATAGGTATTAGGACTATGTGCATTTAACTGCTCACAATGAAAGTTCTATTATAAATGAAGTCGAAAAAAAAATACAAGTACGCTCGTCTTCGTATGAAAAAAAAATGCATTCACATTCGATACTCATAATTATGTATATCAAGACTACAGGTAATTAACTAATTAGGTACCTATAAGTAAGTCAAGGGTTTTCATGAATACTACATACATAATTAGATAGGTACTGCAAGAATTTCCCACACCAATCGATCAAAATTATTGACTTTGACTGCATGGTTGGCGCTGCGGCTGGGTAACCGGCTGCCGCGCAACGTGTAGCGGATTCGATTCCCGCATGGAACAATTCTTTGTGTCATCCATAAATTGTTGCTTCTGGTATGGGTGTCATGTGTATGTGAACTTGTATGCTTATAAACGCACCCACTACACAGGAGAAAACCATAGTAGGGCAAAATTTTTAATAAAAAAAGACTAGAGGGTTGGGTAAAAATTATTAGAATTATTTTAAGTTTTCTAAAAAAAATATTTAGCTGCATAGTATCTAGTTTTTGACTAGACACATATTGCACATCACATAGGACTATAGGACTAACAATAACAATGAAAAAACTGCAAGTTTTATAGAATCTAAGCACCTCTGCTTAACCATCCAGCTAAGGATTAAAAGGTGTGTTATGTAAACATGTTTTGCCTGGTTCCGAAATTTATTACTTTAGGCACTCTAGTAGTTGAATGTAGTGCTCACCCTAAAATGGTCACACTGGAGAAAAATAAATGTAATTCTAGTAAAAATGTAGGAAAGGATACATAACTATAATTAAATGAAACTATACTCCGTCTGTTTAGGTAGTTAACTATTTGTAAACAAACCATAAAAAGAGTTCTTTATAGTTGACATTTCCATGATTCAAAATACTTCATAAGAAAATAAAATTGTTGCCCTTTTTACGACAGTTTTCTCTATTAAATGTTATGTTTCTGTTCCTTTTCACTTATTTCTTAGTAAATATTATATATATCTGCTTGACGATATTAATTTAATAACATTTATTAAATAATATAATATTTCATTACAATAGACACCATAAAGAACGAAGCAAAATAATGTTGTCAAATTAAAGAGTACAACTAAGATGTAGCGCGACAATGAAAGTAGCGTGTATTACGTTTAGTCGGTTAATCAGGCGCCATTGACAGCTCTCTTGTCGTTTGCGCTCGCGTACTGATTTTGTTGAATTTATCTTGTTTCTTTGTTTTGTTTTTGTTATTAAGTTATTTAAGTTTAGGTATACATCGTTTGTAATTAATGTGTTCAAATATATTGACGAAACTTGGCCCAAAGACACACGTACAAGAAAGAAATCCGTACATCAGATTCAGAATAGTTTCTATTTAAACATGATAATGAAATAGACCCATAGGCTAGGCTCTTGTACGATTTAGGCATTTGTACTTGTATGTGTGTGTATGACAAATGAACGATTTTAAAGTGAATTTAGTTAAAATTAAAACACGAGAAATATTTGAAGTAATAGTAGGTTAAGTATCTCTGTGTCACGTGGTTTTCTTTGTTTACCTTTAGTTAATTACCTAAACAGATGGACTATACCTATTATATTATTGTGTATACATCTGTAATTAGTAAGTGACAAATGTTTTTATACAGGGTGCAAACAGAATGCTCCTGAAAAACACCAACAATTGATGGTATCAAACAAGTTATATTTTTATCATCATCATCAACAGTCTATAAATACCCGCTGCTGAGCAAAGCCTCTTTTCACACGGAGAAGGTTTGAGTATTAACTCGTCGAGTACCGTATTTATAGACACAATTAAAGAACAATAGGTTGCGGTCACCGGTGACCGCTTGGTGTTTGACAGCGGGTTGGTTTTTTCAAACTTATAATTAGAAATTATGAGTTAGATTCCTCACGATGTTTTCCTTCATCATTCGTCAGTGGTGACAAAATAATCATAGAAAGTACATATAAAGTGACATTGATACTTGCCATTGGTAATTATGAAATAAAAATTGGTGTTTATGAGAAGCGGGGTTCTTGTAAATGTTTCTTTTATGTAATAATGATTGTAATGAACTGCTCAAGACTGATGTTGGATGAATGAAACGAAAACAAAGATGATTAAAATTGTAAAAACTATTTCTTTTTGTTAGTGTTTTGGAAGCATACTGTTTACACTCTGTGTGTATTTATAAAATGGTAAATATAAAACATAATCATAGTCCTAATGACTGAAGGCATCGAGATGAACAGTGGTAGATAATGGTTTGGAGCAACACAGGCTACTATCGCATCGGATTGTGAGCGATTGGTAGAATTCATCAGAATCCTATGAGATTATTAGAATCCAATACAATACAATATACTGTAGGTATAAACTTACCCAGAAGCCATAACGAAGGAGCAATTTTAAAGAGTATCTTTGAATATATTGTAACGAAATATAATTACAATAGCACTTACATTACACCAACATCTCCACCAGGTAGCAGTTCTGCCATTTTTATGAGAAATTGTTGAATATTAGGTACTGATAAATACGTAGGCTGAAAATAATTTATGGTATTTGTAAGCATTCAAATATATTTGGAGTTCGTACATGATTAGCATCAACAACATATAAGAAACAACAGCAGGTGTAGATTCAAATACAATATTCATAAAAAATACACTAGAAGCAACTATCCAAAGACTGTTAAATAACTGACAAACAACACAATTTTGTACAATAAAAACATTTAAATAATCACCTTCTCGAAGTCTTAGTAATTCCCTCAGTTGTAAATATTTAAATATTAACAATGTATCAAATTAATCAATCAAGTTATTTTCAAAATTTCAATTCAAAGTTTCAAACAGACAACGAGCGAAACGACCATTACAGATTACATCAGTGAAATTCAGTGAATGAATGAATAGATAGATGAATACTTGACTAAATGAACGATTGAAGCACTAAATTAAGTATATTGCAGTTTCTACTTTGAGCGGGAATTGGGCATAAGACACGTAATGGAGCGCAACAGCTCATCTCATAGTAGTTGGTTTGGCAGTGGGCTACCGAACCTTTTATTTCGGTTATTCCCGCTCGTCACCCCAAGCTTTGTCCCCTCCGGTGACAAGTGGGAATTATATTGAAAAAAAATCCCATATGTCACCCCCAGGTGACGAATGGGATTCCACTTAGAAATCATCCCAGTCGTCACCGCTAATAAAAGCTTGCTAAAACCATAGTTTTACATTGCGAATGGAAATTTGTTTTTGAACTAAATAATACAATAAAATTAGACAGCCAAAACTTTTTATTTGCTTTTATTTTCAAAATCAGGTTCTAAACGTTTTACATTCAACACAAAAGTATTAACAACAGTCTTTGCATATTATCACAAATCAACACAATTTACATAATTGACTAGGCTACATTCATTGGTTCAGTTTGAAAGTAATCACCATAGCGTTACAAAATATAAAAAAAAATAATATTAAAAAAATCTTAAAATGTATCTATACTAACTTTAAATAATTCTTATTATCACAGATCAACACTATTTACATAATTGACTAGGCTACATTCATTGGTTTGAAAGTAATTACAATAGCATTACAAAAATTTAAAAAATGTGTAAAAATATGAAAAAATCTCAAAATATCTATACTTTCTAACTTTAAATTATTTGTAATTAGCATAAATTTGTTTTATTTACAAAATAACTTTGAAGGGACTTAATCAATGTCTTAAAACTTCTAAAAAATGTCCCACTGTCATATTGCCATGTAATAACTCTAACTGATTTTCTAAAATGAATTCATCAGCCAGGACATGAATTTTCTTTCTTTTTTTAAAAGATGTGGTATTGGTGTTGTTAATGCTATCACGTACACTGAAATATGTAGAATCCTTAAGTAACACTTTCAATAAATGAATAATATTGGGTTTCTTTTTACTCACTTCTTGGTTTAATTTATGATTCCAAGCTTCCAAGAAGTTGGTTGTTCTGTGCTGGTCTCCATAAACACACCAAACCGGTATAAATTCTTCCTTCAGCCATTGTTTTTCCATATACGTTCTGAATTTTTTAATATTATTTTTTTTATATTTTGTAACGCTATGGTGATTACTTTCAAACTGAACCAATGAATGTAGCCTAGTCAATTATGTAAATTGTGTTGATTTGTGATAATATGCAAAGACTGTTGTTAATACTTTTGTGTTGAATGTAAAACGTTTAGAACCTGATTTTGAAAATAAAAGCAAATAAAAAGTTTTGGCTGTCTAATTTTATTGTATTATTTAGTTCAAAAACAAATTTCCATTCGCAATGTAAAACTATGGTTTTAGCAAGCTTTTATTAGCGGTGACGACTGGGATGATTTCTAAGTGGAATCCCATTCGTCACCTGGGGGTGACATATGGGATTTTTTTTCAATATAATTCCCACTTGTCACCGGAGGGGACAAAGCTTGGGGTGACGAGCGGGAATAACCGTTTTATTTAAACCCTAAAAAAGCGCTACTGCCATACCACATAGTCACGTACGAGTAGGACATACTATCGTTTTGCTGTTGTGTAGTAAAAGCTTTATATTACCGAACAAATATAAGTCTGTGGTTTTCCTGTCAGTGACAGTGTCAAGTGTCAAAATACATATCATGTTCAAAATTGTTATTCCAATATAGGTTATGTGTCAAATGTTTGGTTTTTGAGTTAGCCAAGATTTGGAAGTCGATATAAAGACGACAATTTTGAATAACTTTGTCTGGACATAAAATATATTACTATGGCACTTTCATTCAACGCTCGTTCATTATTTAGAAGACTAGTGTTGTCTGACTTTAGGACCAATATTCGGTTTTATTCAGACCAAACAGAGGAGACTACTGAAGAGCAGAAAGAAATTGATCCAGCTAAGGATAGAACAAAAATAATACCTGTTGAAACTAGCATTAAATACATGCAGAGTAAGGCTTATCAGGAAGCTTATGGAGACAAAGCAATTTGGGTATTGTATCGACGTAACCACATAGGTGGTTTTGCTCCACGTAAAACCAGAAAAACTTGTGTCAGAAACGGAATAATATCTACCGGTAATCCTTGCCCTATTTGCCGAGATGAATATTTAGTTTTGGATCACAGGAACACAAAACTTCTGGAACAATTTATATCTGAACACACTGGACAGGTAAACATTAATTCATTTATTTTTATTGTTTTATAGCATAAGCCGTTAAACGAGCAGATGGATCACCTGTTGGTAAGCAATCGGCATCGCCCATGGACACTTGGAACACCAGAGGCGTTACAAGTGCATTACCGGCCTTTTGGGGATTAGGAGTTTGACGATCGTTGGGGATTCAGGAATTGGGGAGATTAGGTAAGGGGAGGGTAATTGGGCCTCCGGTAACCTCACTCACACAACGAAACACAACGCTAGCGTTGCTTTATGTCGGTTTTCTGTGAGGCCGTGGTATCACTCTGGTCGAGCCGACCCATTCGTGCCGAAGCATGGGTCTCCGACACTTAAAATCCTTACTTCCTTACTTATATTATAAATCGGAAAGTGAGTTTGTTTGTTTGTTCCGCCTTCACGCCATAACTATTAGACCGATTGCTTTGAAATTTTGCAGACATAAAGTTAGAAGTCTGGATTAAATAATAGGGTACTTTTTATCCCGAAAAAGTTGATATTTCTTAGGAAAAACAAAAATATTGGTATAGATGGTGCTGTATGTACTGGTATAGAAGGCGTTGTATGTTATTTAAAACCAGTCAATGAATTACCTACTTATTGGAAAAATCTAAATAGCGCGATATAACCGAATTCCATGTGATCGGAAAGCTATTTGTTTGTTTGCCTGTCTTAAACAGCAGAACGGAGGTATTAACGTGATTTTTTAACTTAACCTTTAACTATTGATGTGGGTGTCTCATAGACACATAGTTCACGAATATAAGAATTTTCCATAAAAACATCCAAATAATTGTATTGTAGCTAAGATTGTAACATATATTTTTTTAAGTTATGTGAAATATTTATATTTTAAGTTTGTAGAATTTGAATCAAAAACCGCTGAATTCATTCGAAAATGTTTTTTTGCACTTCCTTAATATAATTATAAAGGACCGATCATAATACAAGTAATATTGTGCAAATCAGGAAATAAAAGTAATCCATTTCGATTATTTATTAAGGTGTTTGACATACATCACGTCACCCTTCATGGTATGAGTAAACCACGTCAGGACTTGAAGGTAAAGGTAGTTGAACGGATGGATAGTCACATAGGCTACTTTTATCCTTTTGTAACACGAGCAAAGCCGCGGGTAAAAGCTAGTTATTTATATTTTTGATGATAAATAATGACTTGTGTACTTTAAATATTTGTACAAATGTATTACTATGAGATTTCACATTGAGAAAGAAAGGATAATATACATATTCTATTCTGTATACAAAAATAAGTAAACAGACCTAAATATAAAAATAACATTAAATCTAAATATAAAAATATTGTAGGGCTTGGAAATGGTTTTCAAACTGATATTAATTTTAAACTGTTTCATTTTCAGATATTGGATGCATTTAAAACGGGTCTTTGTCAGAAGAAACACAAGGAGTTATTGGTTGCTATAGAGAGGGCCTGGGACCAGGGCTATCTCACATATGATGTCCCATTCAGGGAGTATGATTACTCTTTATATAATAAAACTGCAAATACTGTTTAAATAACTGTGTAATAATATATTAGCTTAAATAAAAATAAAACATATAGTTGAATGACCTCTTTCATTGCACAATTTTGTAGGAAGCCCTTAAAGCTTATGGCACTAGAATGTTAATACATAATATACATCATCTGTTTTTGAAACATTTGTGAATAATTTCTTCAATTTTGAAATTATTTTAGGCCTTTTCATAAACACTTCAATGTCTTGATTTTTGCTAAATTTATTAATTATTGTTACATTGTTATGTAACCAAATATACACAATATTACAGTTATTCACACTTATACTGCAACAATGGTTTTAGTTTATATTAAAATCTTTGAGTAAAGCAAAGAATAAAAAAGCATTGGTAAGTATTAAGTACATAAGGATTGTAAAACAAAATTCTTCAATCACTTTGCCAAAGAAAGAACACCTATCCTTACTTTTGTGAATTACAACATTACAAAGATAAGCTTTTTGTTTAAGACCAAAGAAAAAAATATTTTCTTATTAGAAAATTCCTAGTACATTGTTATCTTTACACACATAAGGGAAACACAACGCAAGCATTGCTTTATGTCGGTATACTATGTAAAAGTATCAATTAATTTTGATCTGTTCCTTTGAAGTAGCAGTTCTCTGATGAGTGCTGATTTTTCGCGTTCCAACACTGTTATTCTCTCGTTTTTTCTGTTGACTTCCTGAAAATTATAAAAATACTGTTTACTTACATCATTGTTTCAATAAGTCTTTCATGTATACAATAGAAAGTAAAATACTTTGACAATTGAATTCTAAACCGGGTATTTACAGTTTAGACAGTTGGGACTGTCTAGTGTCTATACAGGATGTCCAGTAAATAGTGCACCATACTGGAGTGATAGCTGAGATCAATACCTACCTTAACAAACCAAAACAATATATGTTCAGCGAAAATGTACGGTTTCAAAACTAAACTACATTTTCGCAAATGTCGATAAATCACCATTGTGACCCACATTTTTTAGCATATCTCAGTGAAAAAATCTTTTTTTAACAAGTTTTGTACATAAAATTATGTATTATTCGTGGATAATTATACTCTATTTATTGGTACGTAGCTTTTATATCAGGAATAAAAGAGTTTTTATAAAAAAAACTATTTCTTGGGTTCGTAGAACAATTTTCTTGTTGTTAGTAACATATTCAAGAAAATTAGCCTCTATTCGACTAGAATAATGTATTTTTTCGTATATTAGTAATGAGAATGTACTATTATTATACCTTTCCAAAACAAAGTAATTTTTGCACTAGTTTTACAAAATTGCCACATTATTTTTTTTTCACTGCTGTAAGTTAAGTTAAAAAACCGTTTAAAAAGACCTACCAATAAATAGAATATTTATCCAGGAATAATTTGATGTAAAAAATTTGCTAAAATATTTTTACTGAGATATGCTAAAAGATGTGGGTCAAAGTAGTGATTTTTCGATATTTGCGAAAATGTAGTATAGTTTTGAAACCGTACATTTTCGCTGAACATATTATGTACGTGGTTGTTTGGGTGGGTATTAATTCCAGCTATCACCCCTCTCAGTATGGTGCACTATTTACTGGACACCCTGTTTATTTTAAAAATTAAAACAATATTCTCATTTGATCATATTTTCGTAATGAACTCAAAACCCAATGAAAATGTTTAAAATTCCAAAACAATAAATATTTCGAATTTGATAATGAAATGCGGTGAACTTTCGTCTGATTTCACCCGTTGTTTACAACTTCACAAGGAAGGTTTATTGTGACACTGTTGGGCTCTTTCAATTGGGTTTGGAAAGTCCATATCTAAGTGAAAATTGATGAAAAATATACCTCTGCAAGCATTCGGTTTTGTGATCGAAGTACCGTTGCATTGTTTGGCGTAGCACTGGTTCCTGTAGCGGACAGCGAAGCCGCAGGTAATGCTAAGTTCATATGGAGCGACAGCTGCCCATGTCGCCAACCTGCTGCCAATGCTCCCAGTTGACGATTCAGTTCTAATATTCGTGCTTTTAGTAATTCTAAACGCTCTTGATGCGCTTCACTCCATGGTTCCTGTAATATTCGTAGAAATATTAGTATGAAACCGTTTATGGAGACATGTTTGAATCGAATTCCATACATAAAGAAGTATCAGACAGAGCTGTCCTTTAGTCCACAAAAGTCCACTAATATTGACGAACTCGAATACATTAAAATAGGGCTAAGCACGTATCTACCTAACTAACTATAATTAACTAGGTAGGTATATCAGGTTAATTTTTAACCTGTGGACCATTACAATCGGTTACCTCGTAACTTATCAGAGAAACTTATAGGACGGCCTACGTAAAATTTAGGTAAATGCTGTAATATGAATCTTTTTCTTACTTACTTAAATATATACATATATACGTATAGATCTTTGCAATATAATGCTATTTATGTGTATTACGCACATTGCGTTAATTAAATTATCTAGTTTGAGTCTACATAATATGAGAACTTATTAAGTATTCATTCGAGAATGTACCCACACTAAGCAAAAAACTTGCTCGGCCATGACCCGAAAACGTGCCTAGGTAGTGCTGACTCTCAGACATTTTTCTTTAACGTTTATACAGGAACTAACTATATAAATTTATTTTATTTTATTCTATTTACCAAACATTGATTAGGAGATTACTTAAGTATAACATGACCTTATTTATTATTATAACACGTGATATTGGTTATTTTTTTCTTCTTATTAGGTAATTACGAAAGTTTGCGTATAATGATTGTCTTTCTCGTTAAAAAGTTGTAAAGCTGGTAGTATAGATATTTAGAGCCCAAATATAATATTTAACATAAGTATTTTGGGACTTTTAAATACAATAAAGTGGGAGGTCATTCAAATAAGAATTTAGAAATGTTGAAAGTAATAATTACTTACCACATATGCACCCATTCTACCCGCGTAACGCATTTTTTCTTGAACTTCTGCTAACTGTTTTAAATACCACTCTCGAGCTTCTTCTACGGCTGATAAGCCTTGCAAAAGAACATCTTTCTCCTGCTCTATCTGTTTCATGCGTTTCAGAAGATTGTAGTCCACACCATTGTGCAAAGTATGGCGCCGAGGTTCACGCCGACGTGAGACTCGCCGCATTTGAGATTGGGGTTCATTCGCTGATCTTCCATCACCGAGCCCTCTACTTTGCTCTTCTACAGCTCGAGACATTTCTTCAAAATCAATTTTATCAACAGATAACTCTTCACTGTCAAATACAATTTCTTCTTCAGATTTATAACTAGACTTCGATGTTTCATTTCTTTCTGTAGTTGGTTTTTCAAGTCGTGGAGGTTTTGGAGGTCCGTAAACTCTTCGAGACCCGTCGTGTTTCGAAATAGTCACCGGTCCTAAGTGGCGGGGTTCTGGAACTAGGGCCTCTTTACGTCCTATTAGTTGGGGCATACTTATCGTGCGGTGTTGTGAAGAAGTTTCAGAGCTTTTTAAAACCATCCAATTTCTTTCTATGTTCTGGGAATCATTTACATCTAATAGCGGTGCTGATGGCGGCCGATGTGTTTGAGAGACCATTTGTGGATGTAAGCCTGTGCTTTCAACATCATCGCTAAATCTATCATCTTTGCCCGAATTGTTATCAACCTGATTACGTAACAGGCAGATTTTGAGCCCAGTGCAGAATCTTTCAAAGGTTAACAGTCCATCGGGTGAAGCCACTTTCTGTAAACTTTCTATGACTCCTCGAGGTAAGCCTCTTGTACGGTCGTCTCTCCAACGGTTTTCTATATCGGTGAGTTTTACATACCCAGTGTGTTTGTCGTCCATAATATCGAACAGGGTACGCATCGCCGAAACAAACTGTTTAGGTAATGATTCCATATTTCTGGAAGAAGCGCGATTCATGATTTTGAAATCTTCAACTAAGTAGTAAAATATTTCTCATTGTAATTCCACTGTAAAATTATACTATCAAATGTTAACTGATGTTCACTAAATCACAACAACATATCTACGGAAAAATGCATAATATCAATATAACACATCACACGTCGCGCGCATTATTTAAAAGTTATAGCAACTCAAATTTAATTATGTGCTTCTTTTATAGAAATTATTGCGCACGTAAATATTTTGAACGTAAACTATTAACAGAAGTTCGACTAGTTAGTGAACTGTAAGTTTACAACGTACGAAGCACCAACGTCTGTTGTTTGGCCACATGAGGACAAAAATCTGACCGTTTGTCAAACGGTATGTGTAGGTATGGTGGGCGAACCAATCGGTCGTTGGGAGGGAATTTGCGAGAGATAATAGCCCACGAGTGCGAGCAGGAGAACCGGTCAAACGACATTTCGGTCACTTCGGCACCGAACAGGTACGCAGGTAGCTCAGCTAGGACAGCGAGTAGGTCTGTCGCTGCAGTCTGTATGTGTTGTATCTTCAGGTGTGTCGTCTATAAACGATTTATATTCTCGAATACCTAATGTTAAGATATTAAATGATTTAAACATTTTTTAAAGTTCTAGTTACTTACAAATACATAATTATCATCTCGTACTTTTAATCTGTATGTCACCTTCTCACTATACAAGAACCTATTATGTTACTCGATTGAGGACATTGACCTTACGTGTTATGTATTTTACATAAGTACCTATCTGTGCTTATTACATAGTTACTAATGTACGTTATTTTTATAAAGTAGATATCTACTTACTTACATAAGTTATGGCGCGCATTCTTATAATAAAATTAAGAGTATTAACGGACAAAGAGCATATTGTAGATATAACGCTGGTTATCAAACCCAGAATCGAACCGAAGACCTCATATGCTTATACTGGACAATCGCTGTTTCGACCACTCAATGAACAAGGTATTTTGCAAAAACAAGTACATATTGAAAAGGTTTCCATCATTTACTAGTACCTCCTAAGTATTACACAATTCCTACGATAGTTGCACGGTTAGCGCGGTGGTTGGGTGAACATCTGCTGTGCAACGTGTGACGGGTTCGATTCCCGCGCCGCACCGCTCAAAAAGTGATACTTAATGCCTTTTTCTGAGTAAAATGACAATTATTAATACGGAGCCAGGAAGATCGGCAGTGTTTCAACCTCGTTTCTCGGAAAGCATGTAAAGTCGTTGGATCCGCCTGACCTTTCACCGGTCGTGCCGGTCTGCCGACCCATCAGATTCAGAGCAGAGAAATGAATGAGGGAACAGAATGCACCGGTGTTTGCACACATACTTATGCTTTATAATATAAATCGATGTAGAGAGATTAATATTAAAAAAAAATAAGAACAAACTAATACGTATTTGTGATCGCCCTTACACTATCACTATAGACTATAGAGCAGTACGAGAGTATTCGACGAGTAAACCGATCATCGACAATTGCTATGACATTATGACCGTGATGTCATGACATAACATCTGTCTCTATGACTGATGTCCAAAATTTCTGCTGCTTACCTTTTCTGATTCCAATCTCATTCCAATAATCTATATCAATAAGTTTCTATTAATTAATTTCCCACGCAAAATATACAGAATAGATATAGGTACGGTTAATTCATGAATTGTGAAAAATAACTTAGTCAAACGACGGTTCTACGCAATAGTGTATCGAAATAAATAAAAATATGAGTAATGCAGGAATTAACAGTGAGTTACCTGAAGTTAAAGAAGTAAATGGCAGTATAAATCAAGATAAAGTTCGTAAAGGATGGGTAAAATTCGATGATGAATCTCCAAAAGCTGACAATGAAGCATCAAGTGTACCACCCACCGCGGGAACCAGTACATCCTCCGCACCGACTGAGTCTGCTGCTGTTCTAAAGACGGAAAGTGTTCATATAAACTTGGAAAGAGGAGACAAAAATGTTGAGCCCGTATCATTAAGCACATTATCTAAAAATGTTGAATTTGTCAATGTACGCTCAGGATTCTGTATGTATTTACATAATGCCAGTTTAGGTAAATTATTAATTGCTTTAATTTTTTTCCTAATTTTCTAATTTGATGTTACAGCTAATGGTGATATAATTGTGACTCTGCTTCCTGTGAATTCAAAATGGCCTTGGGTGACAGCAGCCCGTTTTAGACCAGAACTTGTACCTGAGGAATTGATGGCACAAGGCTTGACTGTGAGTTATCTATGTGACGATTGGCTTATGTTGATGTTATGTGATGTTGCTGGCATGGTGTTAATGTTTGTTTCCTTTCAGCTCACAGTTGAGGAGTATGTTCATGCGATGGAACTGCTTATTAATGATGCTCGTTTTACTCTGTACAACATTTGTTACAAGCGTGTGCTTGTTTGTTGGATAACGCTTGCATTCCTTGTGCTACTGGCACTATTGTTTTCTGGCCTGACTGGTCTTATTTTGTTTTCTCTTGGAGTATTATGGCTGATACTGAATGCAGCTGCGATTTTTCTGTGCATGTGGATAAAATTGAGACTGTCAAAAGGACTGGAACAATGTTTGGCAAGAGTTAACAAACTACTCAGTAAACATAAATTGATTCTGGCTCTGGATGATAGAGGAAAAATATCTTGTCACAAAGTGAATCTCTGCTTTATATATTTTGATTCAGGCCCATGCATTGCACACATACAACAGTTTATTGATAGTGAAGAGGGCAAAACAATAATGCAGGGCTGGGAACAAAGACTTGATGTACCAACTAATGATATTGTTATACAAGGCACTCAATCAACCAGGTTGTCAAGGAAACAGGTATGTTTGGTTCTGTTACTTATTGTTTCATAACAGCTTCAACTCTTTAAGTAGTTTTACTGGGCAGTATAGTTCAGTAACAAGCTAAATTGGATAATACTATTTGCAAATATATTAAAATATTGGTGGTACACAGAATAGTTATTGGAATTAAATGTTGATAAAAACTGGTACTTGTCTCTATTTAGTTTGAATGTAATTCTTATGCCATACCTAAGCATTCTAATGCTTTAATTTCACACCCAATGTCTAAAAGAACTAACAGTACTAATTTCTTGTGACACAAATATGCCTTCATGTTGTGTTGGAAACAGCTTGCATGATTTATTGCTTACTAATCTTATAGGAACTAAATAATAATTTTATAATATTTGGAATTTTTGTTTAAGCAAAAAATAAAATTTGTTGTTTTTCTTTGTGCATAAAATAGTTATAAATTTTTAATAAAAGTACTGATAAATAGAAAAAATTAAGATCTTAAATTTATAGCTATCTTAAATTTTGTGGATGTAATCATGTTTTTAGTTTGTGTATAGTGGTGTAGAACTTAATGTTATGTATTAATGGGTATGCTGTGATTCTGGTTGCTTGGAATAGATAACCATTTCCTTTGCATCATTAATTAATATTGCTTATCTATTACTTAATATACTTGCAATGGCCTCTCCACATTTCTTTGAGTGCATGTAAAATGTCCATTATGGGAGCATCTCTGGTACTTGTTATGGGTAATTTTATTTTAAATTATAACAATAATTCCTTATGGTAGTAATAAAATTACAATCACTTCACTAATGTGTCTGCACGGTTGGTGCGGTGGCTGGGCAACCGGCTACCTTGCAGCGTGTCGCGGGTTCGATTCCCGCACGGAACGGGTCTGGGTGTCATGTGTATATGAAATTGTATGTTTGTAAACGCAGCCATAACACAGGAGTAAATCCAAGTGTGGATCAATAAAAAAAACCCAATCAAATTACTCCCAAGCTGATTAAGACAAATTTAGTAATATAATGTGTAATATAAATTGTAATATATATTAACGTATGCCTCAAATGTTTGTTAATTAAGTAATTTTAGAGATAACTGGTTAATACCAGTCTTCACCTAAGCGAGGTGAGTGACAGGCGAGTTAACAAGTAAAACAATTTATTTGCAAACAACATATAAAAAGTACTTTATAAGAAGTGATATAAACAAAGATATGTTACACATTAAGACATGCATTTTTAGGAAATTGAAGTACCAGACATGCTATGGAGTGTAGATCACTTTGTTCTGACTTAAATTATTGTGTATATTTTAACACCATCCGCTCTGATGAATATAATGGATATTCTTTTGGCAATTTGCATTTGAATTTCCCCAAGTGATGGAGATACCTTCACTCAACTCTTATACATTTTCCCTATTGGCATTCATGCATTTGCATAAAATACATAAATTGATGTTGAGAAAGTTTATACTAAGCATGCAACATATCAGACTTATCTGAATACTGTTTATTTCTGCTTAATAATGCATGGCTATTTATTTACTATATTTGATACGTTTGGGGTTTCGTTCTAATTTATATGAATATTATTTTATTATGTAGATATTTATCCTTTATTTATTACACTTAACTAGTTTGGTAGACACATCTAGTTTTTGGTGGGTAAGCAAGGCATACGAATGTGCAGGGTATGGCAGAGCAAGTGTACCTCCGGTACCTGCAGCGGTGGGGGAAAGACTTTCTGCGCCGCCGGCTCGACTGGACTCTTGACGAGGAAGGCGGCAACCCCGCCGCCCCGCGACATTTAACACAGGCGCTCTGCCCTTGTCAATATGTTGAGGAAGTATTGCGGAACAAAGAGCCCAGAGATACACGCGCTTGTTGCCCACTCTGCAACGATTGGCTCAGACGTCGCGGTCTTGACTGACCAAATGTCTTCACTTTTGGCAAGTCTTCAGATTTGATATTGTATACGAAACTTCAACTTGAGTTGTGTTGCGTTTATAAACTTTATTTTATCTTTTCTTTCACAGGAACGAGGCGCTCTTCTATTCCTACGGTATGCGGGACGTTGGGGAACACTAGCTGTTAAAAATAAACTTAACTTAAGTACGCTCGTTGCGGGACGTCATGGTGAGAAATATGTTTGTCCCTGTCAGTACATAGAAGAGCACCTTAAGGTAAAACCTCCTGCAGGCATTGCAAAATATTTTACACTTCCTCACCAGAATGTTCAAATTTATTAATCAAAATCATTAATATAAAGTATTCAATATAACAGCATTATTCAAATGGTATATATAATACTAAACTTTCCGTCCATGAAATTTAATATATTATACATAATCATTATTAGCCATAATGAAAAACGTACTTAGTTTCATGATAGGAATTTTAATTGATAAGATTTATGTATGAGTATGAGTATTGTGTAGTAGTATAAGAGAGTAAGAAGCCAGTTCTCGTCGCGCTGTATTGAACAATACATTTCTATGTCTCTGAAAATAATAGATTGATTATGTACCAAGTATAATTCTCTATTCTAATTCATAAACAGTATTCATCAAGTGAACATTAGCGACGAGGGCTTGCTTACCTAAACAAGATAATCATACATATCTCCTGGCCCAACCGTTTAGGTACATTATTATAGTCCATCAGCATGTAATCTCGAATTAAGAAACTCAATTATACCTGGTTTATGTATGATATTATAACTTAGTTTAATTTTTTATCGAATATTTATGTCAAGTGGCCATACATTTAAGCCTTTGCTGTTGTACAGAAAAAAGTAATTATATTGGAATATATTTTAGTCTCATAAAACTCATAAAATCGAGTTTATCGTCGAATTTTTTCTTATTGTTATTTATTAGCTTTTATTTGTAGTTTTGATAAAATCAACTGATATTATATGCCACCGGTGCAAATTTGCAAAAGCTTGATTATGAACATTTTTAAATAAAAGTAAAAACTGATTGGTCTCGATTGTGCAAATATATAAACTAGTACACCTAATGAAATCGGAATATAAAAAAGATAACAAATCACAATTGCACGGACTAGTCATCTACAGTAGCTAAACTGCACAACAGTGCTAAAATGATTCATAATATAAAACCAAAGCTCAAAGTGTGAAATTGTTTCAGAATTATTTTATAAATATAAATAATGATTTATTTTTATTATGTCCCTTTTAAATCGTTTGAAAAGATAAGTTTACTTTGTGATTAGGGAGAAACAAATGTAATTAATAATAATGTTACCTAGAGCATTACATTTCATATATTTTAAATATAATATCTTAGTAATTGTCACATACATTCCGTTCAAATGTATTTGTAAAGATAAGTACACAAGTATTATAAACATGAAGTGTCGCCACCTTATCTGGAACCACTGTTCAAGCGGGGATTGTTAGTTAATTAAGAGCCTGTCTGTTTTAACCGAATTTGATTGGTGTGTGATTATTATTAGCTGTAGGATGGTTTTCTTCAACTTGTGTAACTTCTAAAAGTCCATATTGTCGCCAAAGTTTATAGTTTGTACCTAAAACGGCAGTTAATAGAGTAATATTTTTTTATTATTTAACTTTGGTGGAACACGGCATCGACGAATATTAACAATTTTAATGAATAATTTATTTTGAGCGATTCCAATAAATAAAGTTAATAATTGATAGAAAATTTACGTAAATGTCGATGGAAATTATAAAACAAAATATTACTAGGTAAATTGTTAAAATTTGTTTTTATTAAAGTAAATATATTACTTTATTAGATTTAAGTACAATGAACATTGTATATAGTTCATAATGAGTTAAAGAAACTATTTTATGGGAGAGGTGGTGGTACTGTAAATATAAAAGGCTGACAGCTAAATGAAACGTAACATTGTACGTTACTTCTTTACAATCAATAATCTCCAAATGTTAATACAGGCACTCTTTATCGAGACTGATTATGAAATCTTTAAATTATCCATTTACTTGGGACATGTAACATATCTTACTGAAAAATTTTCTAGGTACTTTTAATATGTGCATCTTTGCTTACCCTTTCGAGTAGAAAACGTGATAACATCGTTTACTTTTCGAAAGTTTACTATTATAAACGAAATCTGTAGTCGTATTTGAAAATAATTATTAAATATTAGAAAAACATTGCTTTTTTGCATTAAAATTACTTTATATATTCTCACCTTACTTTTCTATTTGTCATCTTAGCAACTATATTTTAAGTACCTACTGTTACCTCCACATTTATGGATAGTCTATCGAATCTGTTTGTATCGCTAATTGTAGTCTAATTTCTGTTTTCGCTGGTAGCAGCAGCTAACGTATTAGACGTAATATTACAAATATGACTACATATTTCAGTAGATATAATAAATTCAAAAAAAAAAAAATACTTACACAAAGAGAATGCAGCTATATATGTATTCTTCTGTCCTTCTTACTTAGATGAAGACGATGCATCCACGTGCATCCCTCTTGTTTACCCGCGGTAAATAGCATACAGTGTAATTATATTACTTACTTTTTACTAAATACAAATAAGTATTCATAACGTTGTGATTAATATAACATATTCCGTCCTAAATATCATTGTAAGTATTAGGTATTAGTCTTATAAATCAGTATACCTTTACTTACATTATTATTATTTTTATGTAACTATGTTGAATTATATATACATATTTTTATATTGTGTTTTATTTCATATCTTTTACTCGACCCCGCTCAACTGTTGATATATTTAATGGTGCAGCAGTGAACTAAAAACTGCTAGTCATGCAGGTAAGTCAAAGTCAAAGTATTTATTTCAATTAAACCATAGTTTGGTACTTTTGAAACGTCAACAAATACAAAGTAAATAATAGTCTATCAGTCAGTCCGTCAGTGAAATTAGGTGAAGCTAGGTGCTCATTCCAAAGTGTAGATTCGAATGGAGAAGAACGATCAAGAAACTCCATTCGTTACTCTTTTTTTAAAAAAGTATGTTCTACAATGTCTCTGATACATATTTCAAAACTGTACGCATATGTAAGAATAATGCAAAGACACGCTTGACGCATTATAATGATAACTTATTAAAATAAAAAAAATAAAAATCTTATGTCTAACATGGTGCTCACATATGCATACTGACAATCCATAGAAATAGTGCTTCTATACAAGAAAAAGGAAACTCTTTGTTTCAATAAAGAAAGGAATGATCGATGCCATAAGGAAACTAGATTGTCTACATTAGAATAAAAGTATTAAATTATGTATTATATTACCTGCTATTGGAATTTAACTACTGACTACATTTGAGTATTGTCCAGTGGAGCCGAACCAACATGCTGCCAAGCATTCTTATCTTCAAGATAATCTGTCAGTGCGTAGTAAGCTTGATTACATAATTCGCGCTTAATAGATATATGTTTTAAATTTACTTTCATTGAGAGCTAGTATGCTATTTGGTATTTTATTATAGCATTTAGTACCTAACCCCATAAAGGATTTCTGTACTTTGGACAGTCTGAAAACTGAACTTATTTTTTCCTCTAGTATTAAAATTGTGTCTATCGCTTCTTTTTTCAAACAATTGCCTATTTTTCCTTACATACATTATATTTTCATATATATATTGACAGGGCACCGTTAAAATATTTATCATTTTAAACAATTCTCTCAGCGATTCGCAACGGCGTAAGTTATATACCTCGTGTGTTCATAAGTTTTGAGACAAACTTTTTGCTTATAAAAATAAAATAAAAATTACTGGCTGCTGTATATTTCTTTTTCTAATTTTGAATTTGGAATGTTAACTTTTAATATCTATGATTTCGGATTATTTTATTTAAATTTTCTCGTAATGGAGGGAACAAAAGAATGACGTGCGACCGTCATTTCATTATTTAACTCGTCGAGTACCGGTTTTATAGACACAATTAAAGAACAATAGGTCGCGGTCACCGGTGACCGCTTGGTGTTTGACAGTTTAAGGTGGGAAGAAAACCTATGGACATTTTCCGAGAACTGAAAAGTTTTGGTGTGAGCCGTAACTTCGTGTATTACACTATTAAACGATACCAGGAGACAAGTTCTTTACATGATCGGCAAAGAAGTGGTCGTCCACGCTCTGTGAGGACGCTTGCGAACATTAAAATCATCCGAGAGCGACTTCGCCGAAATCCATGTCGCACTCAGAAGAAACTTGCTCTGCAGACCAATATTTCGCGCGTTTCAGTCAACAAAATACTGAAATATGATCTCAAGGTTAAGGCGTATAGCCGTAGAAAAGTACACTTTTTAAGCGATCGCCTTCGTCAATTGAAGATACTCTTCACCGACGAGAAAATCTTTACCGTCGAAGAAAAGTTCAATCGACAAAACAATAAAGTGTATGCCAAAAGTAGCAAGGATGTCCCACCTTCAGCACGGAATGTCTCGCGTACTCATCATCCGGCTAGTGTCATGGTATGGTGGGGAGTTTCGTACGAAGGTGTCACTCAGCTTCATTTCTGCCAACAAGGCGTCAAGGTGAAAGCCAAAAATTATCAAAGTGACATTCTAGAGACTGTTGTGAAACCCCTGTCTAATACCCTATTCCATAACAAGTATTGGGTTTTCCAGCAAGACTCGGCGCCATCCCATAAGGCTAAAACCACCCAAGCTTGGCTGAAGGAAAATGTGCCGGCCTTCATTGCGGCGAACGAATGGCCCTCCTCCAGCCCCGACCTCAACCCGCTGGTGATGCTGCTGTCAAATATTGATTCTATTTCTGCAGCTCGACCCCACAACAAAATGCCGTACGACATAATGCTGTGGAAATAACTAAAATAGACAAGCCTAGCTGTATCTACGTCCGTGAGCTGTCTAATCTGTCTAACTGCAAAAGCAGCTGAGCTTAATCTCCCCGAAAGCGCCTTTATATGCGGACCCCATTGTAGCCTATTGTCTAACGTAATGCCTAAAAATACTGTCTCGTCGACAAATTCTAACTTTTGACCGTTCAAAACAATATCACAATCGTTACTACGCACGTTTGGTAAACTGAATTTAATACATTTTGTTTTTTTTCTCACTAAATGCTAGATTATTAATGGTGAACCAATTATGCACTTGAAAAATGGAGCTGTTTACGTCGTCAAGATTATTTGTACGTCGATCTATTTTGAAAATTAATGATGTATCATCTGCAAAAAGCACCATTCTTGGTTCATTTTTAAATATAAATGGCAAATCATTTATATAGACTAAAAGAGAATGGGACCCAATATTAAACCTTGAGGAACGCCCATATTCATCCCAGAGCCCTGTGAGTTAATACCTTTAACTGTCTTTCTTCTAAATAAGATTTACTATTCTATATACTTCTAAATAAGATATACTAGATTTATTTAGGTACTTCATATTATCTATCTATACAAATATTAGGTAATCAGGAGATGATTGAAATAAAATAATTGGTTTTCGAGTCAATAAATTTATTAAATTACTAAGAAGAGTAAGATCATAACATTTTAACATGAAATTAATATTAATATAATTTGGCGTCAAACCATGATTTAACTTCTAAATGTCCCAGAAAAGAGAAGTTACAAATATTGCTTATTAAATTATTCATACATACCTAGCAAGAAATTATGATTTTATTTTGGGGTAGGTAGGTAGGTACGTAGAAGCTGGAAGGGACAGGATAGGTCAGATCAGTCGATTTCCAATGTCCATAGCGAGACACGTGCGACGATTCTCATTTCTTCTGTCATTAGGAAAAACAGGAACAAGTCATATAGGATATAATTAAAAATTAAGATTATTTATTGCATCTAATTTTTATAAATACCTGCCTTTTTTTTTTTTTTTTTTTTTAAGGGGGGAAAATCATCGAATGACTGCTCCCGCCTGGGTGAGGCGGAAGGGAGTGTCAGACTCTTACTGACTAAAAACCACCCCGTTCCTTCTCCTGCACGTCGAGCCGGAGCCCCGGTTACCCGTTAGGTTCTCCGCGACTCCGAATCGGCATCGGCCCTATTGGGCCCCATCTGTGGTGGTCTGATGGCTCTTTGAGGCGCGCGCGGAACGCGACGCGCCGTACGCTCGGGTCTGTTTCTGGTCGGACGGGGAGCCACCCATGCTCGCCGTCCGCAGGCCCGCGCTTACGGTGGCCGGAGATCGTCCCGCGATCCCCGACGCCCGGTGTGTCCTTCGCGATGGCTGGGTTGCGAGGAGGCAGCGCTTCGCTGCCTCACGCGTCCCGCCTCCTCCTTAGCCAGCATGACTGCTTCGCAAAAGGAGGAGACGGCATCCCAGTCCCCCTCGCTCCGCATCATGGCCTGAACTAGGCCCGGACGCGAGAGGTCTCCATCGCCGATCACTTCCCTGAGGGCACGGCGGTGCTCAGCCCACGCAGGGCATTCCGCAACAGTGTGTTCCACCGTGTCCTCAGGGTGGTCCTCGCAGTGATGACACCCGGGCGTTTCCTCCCGCCCCATCAGACACAGGTACCTCCCGAAACTTCCATGTCCGGTGAGGACCTGCGTCAGGCGGTAGGTGAGGACGCCGTAGCGTCTCTCAAGCCACTCCTCAAAGAGGGGACTTACCGCTGCAATGGCAGCGAGCCCAGCCCTCGGTTGCGACAGTCGTTGCTGCCATTCCGCCATGAGATCGCGCCGGAGCTCATCCCGCCACGCACTTATCTGGCGCGGCAGCGGAGTTTCGCCCCGGCGACGTGCCTCCGCGCGCATGCGATACACGCGCGCGAGCACCTTCGCCTCCAGATCCCACGGCGGTAATCCGGCAAGGAGGTTCGCCGACTCCCCAGAGATCGTGCGGTATCCGCGGATCATTCGGATCGCCATGACCCTCTGTGCCATAAGCAGCGCCCGAGCGGGCCGCTGCAGCAGGTTCGGCGCCCAAACAGGGGCGCCGTAGAGGGCCATGGACCGCACGACCCCGGCGTATAACCTCCGGCAGGAGGCGTTTGGCCCCCCGAGGTTGGGGAGGATGCGCTTAAACGCAGCCCCCACCCTCGCCAACTTTGGAGCCAAACGTCGGAAGTGCTCCACGAAGTTCCATCGACTGTCGAGGACGAGTCCCAGGTACTTCATCGCCGTCTCGACGCCGATGGTAACCCCTCCCGCCATTATTTGAGACCCACCAGGAGGTGGCGCATTCCCGCGGCCATGAAAACACATGGCCTCGGACTTGTGGAGCGCCACCTCGAGTCCCAACTGCCGGATTCTCTCAACGACTGTCGCAACCGCTGTCGCCATTAAATCGGCCGCCGCCTGGTGCGACCTCCCGTGCGCTAGCACCAGCGTGTCGTCGGCGTAGCATATCATGCTAACGCCGTTCGGGAGGTCGGATAAATACCTGCCTAGCCACCCAATGGGTGCCGGTAATACCGTGCAAGGTGATGCTATATCTCACATTTCAATTTTCAGTCGTGCAGACGCGACCAGATTGCAGGCCAACCTCCTTCTCAAACTTCTTTCTGACAGATTCATTTTTTTTTATCGAACACGTTTCGAAAGAAAATGTGTTTATAAAGACATTCAGCGTCAAGGATTTTAAACCAGCTCCCTGAGCACTGGCTTCCTGCATAGATAACTACCTATACATTTTACAAGTTTCTTTATTGTTTTAACATAATTTGCATTATAGGTTGTCCTGCTCGCGTCTGTACAACATTCGTTAAATAATAATTATTATTGCAACACTACAAAAAACAGCTTTGTTACAAAACTTTTGCGGTGTAAGTAAATTGATCAGATTGACCCGTTTAAACACTAATTATGTTCATTTGAAGAATGGACTTGATCATAAGACTTGGGACTTGGAAGTTAGGTAGGTACGATTTATAAGGCACAAAGAAATCGATGATTTAATTTTCTATATACCATGTAGTTAGGTAGCTACTTCTATAGAAAACCTTTCGATAAGATGTAAGCAGTGTACAGCGAGACATAAAACAGTAATTACAACACTACATCGCATGTTATTTTTAATAATAATAAAAATGTTTGATTAACGAATACTTCATGTTCCAATGAGCACTTTAAATGTGTTATAGGAACGTACTATGTACATACTTTATTTAATTTTAAGTGCGTCAATTAATATTCTAAATGGTCATAATGTATGACTGGAAGCCTTAGCTCTTTTGTGTAGCTAGGTAGGTATCTACTTAGGTACCTACGACATACAAGTTAATGTTACAAGACCTTACAAAGTGCGTATTACTAGTGTATCTGCTCAAGTCCATCAAATGTACGAAGTTAGGGAATTGCCATACGAACGGTATAACATCGTCAACCAATGTATGTGCTGAATTGACTAAAGCAAACTGATAAAATATTAAGCTCAATATGCAACTTCTATAATGAATGTATGAAAATGAACTCAAACGTGTTAATGGGTAAGCATAACGTTTCCAAAATTTGTTAGATATTTAATAGAACCACAATTCACTATCTAGATCCGATACCTTTATGAAGAATCAGCTTGATCCTTTGTGCAGACATGTTACAAAAAGACAAGGTTAGAGACATTTAAAAATTTAACTTGTACATTAATTGGGTAGTTTCCAGGGTATCAAAATAAAAAATCTAATTAGTCCGTCAGTTAAATAAAAAAATATTAGGCACGTATTATTTTATTTTCTCGTATTAAGTCGCAATACAGTGGGGTGTCGTTACGTCATAACTTACTACAAAATGTGGCACGCTGTGACGTCACACGATATTTAAAATTAATATATCGTCTAAAGTATTTAATTTTGTGAGAAAAGAAAGAATACGTGTCTAAAGTTTTAAATTAATGTACCAGACGGACATTAAAATAAAATTTTCTTATAATTTATACTTTAAATCAAGTCACACCTGAATTTTTAATACCGAAAAAAGGAAAGGACAAAGGTAAATTTGATTAAATAAAATTCGAAATTGAATCACAGAAACAATATTTATTATAAATAATGTTTATGAAAATATAAAATAAAAAATAACGTTTTGATACTTATCGTTAATTACAAAAAGAGTTTATGTATGTATGGTTACATGTTTGTTTCTCGGGAACTTGTTGATTTTTTTACAATATAAAAAAAATATCACAGAAAAATCTAAACATAGCCTTGTATTAAATTATGTATATTTTGCAATTCTATAATTTATTTCGGTATAAATGGAGAATGGCGGTTGAGGTTGAATTTTATAAATTGTATATTTTACAAGATAACATGTTTGACTTATACAACTATTTTAAGAAACCTATTCTAAAGGAAGAAATGGATATTTATTAAGGTAGTTACGATATGTCAATGTGTAAAATGTCTAGTATGCAAATTACTAAAATATATTATATTGTATTTAGTTTTAGTACACGACAGTTCAGTTTGAAATAGCAACGACTGTAAGTTGGTCGTCGTGTGTTCGAGTGCCTGCTCGAGTTACTGTTTTTTCGAAAGTTATTTGTTTTATGCTAAAATATAGATTTATCATAATACTAACATTTTATACCTGTATAATTTGTTTTTACTACCTGCCTATTTTTTAATCTAAAACAACCAATGTGTTGGACATTGGTGAATATAGAAAATCCAATTACAGGTAAGACTACTAACACAATAATTTAATATTATACACATCATATTATCAAAAATAAATTCGTAGTTATACATGTCTACAGCCCTATATAAAGCAATTGATTTTATAAATCGTTTTACACATAATACTTAAAATGAGGTTTGTTGGTTCATGCATCAAATAAAAAACCTGATGATACAGAAGTACAGTATCTCAATATTACGCTTCAAAGGAAATAAACAATGTGTTTGATTTTCATTCTAAAATATGAGCAAGTATATTGGGATCTAGATAATTTGCTATTACTTATATTTTAATTTCTACGTTTCTTCTTTTTTGGCAGAAGTTTAGAAGTATCGCAGGGATACGGATACGGTTTCATAAGGTTATCTCGATCTTTGACTTGGTCTTCTTTATTGATGGGCTCTATAATGTCTTTGTCATGTTCTGCTCTGGCGTCATCACAAACGATTGATTCTAGCGATGTGACAGTGGACCGGTCGTCAATAGTTTCACGAGCGCTAAGGTTGAAGAATGGTCGATCTTCAAGGTTCACGGCATAGTTCTCATGTTCCGAGCTAGAAGGTTTGGTAGAAGCCTCATCATCAAGAGCAGCTTGGTGCATGAGTTCTCGCTGCGACTCTCGCGCTTCCATCAGGAATATGCTCTCCTGTTTTGCCACAACACAATAAAATAAGAGTGGTTGTAAATAAAACAATAGAACTGTAATTAGTCACGTTTGTTGTATGTTGATTCATACATGGTGCTCGAGTTCAGTGTTGGGCTACTATAGACTGGGAAAATTAGTTAAAATGAAACGCGGCTTAATACCAATGGGGACACTGTAGATAATTGCTTACTTAACTTAAAATAGTTGATTAGCCACACATGATTAGAAAATGAATTTATAGAGTTATTATAATTTTAAATATTCATAATTTCTTTCCTACAATACATATGTTTATCAGTAGCTAAGGCATGTCAGTTAGAAAAAGCTAGGCTAAAAAATTTTGACATGTATGTTAAAATAGTGGCTTAGTGAGACATAAAGAGTTGTGGGCACTGATATTGTTTTTAATTAGTTTTAAGAAGCTTAGTATTCAAGCACATAGAAATTGTCTTATAGAGTCAAAAATACTTGCATAATTCCATTTCATACATATCCTTACATAACTCTCATAGTTATTGCTTTCAAAGATCCATAAGAATCCAACTGAAGCTTTAACTGCATTACAAACTTAAATTTTATATTTATGCAAATATAGAAAATGGACTAAGTTTGAACTCCGTCACATAATCTAACAAAATTAAAATTTTGCAGTTATTGTCCGCAACAGATATTTTCTCAATAAGGTATCGGAAGTGAGATCTAATATAGCGATTGGGCTCATAATATTTCCAAATTCACATAAGCCAAATTAAAAACTTGTAAGTAGGTATAAATAAAGAAATTGTGTCATTGCTCAAAAAAATCTAAGTAAAGCTACTCTACTATACTACAAATATTAACAACTTGTGAAGTTGTGATAAATTTATAAATACTAAAATTTGGAACATGATAAACTACGTCAATATGAAAAACTTTGCAGAAACGCGATAATCTAATCAATTTTTTACTAACAGCTCATTATGTCTCACTGATGTATGTACGAGTTTATATAATTAAATGGAGGAAGACCAGCGCGTCAAGCTAACAAACTGTCGAAAATCTCTGACTGATTGATTCACAACTTTATTGTTATATCTCTCGCGGCTTCACTTATAATATTTCGAGTAGGTCTCGACACTAGGAATCAGAATTTAAATAATACCCCTTTCTACGGTCGAGTAAAAAGCCATTGTCACTTCCTGTAAAATACAACTTCCAATGGTTTTGATTGTTTCAAATTTATACAGTAGTCTCAGAGCCTATTCAATACAAACGAGCAAACCTTTCCTCTTTAAAATTCGTCTTTATTGTAAATGTAGATATAATTTAACAGTTTAAGGTAACTTGACGAACTGGTTTCTGTGCTTAAATATGTAAATGCATTATTACCTTCACATCTTTAGTGGTGTACTGGTCCAACTTGTCGTATATGACAGCATGGAGTCCCATGTCTTTGAGTTTCTTCACGACACCTTTATTGACTATGTCGTCACCCCAACAGAATATAATCAAACCAGCGTCTGTTGCTAGTTTCACCTGTATGTATGTATGTATGTAGGTTTAGTTAGGGAAATTAACTTCGTATCGAGCATTTTATTTTTAAAGTCCGACGAAAAGTTTCAATTAATAAGATGGACTGACAGTGACAGTGAATTCAATCAGAAACTGAAATCAATTCATTTTGATTGTATTACAGCATTATTTCAAGTAACACTATTTGCGGTATATTTAGCTATAAAATTAATACATTTTTCAAATTTGCCCCAAGGCACATAAAACCAATCAATAAAATTGCGATTTTTCATTTCTATCTGACATTCTGTCTACCTGTTATCAAATCACGTAAATGGATGGATTTCGATGAAGTTTTCACTGTTGCTAACCAAAAAACTAACAGCAATTGTGATTGTAAATGATAAAGAAGAATGATTATTGTGTACGAAAAGGCAAGAGGTAGTTTTTAAATATCTTCGCAGGGTATGTACCTAAGTTATTTTGATAATTGAATGCATGGCCTGAAAGACGAAAAGTAAGCTTAAATGCGTAGAATTTCATCGTAGGTCGACAATGCATTAGTAATGCTTCTAGCGCTACAGGTGCACAACTAAAGCTACGGTGACCGCTTGCTATATGCCTTAGTACAAGTTTGATTTACGTTTAAAGTATTCGAAACGAGTACGCGTTCGCAATCTGATTGGTTGGTTCATTTTAGCCGGCCAATCAGAGTGCCGAACGTGACAACCGAACAAAGAGCAGTTCTCTCGCGTATTAAACCCAGGTCCAAATGCACAATTGCGCATCAAGCGTATGTGTCATTCGTTGGTACAAAGATCTGTCGTACATATTAATACTGGACAAATTCTACTGTCACAAATTGATCCTACCCATGTTCTGTGTCATCAGTTTGTTAATTTCAATTCTACACTCATGTAAACGCTTAAACGATAATGGGTGAAAGGTTCTCTTATCTATCACATTACCAACGCAATTAATTGCGTTGTTGTTATATGGAGATATGATAAACATGATCGCATAATCGCCTTTATGAAAAAATATGTACCACATTAGATCGATCTTCTGTTTATTGATACTTATCAATAAACAGAAGATCGATCTAAACAGTTAATAATGCGCGATTATGACGTAGATAAACGGTAATATGTCGTGTCGACACCCGCCTCGCTAATGGGGATATCGGCCGAGTTGGACATTGTCAATCCTCACGTGATCGCGTCGAGTTATATTTATATGGATCGAGGTCGCAAAGATTTTTTATATCAATCTTGATCTGAAACGTGCTACCTAATCAATAAAGGTACACATTCGAATTTATGATAAACCAAGCGTGATACACTCACATGCAAAAATATTGATACAATAACAATTTGCTTGAACATTAATTATTATTACTATGGATTAAATTCACGTTTACTTACGTTTACCTTTAACTAGAAAACAGAATTATTTGTTTTATTATCATGCCAATTAGATAGGTTTTGCGAAACTGGTATAATAGACAATGTAAATATTAAGAGTTAAAGATAATTGAATGGACGCTGTGTGTGACTTGTGTATTATCTGTACACAATTTACAAGTGCATCGTCCGATGAACAGAAAGATAAGATAACATCTTAAAATATTCACCTGAGTCGGATCTCTGAGCAAATCTTCAGTGTGTACAACGACCCCCAATATTTCCGTACTGACTGCGCTCTGTACGGCAAGTGGTATGCTGGAACATCTAGCATCGCGGTATGGCTGGTATCTTTTTGTTATACCCTGAAAGAAAGAAAAACAGAATTTTCCAACTATATAAACAAACATACATAAGGATACAGCTACATTAAAATTTCAACTGGCGTCCTTCCAAAAGAATGAGTTCACTGTGTTATGTAGGTGCATTTTGTTGTATTTTACAATTTTAATACAATAGAGTACTGAGCACATACATACAGGCTACGACAAAATATAATTTTGGCTAGAATCATAGCTTTCGAGACTTCCTACAAAACATGTTATTTAACTAAATATTGTAGTTAAACAACACATTGCATGAACAATGTTTTACAATACTCGAACGTGCAACGTTGCCAACTTGCCAATTCCGTTCTACTTCTGTCGGCTATCGACTTATAAATTGTTCAACATTAGTACACAATAGAACTAATTAAACGGAAATTAAACTGTCAAACACCAAGCGGTCACCGGAGACCGCAACCTATTGTCCTATAATTGTGTCTATAATGACGATACTCGACGAGTTAATACTTACAATAGTTAAGAACATCACAGGATATTTATTCTGCTTTTGCCTGACCATCGTGCAAATGTCTGGATTGAAACAAGAAAATATAATGCGGCGATCACCGGCGTGTTTAAGGACAGTTTCTAAAACCTGTAAGGGAAATTAATTGATTTTGATATTGATGAAAGTAAGGGCAAGTCGTTGTAAAATGGTGCATGATGGGCTAAATAACTTAAAATTATTGAAACAACATTTTGTGAAAATATAGGTATTATTATTTATAAATCTGCATGAATATGCAAATAATATCGTCCGTAGCTTCGTGTAATAAGGACAACAAGCACATTTGCGTAGGTAATTAAATTTTGTAATTGCTGTCAGTCACTCACCTTGTCTACGTACGTATTCATATCGAATGGGTTGTTCAATTCAAATGTGCCATCATTCAATTCCATGGTCCACTTCAACTCCACATTGAAACCAACATGTGGATCAATTTTTTTCAAAGTTTCTTCTAAAGTAGGAAAAGGTTGGTGTTCTTCTAATTCGTCATCGAAAAATAATGTTTCTTGATTACGTCCTTCAAGTAGGTGATAAACCTACAAAGAGTAATGAATGAACATTACGATTTACTATCATTGGCACGCGTGTAACGAGTGTTAGTCAACCTGAAAATTAATTTGTAACGACATTCATTGTTTTAAGCTTGCTAGTGTAAGATATTTACACTTGTGAGTTATGTTACTTACCTTGTTTTTTTTAAAAAAATAACTGTTATTATTATTCTTAAACTCATAGTATTACATACCGCAAACCTTCTGTAACCATTATGATATTATGGAATTGCATTATAATTCCCATCCCACTTCCCACCTAAATCGACAAAAAAATTCGAAGCCTCAAAATCTGTAGCGACGAATTCGTGAAATGTCCGCAGTTAGCCGCAACGTATAAATCCTCATTGCTATTGCGTAACGAAGATCGTTATAATCATAGAAGTTGCTGGATTCTCTCAGTCTACACAAGAATGAAGAACGAACCTTTGATGGCTCTTAAACCTCGAAACATAAAGTAGCTGTAACATTTTAAATGAAATATTGAAATACTTTTCTGCCATACATCTCCAGGATATTTTTAAACATCATTTTATCCCCTCGACCTACAAACACTACCACTGACAATAATTTTCATCGATGACCCAAAATAAAATATCTTAATGCTAGTAGAATAAGGTACAAAGTTGCATGAATTTCAATGCAAAACATTAAAGGATGTCTACAAGCTCCCTTCTTACATGTTGTTTAAAGATAATTGATAGTTGTGTTATTGGTAATACAGTTTAGGACATGCATAATCAAAATAAAAGAGATTTCACTTCATTTAATAAGTATTGCTAAATAAATCACATATTTATAACTGTTTGCTAACACTACACTTTTATCAATTTGTACTTGTTTTAATTTTGATAAATTCGACTAGTTAGTGTTTAGAGTGTGTATTTAGTTAAGTTACAAATATTATTAGCAAGTTAAACATATCTAATAGTAACTCTATTATTAGTGGATAATGATAATTTTTTTCTAATCATTATCCGAGTGGATAATTATTCTTTTTTTCTATATGAGTTTCTAAATAAGTCAACAATCTCACTAGTTATAATCAGAATAAAATTGTAAGATAATTACTTTGTGCGTTTTCTCTAAATGTGGATGAGGGTTTTTTAAGTAATAACAGAATGCACAACACAATATTATTAAAAATAAGAAACTTTGTGATAAGTTCTATAGACTATGGAATACATACCTTTAATTTTTGTAGATGCTCTAAGGTCAAATCCTTCACAGGTACTTCCAACATTTCTGTATGTTCAACTTCTCTCTTTCTTTTCATTGATATACATACATAAAAATCATGATAAATAACTGGCACCATATCCTTACTTAGCTGAACATCAAATTCTAGTAAGTCAGCCCCACTGGCAGCTGCCTTTTTAAGAGATGCTATGGTATTTTCACGAATAGCATCCCCACTGAAAATAACAAAATAAAATTAAAATGAATTCCCAGAAAATAATATTATGAAGATGAACAACAAAAGAGGTAAATTAAAGTACTCACTCTTTGGTTTTAAAGCTAGCACCTAATCCCCTATGTCCAACTTCTAAACCAGTCCAAGTGGGATCCCAAAATTTTCCTAAAGACATGCTGAGGTCGCAGAGTTGCTCAGGCATAGGGTTCACAATTAGGTACCCAATATTTACTGTTCCCAAAGGCCTATGTTTGACATTACAAGTCACAGGTAAATCTAGAGCACCCTCTGAGGACTTAAACATATTTGGAAGAACATATGTGTAACCCACATGGCATGGTGGGTCTTCTGATGCAGCTCTGCTACTGTAGGCATAGAAGTCCACAAGATATGCAAGAGCATTTATATTAGGAGCTGTGACATTTATTAGTAACACATCATCTTGCTTGTAGTCTCTGCCAAATTGTTCCTGTGGCTTCATAACACAGATTGCTGGGTCATCATGGAGTGTGGACACATCAACCAGTACCCCACACTCAGGACCAGCACTAGCATCAGTGCTAAGGGATGAATCATCAACCTGTGCATCTGCACCAAATGATAATTTAACAGGCGTAATTTTTATACGCAATAATCTTTTGGCTAAACAACTCTGCAGTTTCAATGGGTTATTCATAAACTTGAACTGTAGCAATGTTGACACTGTGAGCCAACCAGAATATACCATATGCTTATCGTCGCAATAGCCATATGTGTCCGTAAAAGGATGAAGATCTGTTTCTTTTATAATGCGTGGCTGCTGATGTGTTTCCCATTGACGAATTATTATTGCATTAGAGTTGGCTTCATTAACAATACATTTACCATAACGATACAATATATCACAGGTGTTTGGAATTGTAATAGATTTACACCACAAATCCGTACCTTCTTCGCGGTCAAGTAACACAACCTTGTTGTTGTCCCACTCACCGAGCGCTGGAATACTTCCCGTGATGAACATTTTTTCTTTGGGGCCGACATCTGGCGCTTTCACCGTGAAAGTCCATATTTGAGTCATTATTTTACCTTCATGCTCAGGTGGTTTCTCAGCCATTTTTTTTGGTCGTTTATATTTTGGTTTTTTCGGGTCTTCTAAAAAAAACCAGCGTTGCATCTTGTAATAATTGGTAACTCTTTTTTGGGTCAAAACATAACAAAATATAGATTTAAACATATGAAAAATACACACCAGAATATTATAACATTAAAAATACATTTTCCAACCCAATTTGGCCTTTTTACTCGGCTATTGAAGCAGCGAGCGACCCGTCTGCGCCAGCCAGCTTCTCACGACAAGTGACAACTGACAGGACAGTGACAAGTAAACTGTTAACTGACAGATGAAGAGACAAGACAACTGAATATCAACAACGTCAAAAACTTTGAAACAAATTGTCAAATCATAATGACAATGACATTGTAAAGTCTGTCTAGCAGCCTCGGAACAATAACTAAAGCATTGTTCCGAGCTAGCAGCACTAACGAAATCGTGGCTGTTTTAGGCTTGTTCTACACTATCGTATTATTTCTTCACCCTCCTAATTTCTTGTGCTGGAATCAGAATATTGCAGTTACGATGCTACCAAGGAAGTTGATAAATTGCAGTTTCAAAAGTTAAGTTGATAAACTATACAAAAAAAATAATAATAACATGATCACGAAAATTATCGCCATATCCTTAATGCTTAATGCCGATTAATGGCGATAGCACCACGACAATTTATAATTTTTGATCCTTGATTGACTTCTATTATCCTATCGTACTTTCTATAACATCCTACTATCCTAGTTCTATTAATCTAAGCAGAGAGTAGAACAACAGGAGTCCGGCAGGGCATTTGTAAAACCTCTGGCGTTACGAGTATCCAATTGTCCTTAAGCGAAGCCGATTGCTTATCATCAGATGATCCGTTTGTTTGTTTGCCGCACTATCCCATAAAAAGCAAGATTGTAAATCACGTATCTCGTCTTGGCAATAAACATCCAAAAAATTGTAATGACATTATGAAGCATAACTAGATGATTATTGTCTCGGTAACTATAATCTACGAAACTACAGAATGAGGGCTACCATTTTCTTGCTCACCAGATTTCACTAATGTAATGTGAGGTCTGTTTGTCTGGTGAGTAAACAACGGCAGCATCAAGCTGCTCCTATGATGTTACTTTCCTTCAAGATATAAAAAGGTGTGGTGTTATGTTTAATGAATGCAAAAAAAAGTTATCTGTACGAACAAAAAGTCAAGGAATTTATACCCAATATTGGGTATAAGTTCCTTGCAAAAAGTACAAAAACCGGTTCCACCGCTTACTTAACCATTTGTACATAAGTAGGTCATTTACATAAGTAATTGCCTGCATACCTAATTATAACCCCTATACTTATTATACTCTTTGCTAATTATACTCTGATGCGTGATATTTTATAGCGTCTCTGCGTCGCTTAGTACTTGTTTGTTGATAATTAAATGAGTTGATATCAACTTACCCCCACCACGACAAAATTTGGATATCGTCCATGACGGAAATTAGCTCTAATTACTGTCCAGCACGCATTAGTCTAAACAAGTTCGCGAGGTACTCGCGAACTGCACATTCGCTGAATATGTGGAAGGGGATGGAAAATCTAGCATTATTTTATTATGTCATTCTAAGAGGTGACGTTTAAAATAAATACAACGATTAATTAATAAATTTATATTTTGTATAAATGCTTAAACATATACTTTTTACATATTTACATGTGTTTAACCATATTCCTTAACAATTATTTACATTAAGCAGTCTTTTTGAGTGTCTAACTCTAATTATAGTAGTCTGTGTTTACAAGTTTGTGTCACTAGCCACAATTGCATTAACACAGCCCAAAGGGAACCTATAATAAATGACTAATTTATTCACAAAACAATTATTACTCTTAAAATGGGCAATTCACACCAGGATGTAAAAACGTACAATTATCACCTTGTCTACACGATCCTTTTCGCTGGAAATATATACAAACCGCTTTGCGGCTACCGCGTGCACCACCTCTACCTCGTTGAGGACCCTCCCAGTTTCCAGGGTTTTTATTACCTCGCCAATGGCCGCCAGCGCCACGGCCTCGCATGGCTCCTCGGAAATTTGCCATACCAGGAAAGCCGTCTGGTCCGGAAGGTGGAGGTCCTTGTGGACCCGACATATTGAAGTCCATCGGAAACATATTTTGCTGCATATTAAACCCTTCTGGTGGACCAGGAAACATTGGATTTGGTCCTCCAAACATTTCTGGACCCATCATCATATTATCGGGAGGCATCATCATACCCGGAGGCATATTACCAGGTGGAATAGCGCCAGGAGGAATGGGGCCCGGCATACCATTAGCCATTATGTGGGGTGGGACTCCAGCTGGCCATTCAGTAGGAACTATGTTACCTCCTTGAAAGCCAGGCACACCCGGGAATTGTGGATTTGGAAAACCATTAGGGAACTGATTCATGTTTGGTGGGAACATGTTAGGAACATTCATGTTAGCTGATGCCGGGGGTGCATTACCTTTAGGTTCTGGCCAAGGCATATTTCTAAAATCGCTTATATTATCTTGATTGCCCGTTACATCATCTAATGGTATAATTGTAGGTTCCGTGTAGGGATGTGTTTCCGGATCTGGTTCGAGCGCAGAATCAGGTATCATAGATTTAGAGAAATAAAGAGGCTGCAATGTACCTTTTTGACGTATTGCTTGAATTTCTTTTTCTTTACTGTTCTTGCCATGTTCTACTTGTACTTGTCCTTCGACCTGAATTGGTCGTGGGGGCCTCCAAGTAGTTTTTTCTTCCATGACGTCATCATTACTGAGATTTCTTCCTTTCTGGAAAGCGTCTCGTTCATGAATTCTTTCTAAATATTTCATGTCAGTAAACGTCTTCGTAACATTGACTCGTTCAGTTTCGTCAAGTTCGAAGTATTGAATTTCTTCAAGTTCAGAATCTGGTTTCCATTTTATACTTTTTTTAGGACCCTTCCTTTTGTGATAGCAGAGGACTCCCTTGAGTCCATTGATCGTTAAAGTATGAGGTTCTGATGTGTCCATTTCCTCTTCATTTTCATTTTTATCGACATTTTCATCCGCGTTTTCAGTATCTGTTTTCTCTACCTTTTCTTTATTTTCGTCCGTCTCAAGTGTATCTTGATAAAATCTGGGCGGCACAGACTTACTTTCACTACTTGGACTGCTCAAACTAGTTGGTGTGTGCGGAGGTGAAGTATCGGTTCCAGAATTACCATCTTTAGAGCCGCTTGTTCGTCGTTTTCTTTTCTTAGGATCTCTCTTATTTGTAGCTGAAGCATTTAATGCATCCATGAACATGTCACTCTCCAACAACATAACAGCTGAAACAAAACAGATATAAATTAGTACTGTAGTCCATAACATAAAAAGTAGGTAGGTACACGTAAATCTAAAATGTATAATAACGGGTTCTCAGCTGTATAATTAAGTTTTAATTGAAATCGCATGGATTGTAAGAATCCGTTTATAAAATAACAAATGACGAAGGTACGTACTACCTATTAAAATTGACCTAAATATTCAAAAGAAACAGTGTAATTGGTCGTTCTAATTACAAGCTATAGGCACGTCATTTGGTTAGCTATACTGTTTAACTCGATACCTAATTAGTATTAAGTTTTCTCCAACCTTACACAATTCATGGTCTATTTTTACTCCGAGTAAGTACCTAATAGTAATTCAACAATAGAAAGTATCAACTTCACTACTTTTTATATCTACCAAGTAACTAGTAAGTCTTATTCATATGTCTCAACAGATCCGTAATGCAAATTCGTTTACTATAAACTTTTAGATAATCGTCGTACGGTGCGTTTATTTTATTGAGGTCAATAGTAAATGTTACGCAACGCACACAAATAGTAGGTACGGCTGACGTAGAGGAAGCAATTGCTGCCCTCGCTCACCACATCATGTTGCCGTTGTCTCAATCCGGCGGGGAGCTAACAAATAATTGAAGTGCGGCGTGTAGCTCCATCCTAATCGTCTATTTAAGATTAACAAACATAATCGCAGATATTAAACGGAACTATTATTGTTTCGACCAATGAAGAGAGAATGAGTACGGGTCGGTTACATATTGATAATATAAAATTTACTACATCATTATTTAAGCTGGGTGCAGCGGCTGGGCGACAGGTTGCTGTGCAACGTGTCGCGGGTTCGTTCCCGCGCGGAATGAACTTATTTGTGAGCCCCAAATAGTTTACTTAAATCTGGATGTAGTAGTAATAGGATGTATTTGTAAACGCACCCTCGAGCTACCGAAAGATCTATTATACCTATACCTTTTACTTTTGGTCTGAGATTTTGGTTTTTTCTTTTGGAGATATTAAGTTTCCAATCACGTTATTAATAAGCCTCTTTAATCTTAGTTGCAAGAATGGGGAATAGGAGATGTAGTCAACGTAAGTTTCATAGGATTTATGCAGATATCTGAGGCCATGTCCAGCAGTAGACGATAACAGGTTGATGAAAGTTGATGATTTTCATATATTAGGTACAGTACCTAGGGTTCTACTGTCCGTACCTAGGTGTTTTAAGAGTTTTCTACTAATTTACTGTTGCCATTTGTTGTTGCTACGTGATGTAAAACCAACATATACATACATATACCAATAAAGGTAGGTACTTGCTATGCTACTACTACTTAGACGGATACTACGTTACGATGCTTACGTATCCGTAGTTCCGTAACAAGCGCGATAATAGTGATATGTGTATCATCCGATTTGTGACCTTATCCGATATGATTGAAACGTGTAAGTTTCCCGACTATTTTAAGTTGGAAACTTATCACAAGTAAATGGGTAGATACAGAGTGGAAATACCGGCAAATAACAGGTTATATCAAACTTGTTCTTTACCCTACAGTCTACACCTATTATGTTAACTTTACTTTCGTAATCATAAATGTTACAGATTTCAATGCATAGTATTTTAGCAGTTTATTAAACAATACGAAAGCTCAGTTGGAAAGGGCATAAGAGATGTCGCGGTTTCGACGCCTTGCGCGTGTCATTGTTTTTTCGAAGCTTATTCAATCATTTCACTTGATTTTATTAACAAAGTGCCTACTATCCATCCTTCGCAGACCGGTTAGGAAATTAAAGACAGTGCGAATAAGCTGCTCGACACATGCGATTAAAAAATTACAAAAATAATACTTTCCTAAATTCTACTATCAAAGTGGAAAATAATTTAAACTAAATCATGTCTGTACTACAGCTTATTCGAGACCGCCTAAAACAGCTTGGAAATTAGGTAGAGTTGAAGTGCTTTTTTATTTTAATTATTATTGGTTATTGTACTTATTGTGAATGAAAATGACAAAAATTTAATTGCATGCAGCATAGATAGGTGCCTCAGCAACCAAGGTCGGGCGATTGACGCAGTGGCGCGGCGGTGATATTGGCAATCGAGCGCGCATGCGGACCGGGTTCGATTCAGGCAAGAACAATTATTGTATTATTTTATGATTGATCAAAACAGATCGTTTGCAATTGTGTCAACAAAATTGCAATAATAAATAAAATACAAAATAATTGAAATAATAAATAACGTCATCAAAGATTAAATCTGAAAAAAGTACGGTAATTTTGCAAATAGCGTACAATGCATAACTTTACAACAATTATCTATGTAGTAACTAAGTAAGTATGCACATTAAGTGTTACTTGTAGTGTTCCCGTATTTTTGTATTAATACTATGCCTGTGAATGTTGTAGGGAGGGCTAAATTAATAAAAATAAAAACTTTCATCGACAAGCAACGCACAGCCTAAACCACAATGAAAAAAAAAAATATTTAAATAACAGGTACGAGTTACATAACGAAATCGAGAAAGTAAGAGCTAACAGTTAAAGTTATTTGCGAAAGATCTAAGCTTGCAATAATCATTCTCTAACGAAGTCGTCAATTCAATGTGTGATCCACAAATTGTCGTTCTGGCTCTGGGTGTGATGTGCATGTAAAATTGTATATAAACGCACCCACAACACAGGACAAAATTCTAGCATGTGAAACCACGTTTAAAAAACGTTTGCGCGACCTATGGACTGTTAGTTAAGATGTTTATGTTAATTATGTTTACCTATTTAATATATATACAACTCAGTTTTATAAAGTTGCGTGCGATTATCGCAGACGTGCGGTTAGCCCAGTGGCTGGGCAACACGTAAGTTACTTGTTCGATTCCCGCCCGGATCACTCTTTACGTGATAGGTACACAAATTGTCGGTACGGGTCTGCCTGTGATATGTAATTAATTATGAATTTATACGTTTGTAAACGCAATCACGACACAGGACAAAATCCTACGTTTATAACTTCCCATTAATTTTTGATATGTATGCTAGATGGTTCTATGCAAGTATAGTATCAAGGTAAACGCACAAATTGTTAATAGCGTGTAAGTATTTACTTGTTTCAGCCTAAAGAGTGGGCTTACTAGCGTGCAAACGTCGGTGTCAATGTGCATAGCGAACAGCTGGGATACGCAATTTCGCTGTGCCACATGTGCGACTATATATTTTTGTTCAATATGCTACAATAAATTAGGCTTAACAAACATGTAAGTTAATTCTTGGTTATCTCGTTACTCATATATAGTCAACTTTAGAAGCCAAGTAGGTAGGTACATTATTATCGTTAGCAAACATCTCGCCTGTTATCTCCCGAAGGGACAAGCAAAGGTAAGTAGAACCATCCACTTACGAGATACCTATTCTTACATTATTTGTTAGACCTTTTATCGGGTCGTATTATGAAATAATTTGTAAACCCTGTAGATACTTATTAAAATTAATGTATAGGTAATACATACTGATAATTACTAGGAGGTAAAATATGTCAATAAACAAGTCCTGAAGGGAGTTGTGCATTCATATTATGTATTGATAATAATGTTTATATTGTAATTATTGTATACACCCATAACAATATAAATTGGTAGTAATCCCATCTAAATTTTTCAACGTTAGGTAATCAGACCAGATATGTTATTTTTGCTGAATCTCTCTATTAGTAGATTTAACTCTGTCAAATCATGTATTTTAGAGTACAGCTTCAATCCGCGCGTTATCGTAAGTTAACAATGAATAAGTACAAAATTCTTAGGGAATAAATATTTGTAGTACCTACCTAGGTAATTAAATGGCTTAGCTATTTATTTGTTAAATGAAGGTAGGTACCTAACGAGTTAAAACGTGATTCGATATTATAAGAACGAAAAATGTCTTTAATTTTTTTAATTTGTTTTAGCTAGGTAGATATTAACACGAAATTATTATGAGCATTACATACATAGGTACAACTTGAAATGATTTGTTTCAGTTTTGTTTATTGAAAACATTGACAAGAATGCAAAGTCGTTAAGTAGAAGGCATGTAGTACACATTTTATCTTATGATATTGTTATGTAATTTGGACTGATAGTAGCTATTTACCTATCCAGTTACCTAGTAACTGCAGTACAGATTTAAAATAATATTATTAGCATTACGTGCCTCCTTACCTACGATATGGTGTTTCTAATGTTTCCAGTTTTACCTAAATGAATGTTTTAGTAGGTAATAATGGGTCCCACGCACAGTACATGGAAAAGAGCAGGTTTGAACGTTCTGCCTTTGAAAATGTTTCTAACTTACGATTATGGGTTCTACGTTTTCACAGTAGGTACCTATGTGCTTACTAAGAACGTCTAATTTATTTATCTACAAGTTCGCGTCCTCTATGATATCGTAGGTAAGACCCTGTACCTACCATTTAATATTATTCGCGCTATTCACTGCGAGAACCTATACCTACTACAATAAAATTGTTATAGGTACTTTTAACCTAACCCTAGTTTCGAATGATACCTAAAGCTATTTTTGTTTATAGCTGTAATATATACGTGGTTCGAACTACACTAGCTAGATAGGTATAATAATTCCCCAATTTTGTTAGAATCCTTGATTTGAAAGGAAACTTGAATTCTAAACATTTCCCTAGTTCTTTGAATTTCAGAAATTACAACTGCTAGACAGCAGGAGTCAACATAAAAGCGATATCTATGTACCCCCTACATCGTTTGTAAATAGTACTTTCTTAGCACAGTGCGCCAGTACTTATCCAGAAGTAGGCAGGTACCTGCACGAGGTAGGTAATTATAATTTGAGAAATTATGCCACAACGCAATATTTGGGAGAATATTAGACACGTAAGGTACCTACCTACTTATTTTAGTGTTATAATTATTAATAGGCTCATATTGAGGTAGGTAGGTATAGAACTGTAAACTGTAGCCTTTATCGTACCTACACAGTATATTTTAGTATGTTCTTTTTGATCTCTATTAATTGCCGATAAGTACCTCAGCAGTTCTCCCACCTAAAAGTTTGTTGAATTCTGCGGTATTGAGGATTTGACGAACAGCAAGCTCGTTGGCGGCTGCAGACTGCTGTTTGAATCTTTCAGTAGATATTTTGCCGTTGTTGCAGATTGATAACATAATGCTTAGTTAAGAAAAGGTACAAGAAAAACAAATAGTTAATACCTAACTAAAGATAACATTGCCACATCTACGACTTGTACCATGTATCAATCAGAAATAAAATCTACCGATTATAAGAAATGGAATAAAAACAGTATGTTATGACGTTGTACAGTCGAGGCCTTTATTGACTTCAACCGGCAACATCCTAAAACCATTGTCAAACAAGTAACATTGTTTGCTGTTGGTATGCAACTATTTTTTTCCTTAGGGTTTTAATTACATTGCTCTAACAACTTCTGTACTCTGACGATAACTTGTCGATAAGCAAATGTAAATTTTGAATGCAGTAACTAACTGGTCTGTTTAACTAACGCAAATTTTTCTAAGCCCATTTATATCGTATTTGTTACTGTTACCAGCTGAATGTTCAGCTGTTGTATATTAATTTGATTGTAGTCGTTCTATAGTATTACTGGTGGTTTGTATCTCGCATGTAGAAACATTACGTCTTTTTCCGATAATCGCTGAAGAATCTTGGAGCACCAGTTGTTCATCAGCTCTGCGTCGAGTCCAATGTAGTATCCAATTTACGTGCGCTGGTACTTTCACCTCACGATTAACTAAACAGATTTAGGTTATTAAACTTGAACTAAGCAGTAAACGGAAAGAGTCGATATTGATTTCAATATTTATTTGAAAAAAATACTTTACAGGTGGTAAAAACACTTTAGAACCCGTTAAGTTATACATTTTAGACTTACCACTGAAGATTATGCAACCTAAATATTTGAAAACACTTGGTGACACTATTGGAAGGGCTTGGGCTTGCCACCACCAATGTAAATCTGGAAGAAAACAAATCATTAAAAATATTTGAAATATAATGAATACAGTAAGATACTTACGTTTAGGCTTAGGAGGAATTAGTTTGATAGACCCTGGTTTTTCAATAGGCTCTAGGGTTTTTGGTTTTTTTTCTGGAGGTGACTCATTGTGAACTGGAGATGGTCGCTTTGGTATTGATACGGTAGGCGGCAAAACTGGCGTAGATTTCTTTGTTAATACTGCTGCGCGAGATGGTGGCGGCTTGACTTCCTCTTCTAATCCATGTTTTCTAAACTTAGAGTTGAATGTTTTCACAGTTTTCGGCTTAGGTTCATCTGGTTTTCTCACTTCTATGGATATGGAAGGCTTTTCTTTTTTGGCATCACTTAATTTAGGTATTTTACCTAGTTTGTGAACTGACGGCGTTTTATCATCTTGTTTATCAGATGACTTGCTATGAGAGTTGTCTTTATTTTTCTCACTTTTATCATCTTTTCCTTTATCTTTACTTTTGTCAGTAGACGATCGAGAACTACGTTCATCTTTAGATTTGCTACTGGAAGACGACTTATCGCTCGATTTTTTGCTGCTTTCACTTTTTGATCTAGAACTATTATGAGAGGAATGTCTATCTTTATCCCTTGATCTATCTTTATTACTACTACTACTACTATGTCGGCTAGAACTAGATTTATGGCTTTTATGTTTATCACTTGAATGTGATCTACTCGAATTTTTAGAAGAGCTGCTCGATTTAGAACCTGTACTACTACTTTTATCATCAGATCTATCCTTTTCTTTTTTTGTCTTTGGACTTTTCAGAATCTGACGTTACGTCTGAAGTTTTACTTTCAGTGTCGTCATCAACTTGCGATATGACTTGCTTTCCATCTTTTAAACTAATCTTTAATACTGGTAATGCCTCAGGCTCTTCGTCTACTTCACTTTTAATCACATGGTTTAGATTTTTATTAGTATCAACATCATTATAATTATTTTCTGATTGGATTTCTTCTTTTATGGCTTTAATGTCATTAGTTGCGTCATTATTTTTGTATTCTAAACTCGCTTCTGAATTAGTTAAGCCATCGATGTCATTTTGCGCTTCCGATATTATATTAGGAATTTCCGAAAGTTTAACTGGAACAACTTGTTCGCCTTTTACGGTTTTTAGCCATTGTTCTACCAATTTTGATGCCAAGGCTCTGATAGCTGTAATAAAATTAAAAAATAATGCTATTTTAATGTGGCACCGAATTTTTTGAAGATACACAAAGAAAATAACAGGACTGAAAGATTTTTCATACAATTATACAACTAGGTGATAGAAAGTTAAATTACGCTTAAATAAATAAAATGAGGTTCTTACCAAAATGATTATCGTCCTTAGACAGCTCCTTTACAAGTTTCGGGCAGTTATTGGTCTTCAAGCGATCGATATCAACAGGGCATAACAATAACAACTCCAGCAACTCTTTTACAAGAGGCCAATTTTTAGCGACTATACTTTCTGTAAGCCACATGTGTACCAGAACCCAGCCTCCGGATCCCATAAATAAACCGAGTAAATCCGTTTCTGTACACTTTAATATTTGTATATAAATACACTTAGATACCAATTTCTTCGAAAATTTTGTCATAAGGCTGAAAGGAAAAATGTTTAAATTATTTATCAGCACCGTACGTAGTCAACATTTTTATAACCGTGATTGCATGTTATTGCGAAAATATACAAATGTGTTATTTCATAATGAGATGCAATTTAGTTGAAATAACTCTATAGTTCATTAGATTTATATTGAAATATAAAACTGAATAAATTAAAAACTTACCTAGCGAGCCTCTGAACCTCGTCCCTGGATTTGATCCCACCGTTTGGTGACAGGAGTACACCCAGGCAATTCAATAATTGAACAGGGTCAATACGTGGCTGTAACAAATAAGATGTGAATTAACATATCGGCCACATAATATTAAAGAAAAACATGTGTATCAGCACAAAAACGTAAAATATACGTAATTTGAAAAACAGACGCGAAATGAAGTATTTTGACGGCTTATCAAAGTACAAAGGTCAAAAATATAAAAAAGATTTATATGCTTGGAAGAAATATTCAAGGTTAACTCAAGATAATCGGTAACTAAGTAATTATGATTCGGATACTTGAATATACCTATTTGAAAGAAAAAAATAACACGTGTTTTCAATAGAATCGAATATAACATACCGTAAGAAACCTTTTTTTTTTACAATGGCGGCTATTATTCCATGATAATGTACAAGTAGGTATCTACTCATTTTATAAAAATGGCAAAGATAGTGAAAGTATGAATAAGCGTTATAAAACATTCCCTTCTAGAAATTGCCTTGAAATTAAATAACGTAATGACTCAATGTAGTAAAAATATGCGCAATTTCAACGATTTATATACGTTTAATTAAATGTTTTATACTCCGTCTTATTTTTAAAACTTGGGTCATAACATAATTATTACAATTTCGATTTTGAAATGTTCATTAACAAGAGTCTAGTACTGATTAATTTTTGAACCTTACAATAGAAATAAACATATTTTTTTTCGCGTTGAATAACTTTTATTCACAACGGCGGTTTATACCCCGGGGAATAAAGCCACTTTGATTTGCCCAAACTCACGCCCCTCTCAATAATCGCGCTTGCGACCATTCAACCGACGAATATTGTTATAGTTTTCCACGTTTGCAATGATGATGACAAGTAAACGTAAATTTAAATTTCTCTATTACTTTCATAGCAAACGGATATTTGGAATCCATTTCGAAATTTCAGTAACTGAACATGATTCTGAATGAGGATCTGGTTGGTGTTTGGTACAGGCTAGTAACGGAACCGTCAATATTAGTAGTAGTATAATCACACTATTAGGAAATGACCAGTGATGTGGTGAGGTAAGGCTATAAGAAGGTAATTTTTTTCCTCGTACTTAGTTGTAATTGATCCAATTATTTCATAATAACTACTGTAACATCTACACTTGACCAATATTCGCAATAAACGATTTGAATTTGAAATTCGTGAGTCGAACGGTCGCAAATGCGACTGCCAAACAAGAGGTCGCAGGTTTCGATTTTCGGTCCGGACTATAGTATAATTTGGGTATTTCAACCCTAATTAACAGCCTAGAGACTAAGTTCAAAACTGTATCTACTGTACGGTACCTAATAGACGCATCTCGTATTGTGTGGAGCTCATAACTGGTGATAATTAGGTGCTACATTGAACATGTACACGCCTACACCTTCAAGGATTATAGGTGACGTTGTTTTTGGCACGTTCTCTAGGTAAAGATCACTATTGCTAGGCAATGAAACTGATAAAAAGCTTTACATGCTAGATAACCAATACGCCTTGAATATTTCTTATTACAATTAAAATTATAATTTTTGTAAATGTTTCTGGTTATTTTATTTTTGTCCCCAGTGATAGTAACACATTTTTATACCAAATAGGTATTAGTAATTTAGTAGGAGCGCAAGCATTATTTATTATACATAAGAATTCGAAGTTTCATGAAATAGGTAACTAACGACGCAATAAGCAATCGTCACGCACTACGCAATAGGTATCTGATTATCTAAAATAACCATTTAGGTACGTTGTTCTGAACGTTTAGGTGATTATAATGACGTAAATCTAATTCTTAGTATTCAATTGGGTACCATTACACCTAATTTCGTGTAGTGATTCTTTCCTACTGTTTTATTCATGACAAATAATTCACTTTCTAGTTTTCGTTTTCTAGCTGGTTGCAAATGCGTAGAAATCAAAAAGTACCACTAGTGTCTATTTTTAGCGCATGAACAAAGAACAAAATGGTCGCCTGTTGACTTGTGAACGCTTACGTCACTAGTAGCTATATACGTAGGTATTTTATATTATTTTACCAAATAGGGAAGTGACCGTTATTAATCTGTGATATCGTTTTGTCATTTCTTAGGATTGGGAAATAAGAAAATAAAATATGGAAAACAGAAGGATAAAGAAATTAGGTTTCCTGTTACGAAATACGATGCCTCATTCGTCGATTTGAAATTGTATCAAAACTATAGTAGGTAGGTAGGTATGATATTATCAGGACAAAACTTACCATTATTATACTTTATAATACTTCGACAAATAACACGACAGCCGATAGCACAATGATGTAGAAATGCCACGCCTTAGGTTCCACATACAACATGGCGTCTTATCATTGTTACAATCTAACAATTTTCTTGCACGTAGGAACACTTATTAACTAGTTATTGTTCGTTTATATGAAATTACACTATTTATCAAACATATATCATATAATAGTCTGTATAAAATCACGAGTGTGATTAATATTTATCGATTAATATTACTGTGTATTTGATACTAATATCATTTAGAATCCTACATTATATTATTTGTAATATATCAATACCATCCTCTTTATAGAAAAGGATTTATTAAATTTGAAAGAATACTATTATAACACTTTCTAGTGAGTTGGCAGAAATTCCAAGCTAAGGCCAGCAAGACGTTCGATCGATCCGAGAGAAACGGCTGGCAAGCGGAGGGATTGCTCGAAGAATGAACAAAATCACGAACAAAATGGCCTAATGGAAACGGAAAAGAAAAGAAGGAGGAACTACATTGAACGAATGAAATAAACGGAAACGGAAATCATTCAATTCTGTTTGACTATGGAATGTCTTTGGATTAGGATTAGAACATTAAATATTTCCTACTTTTTGGAAGAAATTTAACGTATAAAATAATTATACGTTAAATTTCTTCTTTATAAGTTAACGTATAAAATAATAATGGCACACCGGCACACGGAAATAATTTGGATTTTTGTACAGCATTAATACAGTTTGTAGTAATGAAAACCACAGATAAATAATTACTAAATAGTTTTTTTTCTCAAACATATCCATATCCGTCTATGTAAATATTTTTTAAAATCTCTATTACCATAAGCAAGTTTTGAATTTGCCTTTGGCAATACAAGAAGTTTATTTCGATCAAACGTAAAAATACAAGAATGTGTTTTTTAGGCTTCACAAATTCTAGCTAATGTTTGGTCTGCTTTTCCTTATGTCTTTGGTTAAGATATTCTAAGAAACTAATAAATTTTGCCGATGTAGAGCTTTTAACGAAATCTGGCAAACTTTCTTATATTACAGAATATCATGTACTCCAAGTTGACAGTATTTTGGTACAACATAGCGCGTTATTTTGTTAATTGTGTGGGTTTGTATTATTAATTGTCTGGGTTCATCGACGCTAGCGCCACTTTGCCATTCGATACACATAGACTCATAAACTAAGTGAATGAATGCAATAGCGTTTATGGGTTAAGATTGATTGTAGTCACTGTCAGAAGCCGTCACAACCCTAGCCTAGCTGCTGCTGTCATTTTTCTGTCACATCTGACATCAAATCAAACGTCATGGTCACGTCACGTCAATCGTCATTAAAGTCATTAATCCAAAGACTACAATATTATATGAGGTTAATCTTAATTATTTTATTTTAGACGTCGTTGTCGAAGTTTAATTTATTGAATATCAAGAATATATTTGTGTTTGATCATAATTTTGTCCATTCTGATCTCTTGAGCGTAGGTGCTAAGTATCGAACAATAATACAAAATTTGGCCCAACTTCCAAAAATGTGGAGTGATTCTTTGCTGATCGTATTTATTTCTATATGTACTGCATTTTTAGGTGAAGGTGAGTTATCATTAAGAATAAAAATTCTTATCTCCAATTACTGACGTGATATACATATAAAATGTCGTTTTGTAGGTCTAACATGGATCCTTGTTTACCGAACCGAAAAATACCAAAAACTTAAGGTTGAGGTTGAACGTCAAAGCAAAAAATGTGAGTATAAGTAGTTTTACTATGGACTGAATACATTTCTTCATTTTTATTTACTTATAGGTCATATTAGGTATATGTATATCTATAAATAGTGTTCATATTATCTCCAAAACATCTTTATATTTTGAAACCTATAGTCCCTTAGTGTTACTGTAACTGAAATTGTGTTAATTTAGCTGATACATTACATCTATGAATATAAAACAAATCTCAAAATTACAGTGGAAAAAAGAAAAGAAGCTCATGGGGACTCTTTGGATAAACAACATAAAAAGAAAATTGAGAGAGAAGAAGAACGACTGAAGAATAACAACAGAGATCTTTCTTTAGTCAAAATGAAGTCTATGTTTGCTATCGGTTTTGCATTCACAGCTCTACTCAGCATGTTCAATAGCATGTAAGTGTATATTTTCTTATGAAAAGCTACTTCTAAGCTTATATTCATAAAAAATATTACTTGCAAATCTTATACTTATTATATATAAAGAGTTTGTTTTTTTGTTTGAACACTCTAATCTCCATAACTACAAGTCTGATTTGAATATTTCTTTTTGTGTTGGATAACGCATTTATCATATATATATATATGCCAGAGAGAATTACATAACATCACACCTTTTACTCCTGAAGGGGTAGGCAGAGAGATAACACCCACTTTTCAATATTCATGTTACGAGTTCTATGTAATTGGGGGTGAGCCTATTGCCATATACCAGGCACATATCCAGACTCCATGCTACTACAGATTTAAAAAAAAACAGTAATACTTTGCCTGGCAGTCGCACTTGCGACTACTCGTCAGAGGCAGAGAATTACTTAGTTATAATTTATTTCTTATTCTTATTGCAGATTTGATGGTAGAGTAGTAGCTAAACTTCCATTCTACCCCATCTCGTGGATCCAAGGTCTCAGTCACAGAAACCTACCTGGTGATGACTACACAGACTGCTCATTTATCTTCTTATACATATTGTGTACAATGAGCATCAGGTAATTAAATAAATTACAATCCTATACTATTCTTATTAGTATATTTATTGTCTATTGTGAAACAAAAGAAACCATTATGTAAAGTCTGTTACAATTTATAAATAAAACTTAAACAAAACTTCTTTACATAACAGTAAATAATATATATAACAATGATATTTATTTTCAGACAAAACATTCAAAAGCTCCTTGGGTTTGCTCCCTCTCGTGCTGCATCCAAACAAGGTGGAGCCCTGTTTGCAGCACCTCCAGCTCAATTTAAGTAATGCAGTGCATTTCATAGTTAAATCAGTTGTGTGAATTTTATATTTAATAATTTATGTTCTAGGTACCTAGATTGTGTTTGAAATAAATATAAGTTAAAACAATTATTCTATTATTTAATTTCATTACTAACTCAAACTTTGACTAATTAATATACATTGAATTCTATACTTCTTTCATCAATTAAGAATCTGTCGAAGCCAAACCTAGTCAAGTCTATGGTTGTGTATTGACTGTCAATGATAAGTTCCGTTACTGCTCTTCCAATACCTGGTGCATGTTGACATCCTGCAAAAATAAAATATTAATTCATCGAAACATTTAAGAAAGTTGTTTCCCCATACAATGATGTACTTTCTAAATAAAATAATGGCTGGGGCGGTATAAACAATGTCACACCCATTTTTCACTCAGTCCTATGTGCCATGTGATGGGGAGTGACTAAAGATGTTTATAGGAAATTAATATATGAATACAAACCTTGTTTACCAAATCCAGTTGCAAGAAATAAGTTGTTATGGTATGAATGTGGTCCTATTATTCCACTGTTGTCAAATGTGTTGCAGTCATATTTATCAGTACTGAACCTCTCTAACTGTAACAAAATGAATAAAAATTAAAAAATATTTTCAAAATATTAATCAATGTTTTCATTTAATGTATGAAATGTATACTAGCTAACCTCATCATTTTTGAACATAGGAAAACGATTTATTAGGGAAGGCTTGATAACATTTTCTAAATATTCTGTTTTCGATACATTTTTTGTATCATCTTTCATCAGCGGTAAAGTTCCACATAACAAATCATTGCCCAAACCATTTCTCATTAGCCATAGTCCTGTGGTATCCATAACAAGTGGAGTTTTTAATCCTGTTTCTACAGCTTTATCTTGTATAGAATAAATATCACTTGTTCTGAAACAAAAACATTAAATTATGAGATAACATGAATAAAGCAAGTTCTACACATTTCTTGTCAACCTAAGAAAATCACAACCAAACTATGAATAAAAGCAAGAAGCATGTACTGCATCATAATATTAGATTTGTTACCACAGTATCATTTCCTCACCTTTCTTCAATTGGGAGTGGTACACTTAAAATATTCTCTCCTGTTCCTATTTTCGCCATTCTAGCAATGGGGCCAGAATCACTGCCAGCTGCTAAGACACAAATAGCAAACTTTATTGAATGTTCTTCTTGATCCTCAGTTTTGTATACAACTCTGTTTAGTCTTTCATATCCTCCTGGGGTTACACCTTCCATGAGCACATCTTTTTGTTTTTCTAGTTCAAAACCGACCACTTCACCATTCACATAATTGGCTCCCAATTCCCTGGATTTTGTTACCAATGATCTCAATAATGCCCAGGAATCAAATGTTCCTTCAGCCTCTATTGCCATGCATCCTGTAAGGTGAATAATAATGAAATTATACAATTAATATATTTCTTTAGTTTGTCAGCATTTATCTATATTGAAATAAATTATGTATTCTGTACCTAATTTGACATCATCCGTATTAATCCATGGATATTTTTCCTTTATTTCAGCTGGTGTTAGAAGAATGTTCTTTATACCAAGTTCATTCAACATTGTAACATTTTGCTCCATTTTCTGTGCATATTCTTCACTTGCTAGTGTTAGGGCACCCGTAGGCGTGTACTGAATATCCATATGATGTCCTAAGTGAACATGTATATTCCTCAAAAATTCGACTGAGTATTTAGAGAGTTCAATATTTTCTGGCAGAGAAAAATGTTGGGTTAATGTACCCAAGGATATACTATTTTGTGCATTTCTATACTGAAATTATAAAAAAAACCCAAAATAATTTACAATATTACTACAATTATCTTGAAAAGTAATTCAGTGCATATTTGACTTACTGAAAAGTCCTTTTCAAGGACTACTACAGATAAACCGTCAGCAGCTCTCTTTTTTAACCAGTAAGCAATGGCAGATCCTATGAAACCTCCACCTATAATAACTATATCGGTATGCTCTGGATATAAAATCGACTTGTCTTTTGAACCAAAATAGGATGGAATATCTTTTGATATTATATTTAAAGTCTTTTCGAGAGGATTTTTGGCATAGTAGCGGATACCGGTATTGTTTTTGTTACGCAAAACTGTTCTGAAAAACTGAGAAATCATTTTATATTTTTTCAATATTATTTGAAGAGATTGATAGTCATGCTTATTCAGCAAAAGCAGCTAACTAAATATTAATAGTGGAACCAACTATAATAAGAATTAAATTTGCCAGGCTCTCACATTACATTTACAATCAATCAAGTCAAACTGTCAAGTGTCAAAAGTCTATCAACTGAGTAGCAGTTTATTCACACTTGTTAAGTGACAATTGATCATTTTGGCTGAGAGGTTGATGATACTTTTTTGTTAAGGTTAAGGATTGCCATTCATCACGGCAATGCAACTGATTGGCAATGCTACTACTGTAGTCAGCCTTTTCGGCACCCCACATCGAGCATTAATTCACATGGGACAACGATGAGGAGTGTTTCGATGCTTTTAATTAGATGAATAAAAAAATCAAAATTAATAGTACTTTCATGTAATTTAATAATAAGAGACTTGCAAAACGTAAACCATAGACAATAATTACTAAATAGGTCATAATTGAACAGTGTCCATTGCCCCCTCTACTTTACTATGAAAAACTGTCAAAAATAAGATAGTGAACGAGAACGAAAGAAAGAAAAAGCAATAAGCAGAAAGAAGAAAACAAAAGTTACTGGATATACATTGCACGTGTTTGCTCACTGAAATATATTATTGATATCACTCGGTGTTAAAAATGCATTTAGATAAATTAGGTTATTACTCTAGTTGTTTAATTTGAAATAACACGATGTGGTAAACAAACTACGGAGGTAATGCGTATTAATGCGTGACATTTCGTGTGTTTTTGTACAAGACTTTTAATTTCATGTAAGTTAAACTTATTCTATATATCTATTTTACTTTAAAATTAAAAGATAAACTTCTTATTTAAATAAAAATATTGTAATATATTTGTATTGCAACTTATTAACCGTTTATCAGAGTTATTCTGTTTGTTATCATTACCTTCATGGTATTTTTTTTATTTACCAATTTAATTTGTAAGAATTGAACTTAATTAAAGGTTGGATAAAAATTGAACCTTGTGGTTACTAATTTTAATCTTTTAAAATCTTTAAAGGTACAAACGCTAAAGATGGATTCAAAATATACTTCAATGGGTATAGAAAATGGAGCAAAAACAAATGGAGTCAAAAGAAAAAATGGAGTTGAACACATAAAAGTGAAGAAGATAAAGTTAGCAAATGAAGGAACTGTAGCTCATAATATTAAAGTTGAAACAAACGGACATAACAATAACAATGTGCATGAAAATAAGATTGTAAATGAAAAACCACAAGACTTGCAAGAAGCACGGAGACAACTGCCTGTTTATATGGTTCGAAACAGGTATGTAATGGTATTTAATGCTCTCACTGCGGACAGAAAACTATTTAGGGCATTATTCACCACTCTCATGGTCCATACATTGTCCCCCAAGTGGTTCAATGCATTAAAACTGTAATTCATTAAATGTTCGTTTAATCATTTTGGTGCCTGAATTGAAATCTGTTGAGTCCTACCATGTGTCTTGTGGTATTTTAAACCAATACTGATTTTATGTAACAAGTACTTATGTTTGTTTTACTTATCAACATCAAACTTACCCTTTAAAATTAAAAATGTGATTTTAAAATGACATGTATGAAAGATGTATTCTTATCACAAAATTTTGTGTTCCAGGTTGCTTGAAGAGATAAAGAAACATGATACAATGATATTGATTGGTGAGACAGGCAGTGGTAAAACAACACAGATCCCGCAGTTGATACATGAGCAGCGCCTTGAAGGAGCTGGGGCTATAGCAGTGACCCAGCCTCGTAGGGTGGCTGCAATCACTATAGCTCTTAGAGTTGCAGCAGAAATGAATACTGAGATAGGATCCATTGTTGGGTGAGTTTTAAAATCAAATATTATTTTCTAACACCCAGATGTATCTAAGATGGGCAGGAGAATCTTAACAATGGGGATGATGACAGGGTATGAAAATTAAAAATATCATTAGTTCGTAAGTTAGGTAATTAAAAAATATTTGACATGTATTTTTTATATTGTCGTATAATAAAACAATACTTAGATAAAACTAATTGAAGTTTAGGAGTTGGGGCTAAAACGTCATTTCTTAGTATAAAATGTACATAGAAGTGACGTCACACGACATTTCAAATCAATATATCTTCGAAACTATTTGTTTCAGTAAGAAAATAAAAAATATGTGTCTAATGTTTTTAAATAATACATTAAACTGTCAAACACCAAGCAGTTACCGGTAGGGTTGCCACCTTTTTCATTGGTATTTAAAGTACATTGACGATTATAATCGTCGGTAAGAAAAAAAAAGTACACAGTACAAAAATAAAGTACAATTTATTTTTATTTAGTATTATATTTAAAAATATATTATTTATTGCCTTTTGCAGTTTGTATTAAATTAGTACCTTTACTAAACAATTGCATCTTTACTAGAAATTGTCTAAGTGGCGCTGGCGAGTTATCGATTCAACATAAATAGATAAATATCGATATCGAATCGATAAGTTTACCGAAAAATACTTACGACTATAATAAAAATAAAGTTTGCAAAAATAAAGTATTTTCGTGTACTTTATTATTCTTATAAAGTATAGAGTACAATTACCTTAAATAGAGTACAATTACCTTAAATAACGTACAATACTTTATTATAAAGTACGGGTGGCAACCCTTGTCACCGGTGACCGCAACCTATTGTTCTTTAATTGTGTCCATAAATATGGTACTTGACGAGTTAAAATAAAAATTAGTTGTCTACCCTATTGCAAAATTGTAACTTTTTGAATAAAGGTTTTTTTAAGCAAATGATTTTCAGACTGATAATATTCTATTTACTATTTAAAACTGAGTTTATACATATTTTACATCTTATGTGTTAAATTATACTTAAATATTTAATATAAATATTCCAGGTATTCAGTAAGATTTGAAGATGTGACTAGTCCAAGAACTAAAGTGAAGTATATGACAGATGGTATGTTGCTTAGAGAAGCGATATTGGACCCCTTGTTGAAGAAGTACTCTATAGTTGTTCTAGATGAAGCCCATGAGCGCACAGTGAGCACTGATGTGTTATTTGGTATTGTGAAACTAGCTCAAAAGGAGAGAAACGAAAAGAAATTAAATCCCCTCAAGGTGTGTATTTCTCTATAATATCTTTCTACTTTGTAGTCTATAGTTTCTATAAAATCTTTTTCTTCTCTGTGGACTAATTATTAGTAATGGTTTTTCGGCTGAAACTGAGATCGAAACGATTCTTCGGCCGTGGCTTCAGTTTCGGCCGAAACTGAAACCCGCGTGGGCAAGTATAAAATTTCTTAAAATACTGTAATTTGGTGCATTTTACCTATTATTATTACTATGTATTTTGCATTAATTAACATACAGACATAAAACTTACATGCGATCAGTGCATTCAAGAGGTAACCTCTAAAGGATGTTTGCGCACACGCACTGACTAAGTTTTGTTGCTACTGAGCTATCCTAATGGCGCACAACAATACCCGAACAGGGCCGACAGAGTCCGTCAAAGCGTTGCCACGAAGTTAATGGAGCGTGAACGTGTATAAACTTGCGACATAAGTTTCGGATTCGGCAATATTTCCGGCCGATTTTTTTGGCCGAAACTAAAAATGCCGCCGAAACTAGGCCAAAATCGAAACTGAAACTGAACTTTCGGTCTGACACTTACTATTAGTCACTACAGATAAAACAGCTATGAATCAGAGAATACATATTTCTTTAATTTTTAACGAATCTTATTTCTTTTTTCAGGTAATTGTAATGTCTGCAACAATGGATGTTGATTCTTTTAAGAAGTACTTCAACAACTGTCCAGTAATATATTTAGAAGGTAGAACATACCCAGTCACCATTTATCACTCAAAAATGAAGCAAGAAGACTATCAGTATGCTGCTGTTTGTACCATATTTCAACTTCATGCCACTGCACCTGCAAAGTAAGTATAAAAAGAAATTCTGTTGTTAAATTAATTGAAAATAAAGTATGATAGATATTATACAACAAATTCTGTTATATTTATAATTTTTCAATTTGTTTTCCAGCCACGATTTTCTTGTTTTTCTAACGGGACAAGAAGAAATTGAAACAGTAATGTACAATATCAAGCAAATAGCTAAGGTAATTTTTTATTGATTGTCGCAATTATTGTTTGAAAAACATATTTGTTAATACAATTATATGTTTAATATCTGCAGTTTAAATATCAATGTATTTGCTTTTATGTTAGATCGAAAATTCCAGGAAGCGACAGGTCCACCTATCAGGGTATGCCCACTGTACGCGGGGCTCCCGCCGGCCAAACAGCTGCAGGTGTGGCGGGACGCGCCGCCCGGGACCAGGAAGATCATACTGGCTACCAACATAGCAGAGGCATCGGTTACCATACCACGTATCCAGTGCGTTATCGACACTGGAGTTGTGAAAGAAAGGTGTGTATGGCAGTAGTATGTTTTTATGTACAAGTTAGCGTTTTTCATGAAATAAGGTAATTTTGTTGAATTCGATGGAAACGTAATGCGGAGGTTAAGAAAATGACTAATTTTATAAACTTGAATGTTGATGAGTTTCAACTAAGTTTTTTGTTTAAAATTACATACATACGTTACTTTACGCCTGTCTCCCATGGGGGTAGGCAAATACTAAGGAATGCCAATTGCTACGATTCCTACATACGTCTTTCGCTTCATCAATAGTCATCAAGCTTATCATGCATGCTCGTCGGTTAAGGGTACTTTTAATTAGGCCCTTCTTTAATATATCGCCAATCTGGTTACTTTACTGTTTAAAATGACTGTGCTAGAATGTCAGTGACTTTTAAAGGTAAAGAAAAACTTATCAGTATTAATTTACTATGATGTATGTATTCAGAACATGGTCGGGTGGTACTGGCGCGGAGCGGTTGTCGGTGCGCGCGACGTCGCAGGCGGCGTGCTGGCAGCGCGCCGGCCGCGCCGGCCGGACACAGGCCGGCGCTGCATACAGACTCTATACCGCCGCCGACTTCAGAGCTAGACCCATGCATCAGACCCCGGAGATACTAAGGTAACATATACTTTGTGTACTATATATAAAGTTTTTAGAGAGTATTTATTGCTTCGATCAACAATAACAACTAGATATCGGGTCGGCGCAAGAAAATCGTCTCGACAAATAAGAGCTCACTTTAAAAGTGAGCTCTTATTTTGTTTAGTATGCTCCAAACATGGCCAACGTAATCACGTCTCACGATGCTGCAGTGCGTAATTGCAAGTAGCAAAAATAATAACCGAAAAAGCAGTATAACGGCCGGAGTGTCTTACTTTCGATAAGTAAATAAATTATAAGTTATATTTTAAGCTTTTAAATTAGTATAATATCAAATTAGACAAAAATTACCAATTATAAACCAACGCCACCAATGTTTGTGCGTGTGTTGGCGATCCCTTGGCCAAGCCTCGCCAACACGCGCACAAACATTTGTTTAAACAGAACAGTGGATGCAATGGAGTCGATTTGTATTTTAAAACAAATTTATATTGTAACCTGATTGGAAAAGAGTACTTAACCTATGGAGTTTCTTGCTCATTCTTCTCCATAGGAATCTACACCTTAAAATGAGCAAATAGCTTCACTTTTAAATTTATATTGTTGACGTTCAAAAGTGCCTTCCTGGTCTAACTGAAATAAATGATTTTGACTTAGACTTTTAATGACAAAGTTAATAAACATATGATACACAAAGACGTACCGCTAATAAAAATAAGTGATGTATACTAAGATCCCGAAAATAAAATTATTTTAGTGTTCAACACGACTCCATACATACCTCCTGTAGCGAAATTCAAAATTCGAAGAAGCAAAACGAAACAAAACAAAACGATATAGATCACAAGGCAATAACGGAAAAATTATCTTTATTTGTTCTAGCTTAAGGTTGAAATCAAACTAGATATTTTATAACTTATGTCTTTTAATTTCTACATGACAGGAGTAAGAAAATGCTTTTCTCGTATTGTGTGACGAATGGTCGTAAGTATTAGATAATATTTTGACGATTTATGACTTTATTATTAGGTGCCATGGTTGTTATTAGGTTGAACTTAAAACCATTTTAAAACATTTTTCTCAGTTTGTTATTTTTTTACTATTATTATTCACACGGACAGAACTGAAGCTTGATTTTGTACGTAACCCTTAATCTAGTTGCTATTGTTGATCGAAGATTTATTGATTAAAATTGTGACTGATGTTAAATGTTAAAGAAATAATGAATTAGGTACATAGCCTTTTTGGAAAGGAAGAAGTACATTTATTAGATACATGGACATGGAACCAACTTTTGTTATGAGTACATCCATATCACATGCTTAGAATTACCTTACTCTATAGTCACATTTTTTTGACAATAAAATAATCTAATCAATACATCGTTGTCGTTTCAGGTGTCCTCTGGCATCAACTATGTTGCTTCTAATAGCGGCGGGAGTTGAACCCAGCACGTTTCCATTGATAGACACGCCACCGCCGGATTCTGTTAAAGCTTCATTAAGCTTACTGAAAGAATTAGGTAACTATTTGTATTTGTATCCATCGTATAATATTAGTGACGATTATAATGCAGAATTTTGTAGTTTCTGAAATTATTCGCAAGTTTGCAACACTTATTTAGCATTTTATTTTTAGTAACTATCTATGGAAATTATTACAATTTATTTCGAGAATTCAGATATCGTTCAGGTATCGTCCATTCGTTCCAGGTATGCATTCAACTAATAAAACACATCTGTTTATTCCAGGTGCTATTGACAGTGAGGTGAATCCTAAATTGACCGTCATTGGTAAAAAGATGTCGACTTTCCCAATTGAACCTAAATATTCCAAAGTTTTACTATGTGCGCCAGAGTACAACTGTTTGGATGAGGTATGTATATCAAGACATTTATTTAAGTTAATAAGAGATATCAAGCAAAAGGATTTTTATTTAACCATTTTTACGGGTTTCATAGTTCCATGTTAAATAGTATAACTTCTATTTTATGAGTTATGTGTGCTATTCGAGCGTCCCCGACTAATTTCGACCCACACTGGGGCTCATAATCGTGAGCTGTGTGCGCGGTAGATGACGTTCGACGTTCACTTAAACTCCGTTTCACGACAGTTAGAATACAAAAATATCTGTGTTTTCATAATAATTGTATTCGATTCTGTTCCAGGCTCTCAGCTTAATAGCAGTGTTATCAAGTGAAAACGTGTTTCATACACCTATGCACAAGAGGGAGGAAGCTATAAAAATGAAACAAAAGTTCTTGTCGCCACTGGGAGACCACATCACTTTGTTGAATGTGTTCAAAGCATTCAGTAAAGCTCCTTTGAAAAAGGTTTGTTATTGGCTTAGAAGTAGTTCAATTTACTTTATTTCAAAACGAATGAATTGTTTTAAGGAATTAATACTTATTTTAATAATGTTTCATTTGTTTTCCAGCAATGGTGTAAAGAAAATTATTTGAATCACAAGAACTTGACGTATGCGTGCGAGGTTCGACAACAGTTGCTCGCGATCTGCTTGAAATTAAATATGACTGTCACCAGCTGTGGACAGGCTTATGACCAGGTACAACTTTTTTTAATGTACAGGAAAGTCTTTAATATTACATATTTGCATTTGTAGGCCTTATAAGAGGGGTGTTTAGTGGTCTTATGATAAATGTAACAATTACAATTGCCATTTATTTTACATTATTTAGTAGCTAACTGATTTTGTTAAATTTCAGGTACTTAAATGTTTGCTATGCGGTTTGTTTACGAACTGCGCGTGGCAGCGCGGCGGCGCGGGCGGGGCGCGGGCGGCGGGGCGGTACGTGACGGCGGCGGGCGCGGCGGCGGCGCTGCACCCCGCGTCGGCGCTGCAGGCGCTGCGCCCGCCGCCGCCCGCGCTGCTCTACTCCGAGCTGCTGGTGACGGGCCGCAGCTACATGCTCACGGTGTCCGCCATACAGCCGCAGTGGCTGCAACAAGTCGCGCCCGAGTACGCGCGTCGCTGCCGCGCCAATCGGTGACGACGACTTCGCATTAACATTACGCTAATACTTTGCTCTTTAATTTGCTGCAATGTGATCCTTACGTCGAACTCCATCGCTTTCACCACACAGAGCTGTCTATCATTGTCAGCAATAAATAATACTACGTGATAAAAATGGTATATTCTTGATTGATTGAACTATCCATAATTTTATATCGTTGGGACGAGAGTGAAGAGTTTAGTAAGACCCGTAAGTTTATCATTGGTTATTGAATAAATTGTTTTTATCTAAGCATAACTTTGTCGTTTCGTTAAATGGTACATCAATGCATTTTTTTGATAACATGTTATTGTTCAGAAAGTTACATTTAGCAATACTTTATGTGTGTGATATAAGAATAAGTTTATAGATTTATTATGATTTGTTTTAAGATACATTTTGTTACTTAATACTACACTGCTTTAACCTGCCGATAACTGTTTACTGCCATTTAAGTATTGATTTATGTTCTGTGACTAGTTTAAACAATAATTTGACTGCCACCTTCGCTTATACAGGACTAATCAAAATTTCTGAATATTAAACGTAAAAAACGTTAATTAACGGGCTATGTTATGGACCATACCATGACTTCTAATTAACTATGAAGTTAGATGCATTTGTAAAATTGACGAAAAGAAGGCATAACTTGAACCTCACATGAAGTCTGAACTTAGACACCAGGAGCCCGTAGGCCCGTATCTAAAAAATTAAAGCCGAGGGATACATAGGGGACAAATGTCTCAAGACATGTCGAGCGAAGCCGGCCGATGTCGCCTGATATATACGGCGACAATGCGCAACTTATGTCCACAGTGACGTTGATGCTGCCAGACATGTCGACCAAAGTCTGGCAACGTCGCACTACTTCTCCCAACGTCCCTGGCAACACGTGTCGCAGGACATTTGTCCTCTAGTGTATCCTTGGCTTAATGCTAAAAATAGTACAACATAAGAAACCAGGTCTACATTTCCAAATGATTTATATAACATGAAATTATGATATATGTTATGTTATGTTATTCATAAATATGTAAACAAAATCTAGTTGTAATGCATAATTGTTAGGATACCACCTGGTGCTAAATACGAGGTTTATTTTTAAGTTTAAATCTTGATGTTAAATGTTATAAAAGTGTAAATAATTGTAACATACTGAATAAACTTATTTGATTTTAAATCTAGTTTTTTACTTGACTATAATGTAAAACGTAAAAATACGCCTATAAAATAGTCGTTATGATAACAACCACGCTTACTACGACGTAGCAAGTCAGTGATTTGATCAGCCCATTAATGAATGGGCTGATCTGATTGTTTAACAATGGTTAAACCACCTCTTAAGTCTCAGTAATAATAATAATAAATTATAATTCCTTTTATTTATTTTCAAATTTGATATATATGGTTAAAATATTTGATTACAAAAAACATTAAAATAAAAATAAAATAGCAGTAACTAGTAACGGGAGAAATACAATCTAAGCTAATTATAAATATTTTCTTCGTAATAATGTTTCCACACTCAGTCATGAGGTAAAATAATTAAATTAAAAAGTTGAGACAATCGACGTTATAAAATATTTGAGCGTAAGTGTTTTTACGAATTCTTGTGACTATCCCACGAGTATACTAGGTATAAATTACAACCTTAGGTACATAAATAAAGTTACTTGGCTGGCAAGTTACATTTTGTTTCCCCATTTTGTATATCTCATTTGCATACTAACAGATCAGATTGTTGCATTCAGATTGAAATGAGATCGTAAAGCAGATTACGTTTATGGTCCTCGTTTCATATTCTTAAATGCTGTGTAAAAGTTTCCATTCGCGCTTCTAATTAAAATAGCTCCTTGCCAAATTTAATTTCCTCGCGCACTTCTTTAGAATTTATTCTGTAATAAGCAGCAATGGAAGTCGTAAAAAAAGGATCCGAGAGAGATTCCTCTCATTAAAATGATTCCAGCTGGAAGCGGTACAATGTTAATTCGATAATTATGTAAATTTTCTCGAAATAATTCATTAAAATTTATGACGTAGAGAGGTGCGTATAAAAGGGATCGAGCGCTTGACTTAAAGGTTCTTAAAATGTTAGCCATCTTCTCAAAACAGTAAAGAACTTCATCCTACATGAGCTAGGTATTCTGACACATAAATATCAGCCTCTGTCGACAGTATTATGTACCGCGCAGTCCAAGCTATGTACCTAATACAAGATGAATCAATAAAAGTCCATCTGTCTTTATTTACTGATAGTAAGTATAGTTTCTATAAGCTTGCAGTAAAGGAGTGTGGCGCGCGGCGTATGAAATTATTCAATATTCTGTTCAGCCGCCTTCATATAAGTTCGCCATTCTAATTTTGCAAGTCAAAATATGACAACCGGATTCACATATGGGAAACAGGGCTTCCACGATTCATACGACGTGTACCAATACTTTTATTTTTATTAAAGCTTAGGTACATGACGTGTAATTTGGATTTCATTTAATGCTAAAAGACGAGGTTGACATTAATACGAGCTTATTACGTTTAAGTAGGTATTCACATTTGTTTGCAATTTATTATTGTAAATTGTAAAAATCTATACCTACATATAATAAAACTGTACAAGTGTAAATTCTGTACAAGATGGGACACCGAAGTCAAAACAGTGATTAAAAAGTGTTTGTCTGTACAGACAGACAAACGTACAGACGTTCACGCAAAAACTACCGGTCCGAGTATGATGAAACTTGATATAATTATACCTTAATATCCTGTGCACAACACTGGGTACTTTTTATCCCGAAAAAATATATGCACGAAAAAACAAACTCGGTTTAAATATTCTCTGACCAAATAAAGTTTCATACAGTTTAATCCTGGATTAACAGTGTGGATAGGTTGCTCTGTACGTGGAATCGAAAGTCTCTCTATTGATTACAACTATGGGCTTGATTGCTAGAATAGAGTTAATTGTGCGGCTAAATCCCTAGATACAGTTACTGGACTAAACATAAATATAAGTTTGACGAATGTTAGGGTGCCCTGAGCGGACTTTAGGCTGAAGCTTTAGAGCCAATGGTTGAAATTAGCTAATACATAGGCTACTTTTTATCACCGGTCACGCGAGCGAAGCCGCTGGCAGAAGTTATGTAGTACCTACCTATAACATGAAATTATGTAGAGTTAAAATGATAACGTTTGGTATCCACAACGGAGGTAGTTTAGTTGTGAAAACAATTAAGATTATATTGTATGATCATCAGTACTAAATATCAGATTGATCTGTCGCCAGGAAGGGGGTGAAATTACAATTACTAAAGACCCAAACGAACAAACGGGGCAAGCTAAATATAACAGTTCCATAATAAAAATTGACTGATAAGAGCAAGTTATCTGCTCTGTGGTTACAGTTTCCAGTGTCTGTGTTGGCGATGAAAATTCAACAGCACGTTATTTGTTATCATTTTGTTAACAACTTATAACTCTCTTGAAACTTGTCTGAACTGATATTGGTATTCCAGGTAGCCTGCAGTGCCCTCTATTTTGAGAGTAAAACTTTGTAGTCTTTTACGTCTTATTACAACTCATCATAAAACTTTATAAGAAAAATGGTTGGTTTGGTTTAGTTATGGCTAGTCATTGAAAGAACTTACGTTAGAACATCAAAAAGTTTTTCAGCCTTACTCATTTTACTATCCGGGTCGAGTAGAACCTGTATGATTTTTAAGCACTTAGGTACTATAAAACTTAAAAAGGTCTTTCAGCATAGAGTCAAGTATTGCTTGTAGAATGTTTTAAAGTTGAGGTGTAGTTTATGTACCTACCTTTATGGGGAAAACAATGAGTAGGAGAAACTTGGTCCATATGTACGTATATGTAGCCTCATTTGTAGGTGCAAAGGCTGCGGTCCCATGCCCGCTGTGGCTATAATGGGACTTTGGAATGAATGCCGTCGTCGATAACGTTCTCCCTCGTGTCTGGTTTTTGTGTTTTTAGCGCTAATTGCCCAACTTTCTTGTAATAAATTACTTGCATTTGATACGTCATCAATTATGGGTGTACCTAATGAACACGGGAGGCAAAGTATAGACATATACCTACTAAAATGTGCCGATTTTAAATCTTGTTTGAGCGTATGGTTTTGCGAATTACTCTTAAATATAAGAATGAGATTTTGAATTTTCACCAGCCTATCAACCATTTTGTACTGTTTATCACAATGCGCGTTTTTTGTGCGTAAAATATAGGGTAGAAAGTATTTACGAGGATGTGAATAAATAACAAACTAATCTTTAACATGTTAGCGGCCCGATTGTTGTTTGTTAGGTGGAGATGATAACAGAATATGAGATGAGTCCATGCTCACGTGCCCGCCTCTATATTGCCAGTCGTGCGTACAAGTAGAAATTGTATAAAAGCTTTGGCGAGCAAATGGAGTAGGTATCTATAGATATTTTCACAACAGTTACCTCCCGGAAGGGTCCGGCGTCTCGAGGGGCCGAGTTTGGACCGCGCTACTCCACAAGGATCTCGTTACGTGTATCGTTTCAATATATCTATATTCGTAGGTCCCACTTTGTTGTTACAGTAGGTTCTCATTTTATTCAGAGTTTTTTTACGTAAAGCCTATCCAGCTATTTCTATTTTGGGCTACAACAATGCTTTGCCGACGTTTTATAGTACTTATAATAGCTTTGTAAACGCTAAACGTTCAAATAACATTACTCAGGTACCTATTTGTACTGCGAGATTGTATCTTGTTATCGTCTTTATAAGATGCTCTCCAATCAACGAATGTTGCTGAAGCACGTTTTTCATGTTTACGCTATATTTAAACGGAAAAATAACAGATTTTATTAAATCAGATTCCTGGTACGACAATGTAAATAAAACTGTACAAGAACATGGTACTAGTAAGAAAACATGCATGAAGAGTCAACTACATAATTAGGTTCCACATCTACTTACTTTTTCAATAGGTACGGTTCTACTTGCTTGAACACCTGGAA